TGCGGTTTCTCCGCCTAAACAGGCGCACGGGCAGACCCTGATGAAGAGGTTGAAGAGGCTCGTGCGACTCTTGTTTAGATGCACTTTAGAGTCGACGACAGAGGAGAGACGGAGATGATCCAGAGTGTCCAAAGTGAGCCGCCGAGGTCTCTTCAGGATCGACTGGATCTCGGTGGACGTGCCCTCTTCGACTACCGACGTCGGCTCCGACTTCACCACTGCGATCTCCAGCGTCTCTTCGTCTTTCCGAGGTCCCGGAAAATGTACATTTCTCAACATAGAGTGAATCTCCTCCAGAATCTTGGCAAAATTCGGCACCCGCCCGTTCAGGTGCAAGTGCGGAATAATTTCCAGATAGTGGTGCAGCTTCTCCTTGAAGAGGTGCAACTTGTCCGCCTCCGATTTGGCCAGTCCGCCGCGGTCGATTTGTATCTTCGCCGCGGAGGCCAGAATCCGCAGCGTTTCCGCCTCCTCGTCGAAAGGGACTCTCTTTTCGGCGATTCGCAAGATCAGCCCTGGATAGTGATCGGGAACGACTATTATCCCCTTGTCCGATCGGAGGCTGAGGAGGTGCAACAGTGCGGTCAGCAGACTCCTGTCTGGTTTCTTGCCATATCGCCGCTTCTTCGGTCTCCTGTCTAGCTTAGACTTCTTCCACATCCACCGCACCCTTTTCTTCGGGGTTCTAGGGATCTGATAGAGCTTTTCGTAGGGACTCGTCTGGACCGAAGTATCTAAACAAGCGTGAGAGGGTGTAGCCACGATTAAGGGGATGTGAAAGTGGCGTCTGAGGGGCAGCCCTCGATAACAAATTTTAAAATGCGTATAAACAAATCTGTTAATAACTGGATCTTCCTTGTAGCCTCTACGTTCACGTTGTAAAGTTTCAAACGATTTGGAGAACCCGGTTATGAGAAATATTTTATGAACTATTGAGACCTCGGATGCCACTTTCGCACCCCTTTAAATGTTGAATAGAGAGGGAATTCGCGTTTTAACTCGTAATCTATGGCGTGGGTGTTGGGAGACCTTCTTGCTCGAGGAATCGCGGCTCCTGGGGAGACTTCGGGTTCACAGTGGCTGAAAATACCTTCGACTTTATTCTTACCACTAGCTCTTCTGCCGACAAGTTTCTCCGTAGGTTCCACCGCGAGACTTAAGCGCGGTTCTCTGGATATCCTCAAAGTTCTCGCAAACCTGACAAGACCCTTCCTCGTAGGTCGACTATCGACACCTTTTCTCTCACTTTTGACATCACGGTTCGATTCTAAGTCAGCCAGTAGTCTCTGTACATTTGATACCCCGTTATCGGGGCTATCGTCGTTGACGGTGTCCCACGTGCTTCGCCTAGACGTCAACGAGAACCTTTTCGGTAATTTTTCCGCCCATTGAAAAAAACCACTTCTCCTTCTCTCATCAACATCCGCGATATTGATCGCGTTATTTGGTATTTCTTCAGCCAGAGTAGCGTCATTAAATGTAGCCTCCTCTTCTGGCACTTCAGGGTCCTCCGAGAGTACGGACGGGTTTCTCCTGAACCGCTTCAAAGAGAGTCCTTTCGGCACTCTCCATTTATCAATAATAAATCTTCTCTTTCTAGAAACGTTATTGGAATTATTTATGTCCTGGTGGAGTGAAGAATCAGGGCCCAGGGTCGTCGTGGCTGCAGAAATTCCCTGGAGTCTGAAATTCCTTTCATCCGATACTTCCAACCCATCGGACGGCTTTGCGAGATAATTCCCACGTGGAAGATTTTCTTTAGACCTTGTCGATGAAAGTCTATTGGGGATCTTCTTTTTCGACTTCCCTTCTCCTATCTCTGCTGCGGTACCATCTGCCCTCAATTCATCATTAACTAACGAAGGACTCTCTTTCGACGTAACTTCGTTTTTGGTTACTTCGGATACCTGCGAGTGTCTGATAAGACGTGGTACCATATCACGAAGTTGGGACTGCAACTTATCAATTTCTTCGATCTGGGCAAAAACGCTATCGACACGTGGTCTGGGCATATCTCTGAATTACAAAATTTCCCAAGGAAATGTGCAGTACGCTGAAACCGATACAAACGTCGTTGAAATGAATTTTTCTTGTTTCTTGCATCCGCCCTTTAGTCATCATAACCAAGACAAACTTCTTTAATTGATTTTCGCAGTGTTCGATAAATTTAGATAACCTCCTCCTTGCGTGATCGCTGAAAATCCCTGTTGCGGTTTCTCTCTCTTGATTCCATTTTTCTCAATGAAATTAATTTTTCCTCTTCAACTACCGACTGATCAATATTGACACCCTATTCGGTTGACCCTCTCCGTCAGAAACCCTTATCGACTGAATTCACGGCATTGGCGATTCTTCGCGGTACGATCGCTTAAAAGAATAATTATAAATGCAAATTGCAACGCCCTATAGCGATACCGAAGTAACATACTCTCCTCCGTGCTCCGGCTTGGCTAGATAATTTGCCACTCGCGAAGAAGTATAACCAATCCTGCAAAACCGGAATATCGTAAGGAATAAGATCACCAAGAGAATCCGCGAGATAGAATGAATGCACGGTAGAAATGCAGAGTTGAAATACCCGATTACATTAAATATCACACCTCATCGAGTCACCATCAACGTTGAAACTGAGTTTCAACGCCCAAGCTCATGTCGCCCTCTTCAGCGTCCAATTCACACCCTACGCAAGTTCGGCGTGACATTCATTCGTTCATTTCATTCCTCGACTTTGACACTTACTCCAACTAACTTTTGATAATTGATTTACAGACCCTTAATCTGCATCAAAAAAAAGAGAGAAAAAAAAAACATGCAATAAGTGCGACTCAAGGATGCCCAGAGATGGGCGATCAAAATGGCGCTACTCCTTATACACCCAACAACCAAAATTCTGCAATTAAGACTATTAACAAAGGTCCATCAGCATTATTCGAGGAAGATAATGTCAAACGCTGCTGCCTAAGTGAGTAAGAACGGAGGGATATTTAATAAGTATATTTTTAAAGTCAACTAACGTTAAACTCGTAGGCAGGCATGGGATTACGAATGTAGAACATGTCCTCTGGTATGGGGACCCATAAACCCTCGGCAACCTGCGATTGCAGGACCGAAGAACCAGACATTACCTTAGACGACGTGGCCGTGGTAGTAGCAGGGTTGAACAGCAAGGTTTTACAGCTAAGAGACGAGATTCTCGCCCTTAAAGAACCGGCTCCTTCGAAAGTCCGGAGTCCTTTAGGGTAACGACGATACAAGGAAACGTATAACGATCGTATCAGGTCAGACCGGTCTGCTAATCCGTAAGATTACGTGAAAAAGTATAAAACAATAAGCCGGTACGAGGGCGCAGGTTCAGAGCCTCTATCCGTTAGAGAGGAACGTCCGTACACCACTTGTACCAAAGATCATTTATCCATTGTTCCTAGGACTCGTGAACCGAAAATCCCAGCAACGAGAAACGCGAGTTCTTCGCCAAGAACAAAATGGCGGCACGTTAAGGGCGATGGGGATTTTTTATCGCACCTCGAGTCATCGACATCGCCCGCTGGGCGAAACCTAACGAGGACACCTGGAAGGAAGAGAAATTCCCCGGATAAAATTATCGACGATCTGCGGTACGGGAAATATCAGAAAGAAGGAGAAATACCACCGGAAGTTCATCCTCGGATGAAAGATGGAGTTTCCGCAAGAGGAGGAGGAAGACGAAGAGGACACGAATCGCGTCGCTACCTCGATGAAGATGTACATTTTAAGAATTCCCGAAATTATGAACGCGTTCATACCTATAGAAGAAGATTAGAGGTCGAAGACAATGCTTTTAGTTCGGATGATCCCCCAATTGGCAGTGGGAACGTAAAAGAATCAAAACCAACTAAAAGCAGGTCGAGTCGATTGGGGAGAAAATTCGAAACGGAGCATCGACCCCAAGAACTCCGAAATCAATGTTTAAATACATGCTGCAACTGCAAGAAACAAGGAGAACCCGCTCGGAAGATTCGTAGAAAGAGAATTTCACGGGGAATTCAATATGACCCGATTGAATTAGGTGGCGATAAAGAGGCTAAAGGAAGCCGTCGGAATGGCTTGAATTGCTTCCAACTAAGATGCTGCATGGGAAAAAGGAAAGCAGCTGATAAAAAAATTAATAAAGGGAATTTAGGGATTGTACACAAACAGGAAGAAATTCCTCCTTCGAGAAGAATGGGTGGAGGTGGCGAGAAATGTACAAAGTCACGGAATGAACATCTGCAAGTCGATCGAGGAAAAAATCACCCGCGGGAAACTGGAGGTGGAGGTGATGTTTACAGGGTAAAGAGACGTCTCGACGCTTGTCTGGATGAATTAAATAATATCATGCGCGACGTCGCGGTCATTTTCTGGCAGCAGAAGAAGGATGTGCCAGCTTGTAAACCATATACGCAGAAAAGGCTAACCACGTAACGTTCGCAAGATTAAATGATTCTAAAAAACGAGGATCGCCTGAATTTCTTGCCCGGAGAAACGTAAGTCGTACGGTGAGCAATCGGTTTGAATAAAAAGGGTTTTTCTAGAATTATAAATGGAAGGATTATCCGGGGAGCTAGGTGGTTGTACGATAATGTATCGCCATAGTGAAGAGTGGAGGCGCCGCAATGGTCTACGTTACCGGCTTGTCGAAAAATTCGTTCCTACCGCGCGGAGCCACTAAATCGAGCCTTCTTTTCCTCCTTAGCTTTGATATCTTGAATACATGGACCAGTGACTGTGCATGTATGTGTACAAGAGAATCTTAAAGCAAACGCAAAGTTTAAGATATTGAGACGCAGGTCAAAAATTCTTAAAAAGTGTGCAGATACTTTGGGCCTTAACATGGCCGCTATAGTATGCTTCTACTCTTTTATATCGACGTAGAGTCAAGTTCTCGGTGCACTTCACTAATATGTTAATTAACGAGTTAAGCCGAATGAAGATAATGTGCAACCAGTGTAGAGACCACATGCGAATGTACTCAATGACATATGTAACAGAATAATTGACCTACTGTCATTTATTATTACATATCAATAGTATCCGCCATGCGGAATGGCTCCTTAATACAATCTTGAACTATATCGTACGATGGGCATGATTTTGAAACGATGTAAAAAATCGTGTCCCTTCGATCATACTTCTCGCAGTAAAATTAATTTTGTTCAAACCTCGACATAACCTCGGCTAAATAATCTGAGAAAATAAACTGTAACACGGAGTGGTCGATACACTTGCAAAGAATTGTTCTCCTAGAATCAAAATTACAATGTTATAAGCATATCTAGTAATTATTTATTTTCACTTAACTTCGGTCAAAAATGAAAATGCATATAATTTCGTTTAACGTTAGTTGCTTTAGAATATAAATATTGACATTTTTGTACCATCTTAGATATTTTATACACAAGGGGGTACATACCACTCTTTTCGCTTTACATACATATCAAATACTGATGATTACGTCAGAAGTTATGGAATAAGACATCCTTAATCCCAGGTAAAAGCACCAAAGTGCCGATTATAAGAACAATTAGAACGTATCGTAAACAGACCGTGACAGTCGATTCTAAGAGAAACAATCTTTTGGAAACATGTGAAAACAAAAGATACGGGTAACCAATTCTCGTATTAACACCGGAACTCGACGGATAGTGCGGCACAAGTTCGACAAGTTAATAAAAACATTGAAACGTACAACGAGGAAAAAGAAGAACGCGGCATACAAGGTTCCAGGGTGATTAGCGAAGAGTATTTCGGTCAAAGGACTGTTATTATCTCTAACCGACTAAACAAGCACGTCAACATCCTTTCCTATGTTCAATTAAATCAATATCCTTAGAATACAAAGAAACAGGATGATCGTGACAATCGTTAACCCCAAATGCAATCAAATATGTATGGGTACGTGTACCAAAAGCTCTTGGCGGCTCGAGAAAACGGCAGAGCACATTTCACAAGTGTACTCGACCGCATCTGGTATTATAGTCTCCGGTACGTCGTTAACATTTACAAGAACGTGATGAGTGGACACTATCTTCTCCGGTAACGTTTCGAACATCTTCACATTGAGCTTAACGTCCCTGTTGGTATCTACCTCACAGTGACGGATCCTCTCGAGGTCGGGCAATATCGTCTCCTCCTCGACGGTCTCGATATTGGCCTCGTACGCGACTTCCAGGTTGCTGCCATCGATGGCAGGATCGATGAGGTGAGAGGTCAGGTTCAATTCCGGCTCGTTAGGGACCGCCGTCTCGCTTTCCTGGACCTCGTCCCGGGGTTCCTGTTTGATGCGCGTCTGCCTCTGCTTCCTGACTTTCCTCAAGATCATGGACTTCTTCCTGTGAGGAAGCTCGGTCTTCCGCTCGGCGACGATTCCGCGAATGCTACCATTATTGTTGCTGTGGTTATTGCTCGTGCCCTTGTGGACGCCGGGCTCGATCTTGATGTTCGCCAAGAACTGCATCGACACCTTATCTACTTCTTCCTTTGTCTTGCTAGGGAATGTTGCGGGTATGGGTTGCAGCTTGCCCTCCACGTGGTAGCTGACGTTCTTCGTCCGAGGCCTGTTCCTCTCGCCGCCAGGAAAGATGCCGAGCTTGTGTTCCCCCGGAAGGACCTTGGGTGTCCTCGTGACCATCGTCTTGGTCTTTTGCCCCTTCTTCACGCCGTCGCTACCCACGTCCACCGGTACCCTAGTCTTTTGCGTGTGAATCATCTTCGGCCTGCCGGGCTGATAAGCCGCCGGGGTTTCGTGTCTCTTGTCCTCCCGCTTTATCCGCTTTTTCGTGAACTTGGATTTATTGGGATTGATCTTGGTGTTGCTCACAAGGGAGTTGAGGTTCTGCAAAGAACTCTCGAAGCTCTTTAGCACGCTCTGGTAACTCTCCTCGACGTTCGACCTGTGCTTGTTCTTCTTTCCTACCTTTCGTTTCACGCTATCGTCGGAGTCCGACAGTGCGTTCAGCGTGTCGTAATTCTCGTTTATGCGCGTCATTAAGTTACTCTCGTGCGGCTTCAGCTTGCGCCTCCTCTTGTACTTCCTCGGTCCTGTTTGCGGTTGCCTTCGCATGGCGGTATTATCGTCGCAGTGTTGCACTATGTGAGCGACGATCTCCTCGGACGTCGAGTACGCGTCGCCGCATACTTTGCATAAATACGGCATCGTACTTCCATGACATTTTGGATCTGGTCCCGAGTGATGAGCTCTGACGTGTTCCCGCAAAACCACCTAAATGGGAACGTTCGAATTAAAAGAATAAAAGAAGACTATGTATACCAAAACAGTTGATTTTCTGTTATCGTTGGTCGTCATCTTACCCGTTGATTAAAAGCACGTGGACATATGGCGCAACCGTAGGGCTTTTCTCCCGTGTGTATGCGCTCGTGTTTCCGGAGCGTTCCTCCGTCAGCGAACGCCTTCCAACAAAATCGACAACCGTACGGTCGCTCACCCGTGTGAATGCGGATATGGATCTGTTGGGAGCTACGGCTGCCGAAGGTTTTGCCACATTCTCGACATGGAAAGGATCGGCCACCAAGATCCTTATTGTGCGAATGTCGATGGCTGACGAGGGCCCTTCCATCAGGAAACTCTTCGCCGCACTCATCGCATGCCACCATTTTGTTACGATGCGATACCATGTGTCTGAATAAAATAATTACACTCAATTTAAGATGTGCCGGAGAGACCAGCTTATGGGATAAGTTAAAACATTGCTTATCAGGTGTCGAAGTGTAACATAAAAGTTATTGCGTAGAAATAGAATTCAATACGAGCTAATATCCACCTTCGCAATCTGGCCTTACTGTGGAATCGTTTGCCACACTTTGTACAACTGAAAGTTTTATCGGCACTATGAATCCATGAATGTTTCAACAAGCTTCGTTTATCTTTGCACGTCTTTCCACATAGTGTACAAGTATTTGGTGGTGCGTCTTCTGCATGATTCTGCTGTACATGCTCCGCCACTTCTGCATCGTCTCGACACCTTTCACCGCACAAAAGGCAGCGTCGACTAGGGGATCTATTTAAAATCGGTCATTGCTCTTGTTACTTCCAGAGACATTGATTCGGTTGAAACGCTTAAACAAGTTACACTCCAACATGTTCCTGCGAGGTTGCAAAAATACATACACTAACCTGGCATGTAATTCGGCGTGAGCTAGTAATGCTAAAGCCTCTTCAAACCACTCTCCACAATCATTGCACACGTGATGTTGACTGGATCCTTCTAACATATCGAGTTCCTGTTTGACATGTATCCTATAAAATAACATAATCTCTTTAAACGATGACTATCGCGATCGAGTGTAAACTATTTTTAAATTCAACACGTTATGCATGAGTAAATAAAATCAATAACGTACTTGCGATGACGCTTAAGAAGGTCTAAACGATGAAAAGGAACGCTGCACGTATCGCAGTAGAATTCGCCGAATCTCTCGTCTCCTGTATAGGTGGCATCGTTATCGTACTCCTCTGTATCTGACGGAGCGGTACCCCCATGCTTAACTTTAACGTGTTCCCGCAGTGTATTTACATCCCAAAACATGTCACCACAAGAAGTGCACTCAAATGGACTGTCACCACCATGAATACGAGCATGAGACGCTAAAGCTTTCTCCCGAGCAAATCCAACTCCGCAATGTTGGCAGACATAAGGTTTGGTAGGATCTGTAATTGGCCATCGAGGAGACGGTGTTTCACTGGCTAACAATGGTGTCTGTTCGGTCCATCGAGAACCTGTCGTATAATTACGACCACGTACAGAACTCCTGCTAGTCATCTCTTCTAGAAGCCGCATATCTTCATTGATGTAGTCGTACGATTTATTACCATATTTGTTAACGTCGGCCTTTACATCTTCATTGTGCCTCTTGGCAACAATACTGTTTTTTCGCTTTCTTGGTGCACTGCATTGCACTTTTTTGCGTCTACCTTTGGCAGAGTCTTCTTCATCAGGCAGAAGTGAATCGTCATCGTTTGTTTCATCTTCGAGTCCGTCACGAGAAGGTGCATATGCATGAATCTTCAAATGATTCATTAAATCACATTTTCTAACGTAACGAGCACCACAAAGATTACAGCCATGCGGTCGATCCGTTTGATGAGCCACCATGTGATTCATTAAATTAGCTTTCTTTCTAAACCTTCGGCTACAAAAGTCACATGGGTACGGACGTGTATTAGTGTATGAATCTTGATCAATGGGCAGAGGTATCTCCATGTCATCGTATTCAAGTAAGTTGTCGTGTGATACTTTTGTCTCCGGTATTTCCACCCTTGAAAAGAAATTACATTATAATTAAGCGTATTAAACCTCACATCCATGATGTACTAATAATTTTGTGAAAGTGATGTGTGACAGCATAACTTTATGCAAAGTCCAATTTAAAGCATTTACCCATCGTCAGGAGCAGATTTGTCCCAACTGTCAGCAATCACTTCTTCGGTAACCTGTATATTAAGGTAATCGTGACCTTGATCTTGAGGTACTATATAAATAGATTCCATATCATTGGCTTGAGGTATCATTAAGACCTCGGTATGAATAGTAGGAGCAGGTTCTGGAAGCGACCGAACTGCCTCTTCGACGCCAACTTCCTCGCATGCTCCTATCACTTCTTCCTCAGGGGTGGTCAATTCGGCTTCCAACCCACATATAACCTCCTCGTGAATAACATTCCCAACTTCCTCAACCCACTGTAATGCCAAATCTCCAGCCATGTCCATGTTAAAGCAGAGATACTTTTATTTTATCACTAAAAAACAATTACACAGAAATATTAAATATTAAGAAATAAAAAAACAATCTTACGATATACCTAATATCTCGATAAACATATTTGAACGGACACGAGTAATTGTACAATGAAATGTCAACCACGGTTACAAAACAATAATTGTTATGCTCACAAATAGCCAGAATATTAAAGCAGCAAACACTTGAACAAAATAATATGCATATTGTTTTCTGATTCTTAGCCAGTTTGGTAATGATTATGATGACCGATCATTTTGCACTACTGAAAGTAGCAAATTAACAAACCAAGCGAGTCCTGATGGGCCGCGACAAATTGTCTCGCACTTGGACACCGAATCAATCCGTTCCATACAATTCTCGATTGGAAAGAATACAAGATATTGACATCTGAGGTTACGACGATTTAGGTTATGCGCTTAGAGGTTATAGCGATAACCAGCGGCCCAGATTTCAAGGGAAAACCAAAGTTTAGGAGAAGGAAACGGCGGCCGACGAAGAATCGCAACGGAAAAACAAAAGCTAATAATTTCCGATGCGACGAAGGCTATGCCAATAGCTTCGCATCGAGCAATTTTCACGTCGTATTTCACTCTGCTTCGAGATGAAACGGCATCCCCCGTGCAGAAGGCACCGCGAAATTATCGAAATGAAACGCGAGTAATCGTAACCGCTGTTTACTTACTGTTATATATTAACAATTCAGCTATCGACCTAACCAAAAATATTAAACCGAGGTCCAGAACAGCGTCGACCTTCGTTTGTTTTCAATTTGGAGGGGATCACTTTAGAAATAAGCTTAACAAAATGGCTACCCAACGAGCACTGCATGGCAGACGGAATTACTTAACGAGACGGCTGCCCAATCGAGAGTCCAACACAGTCGAGGCACGGGAGAAACAGGGAAGCTGCCATCACTACCTAAGTTTTAGTATCTTCGTTGCACTTACTTGGAACACAAGTGGGAGAGAAGCGACCTGGTCTCCTGCTTCATAGGAAGGGACAATGCATTGGGCAATACGGTACCGAACAGAAGCTTCATGAGAGCGAAAATTGGAGTGAAGATGAGAACCGAATGCGGTAAAATGGGCACTGCCTGTGCTCGGTGTGTATATACGTAACCAACGTGTGGCGCTGAACTCGGAAACCTATGCGACTGTGGCGCCACTCGCGATTAAACTCTACCCTACCAGCGAGGCGGTCGCTTCATCGCAGAAGTACAAACTGTACTCAATTAAAGTTCCTGCCGCAACACGTTGGCGTTAGTATTACATTTTGGAGCGCAAAACTTTACACCAAATAGTCGCGTGCAGTCTTTCAACTTGTTATTATATTCTCGTCGACAATTCGAAATTATTCGAAGCGTTTACGGTTTTCCAATCGTGACCGGTTTTTGTTTTAATTCCATGCACAATAATGTTAATGTCTGCTGCGTTCTTAACGAATAAAATAAATCGTCTGAAACATTTTCGTTGAAAACATCGAATAGATTGAGATCTAATACTGGCGGTATGTGTTTCTGCACATTTCACGTTTGTCAAGTCTTTGTTAACAAATCTGTGGCGACACTTTTAAGTTTACGTTGCTTTTATTTATTCTAGTAATGGACCTCTTGGAGACACAGGTTTTTGACCGGAATGATTTCCCCATGACACAAGAAATACCCCCCATGACACAAGAAATACCCCCCATGACACAAGAAGTACCCCCCATGACACAGGAAATATACAAACCTTCGCAGAAGAGCAAATCTATGCGGGTAATCTAATTTAAATTGACCATTGAAGGGAAAATAATCTATTTGTCTAGGTCTTGTTGCTCGGTCATTTTGTTGCTGTTGTTTGTTGTGTATTAACTAACTCGGTGCAATAATGTATGGATAAAATGATGATGTTAATAAATCCTTTTAAATATATTTTAGGTCGGAACTCTTCGAATCGGAGATGTCAACCATCCAATATTCACAGGCACTACAAAAATTGGACGAATACTTTCTTGCAACATAGTAATCGCTGATAATGTAAGTGTAAACAATTCAAAGATAAACTACACATATTGGAGATACATGGAAAAATTCGATAACATTACTGGGGTTCTTTTTATATGGCTTTCAGTAGTTTGTTATGTCCTCTAATGTGTTATAATTCATCCTTTGCACTTTTCGATTTTTCTAATTTGTTTTCATTAAAATCAATGCTGGACCAGAATGATTTTTCTCCTAAATTCTGATTACTTTCCATTTTAAATTTTCCTGGTCCGGCAATGTGAAGGTATTGGAGAATTGTTTGAGAAGGATCCAATTCTGGCCACTCAACGCCCAAAGTGGGAACTCTGTAATTTTAAATAATTATTCGCATCTTATGATGATATCTTTCATTTTGCATAATATAATTTCACGATTACTTTTTTGTTGCAAACGAGACCCAAAAATCAATTAAGCTCTCTTGAATGTCACGATCCTCGGGTGTAGTCGTTGGATCGACAAATGGATTATCCAGAACATAGTAGGCATCATCGGCATGGCTTACTCCTGTTGGAAATATTTTGCAGTAATTGTGTAATACCTTTAAATTCTTAATCCAATAAAAAAGCAAACTAACCAAAGTTCTCTTTGGTGTGGCTCATTGCTTCGCTTAAACTATGAGCTCCACGGTATGTGTAGTAATAAAACCACACAGGACTTTGATTCGCCTCTGCCTGCTTCCTCGCGGCTTCTTCGGCAGATGTGACAAATAGTCTATCGCCAACCATTTGTATTAGCTGTTTGACGGTTAGTCTGTCGATAGGTTTTGAACCAAAGTAATGCTTCTTGATAGCCCTAGCAGTTTCGACATGTTTCGACCGGGGTACAGTATAGTTGAAATCTAACAAGTGTGGAGCTATCGTCTCCCAATTGTCTTCAAGTTCTTTCAAGAGTCTCCTATCAGCTGCAAACTCTGTAGGGTAATTCAAATAGAGGTTGTTAACGAGTAAATGTATTTTTACTCTAGGCATAGACATTGTCTGTCATTTTACCGGCAACAGGGTAAAGTCCTTCTTCACTGACTACACCTGTAACCCAAGGAACATCTTGTACGCTACCGCTGCTAACTATTTCCACAGGACTTCTATCTATGAAAGGAGCATCTCCGACTTTCTCCACAACTGGGCCAAAAGGTGTGAATGGATTATACAACCAAGGCTGCGAACGAATTTCCTTTGTAAATTACAGATTCTCAAAATTCCCTGGAATAAGTATTACTGACCATAAATTCCTTCTCCGCTTCTACGATGCTCTGAGCAGGACGATATCTTAAACAGCGAACCATTTCTTTTGTGGTACTCGTTGGGCATCCCATCAAAGCTCCCAATTTCTTTGCCTTTTCTGCAGAGTTCTCGGTCTGAGCCCAACAAGTGAACGATGTTCCACTGAAGGATATACCTCCTAAAAAGTAATTTAATATTTTTTATTGAAAGGGGCATCGATATTAACTAACCTATTAAATTATGTATTCTAAGCTGCACGGAAGAAGTTACCTTGGAAGAGGCCGGCACTGAGAGGGGATAAATAGTGATAGTGTACACTGACACCACCCGCACTGAGTCCTGTCAAAGTCACTCTTTTGGGATCCCCACCGAACCATTCGATGTTCTCTGAAACCCATCTCAGAGCCATGCTCTGATCCTTGAGACCGTTGTTGCCGGGTATCACTTCGTCCTCGGTGCTCAGAAAACCTTCGGAAATGATTTAAATATACCTCATTCGTCTTGAGTATACCTTTGAACATATCTTCGCGTATACCTACCAAAAGGACCCAGTCGATAATTGATCGTAACGAGAATAACGTCCCGGTCCAATAAGTACTTCGCTCCAGTGTAATGATCACATCCATACTGGAACGCCCCTCCATGGATCCAAATAATCACCGGTAGAAGTTGCTCGTAGTCATCTTTTACAGGCGCGTAAACGTTCAAGTATAAACAATCCTCTGCTCCGAAGACTCTTCGATTTTCGGAGTCGGGAAAGTGGGAGTATTGCAGACACATGGAGCCAAACTTCGTGGCCAGAAGTTCACCAGGCCAAGCAGGGATCCGTTGCGGGGGCTGAAATGAAACGATGTGCATCGTCAGTTAAAAAAACGTAAGGAGTCTCCAGAGGGTAAGCAGGACCTCGGAGATCCTTGAGTCCCCTATTAGGAATTTTCTGATCTTTTAATATCTGTATCCATGATGCTGATCCGTACGTTCTCTCATACCTTGAACCTTAATTTCCCAACAGGTGGCAAAGCGTAGGGGATTCCCTCGAAGGCTCTATACAGTCTGCCGTGCTGGGACACCTTGTGGTACCCTTTGATCCTTCCCAAGGGGGTCCTGACTCTCGGAGCATCCTCTTCTTCGGAGCAAACCAGCTCCCCGAGGATCAGGGCGAGCAAGATCACCGGCAGCTTCATCCTTTCGTCTCGAGATCGCGATCGCACCACTTCTACCGAGCCACTGGCTGCAGCTCGTTACGCGTCCGTCCTATTCGTTCTCTAATCATCGTTCCTCCTCTTTCCTCATTGTATACTCGTACAATGATAAACATAAATGCCTTCCCCTGTTTCCCTGGCGACATCGTAGCCAGAAGGGAGGCACTCATGTCCGTCGGTGTACTCCACTTCTCCCGACGAGAGATCTCGCGATGAACCCACAAAGATAATGGACCCAGAAATAAGTCAGACGGCTTAAGATCTATCTCGGTTTTTACCTCCGCTATCAGGCGAACTGCAATACAGTGATAGCGGCTAACTTCATAGAAATTATCAATAGACTTCGTTTTGTATTCTTGCTTAAAAATGACCGGCAAGAAATCGACGATAAGAAAGGAACTCGCAGGAAAATTATATGTACGGACATCCTAATTAGATTTCTTATTTTACGGCGCGTTGTTCGTTGCAATTTTCCTTCTGCGATAACGCGAGGTAACGACTGTTTATTTTGCTTTTCAGGCGGTGTCCAAAGTGCATGCGGAAATCGAGGCCAGCTCGGGTTGCGCTTTTATCACTGATTTGGGCTCATCAAATGGCTCTAAAATCAATGGGGTAAGAGACGCGATACGTTCATATTATCGTCCTCCGTATTATTCTTGCTCGCTATTCTCTGATCCGTTAGTGTTGTCAGCGATCATCCGACCTATTGCGACATGGGATCGAATCGTTTTACATTTAAACGAACGTTAAATCGTATTCGAAAATACGTTACGCAAGTATCGGGGACGTTTCTTTTTTGTTATAAATTATATAAACCTATTTTTGGAAGCGACGTGGTACGATTTTTCTAAATAATTGCCCGTGTTTTTATTTCCTGCCATTTTAGATCTCGATGATCAAGAATCGGGCGTATCAATTGAACAATAACAATACCGTGCTCATCGGAAGGGTTGTCAGTGGCACCTACACGACGTATAATGAAATTGACAACTCCTTCATTCCAGCGACACCTGCTAATAAGTCTCGCAGGATTGAACCTGCTAGTCCAAAAGTTTCTTCAAAGGTAACTCAACCTTTTTTTATTGAACGGCTATCTTACGGTGTCATTAATTTACCAGACTAATTTCCTATTAACAATTTGTACAGTTAAACTCTTTGAAGGACGGCGGGGTAAAAAGGAACATCTATGATGCAGAGACGCAGAAATTGGATATCGGGACGGAAGGAAATCACGAGAATTTCAGCATTCACGATGCTGATACGCAAACGGTAGAGTCCGTATACGACGCAGCGACTCAACTAAATTCGGAAACGCATCAGGATGGGATTACCCAAAAGTTGTTTAAGGAACCGGAAGATTATAATAAAAACGAACTGCGAAATAGTCCGGACAGATCTCTCGTTTCCACCGGAGGGAAAAAATCAAGTTCAGATGAGGAGCTGTTCGAAGAAGATGGCAGAAATACATCGAGTCACATTGTACAAGACTCATCGTGTAGCATCGAACAATCGTTTAACAGTGAGGATTCGACTGTTCCTGCAACTCAACCGATTGATGAATGTGTAAAGGAACCACCTGTATCTATAAACAAGCTACAGTCTACGAAGGAGAATTTCAGTGACATCGAAAAAAGTCTAGACAACATGTTCGAGGAAGTTAACAGTGTGAGCATAGAAGAACCGACCCAACTGATGACGCAGAATTTGGAAAGAATTTTGGAATCCACTCAAGACGTGATTGTCACCCCGAAAAGGAAAGATCTTCGTCGCATTTTATTCCTCCCTAGGAATTCAAGTTCGACTCCGATAAGTCCACAATCTAGTAATACAGTGTCGAATAATTCAAGGGGGAATTTAAAGAAGATATCTGAAACTCTGTCCTCGGGGAAAGAATTGACTTTTGAATTGTGCACTTCAAGTACTGCTAATGAGAAGTTGACCAGTATCGAACTGATGCACATCCTGGAAAGTCCTCGGAAGGAATTGGATGCACAGGAAAATGAGGGTACGAGCACTTTGCAAGAATCTGAAGTTACAGATACGTTAAAGGTGCCCCAGTCGAAGATTACAAATGAATCGACAGAACTGAAAGCCAAGGAAAGTACATCAAAATTACCAGAAACCGAGGAAAACGCGTTAGAAAAACCCGCAGAAAATACGTCGGAGGAACTCGAAGTCAAAGACAGTGGTCAATCCCAATGTACAAAAGATACCAATACTGAAGATATCTTCGAAGGTCTACCTGCAGTCAAGATATTAGGGACTGTTTCCAATCCTCCGAGCCCTTCCGTATCATCTGATGTATCCAGTGATGATAACCACAATGATTTTTCTAAAGCTGTAAAGATGCAGAAAAGTACAATAAAATGCACAGAAGACACTGTGGAAAATCAACCAAAGATTTTAAAGTCTCCGAGCCTTATAAGTGAAATTCCCTCGATTTCAACTTCAGTTAAAACCAATTCAAGCAATGATGCAAATAAATCAGTGAAACTGGTAAATTTAGACGAGGAGACTATGCGAAAGAGAAAAAGTTCTGACATTGTAAACAGTAAGATACAGATGAAAAGGAAAAAAGTTCTCCTTGATTCAAGCAGCAAAGATAGTTTTGTACTGTTGTCTCCCTTGAAGGTCAGAAACAATTCCAATAGAGATGTTAACGATGAGGTGGCTTCGAATGTTTCTAACGAACTCTTGGAAACTTCTATATCAAAAAGTTCTAAGCTCAAGAACGGTGGAAAGTCTTCAAAACGGAATAAAAGCAATAACACAAGTGCATTAAAAGAGACTCCTCCGATAACGAAACAGTTGAGCGAGAAAATCAGTGAGAAACAGAATCTTCCAAAAAACTGCAGAAAATTAGAGATCGCTACTGCTTTAGTAAATTTGGCAGTTAAGAACCAGAAAAAAATCAAAACATCAATGGACTCGAGGGCATTAAGTCCAGAATCTATGGAAGTCTCCGTAATCATGACAAGAAATGCTGTAAATGAAAAATCTGTGCCTTCGACGAGTAGAATTGATACGTATAATGAGGATAAAAAATTAAGACAGAACAAAACGGTTAATTCAGAGTCACCAAAAAACAATTTTTTGGAGAACAAACCTAATCTCTCTGAGCCGACAAGGCCAAATAGGAAAAGTCTAAGGATGGTCTCTCAAGGAAGTGCAAAAGTTGAGATTCATTCAACTTCGATCATTAATATCACTGATACAGACTTAAAAGGAAACCTAAAAAGTTCAACGCCACGAATCAGGGAAACATCTCGAAAAAGAAATAAGCCGAATGATAATGATACTTTGCAAAATGAAGATTCGGATGATTTGAACGAAAGCACTTCGTTTCGGGATAATGTATCTGATCTATCAATAATACACCGATCAACTAGGAGCGTGTCTTCAATTTTAAATTTATCACAGAATAAAATAAGGCATAAAGTCCTTTTCACTGGCTTAAAAAGCAGTGACTATTCTAAGGTTTTGGAGAAGTTAGGTAAGCTATTACTTTAATAATTCAAATAATTAGGTGGCTAGCATTAAATCACCACATTTTAAATTGTTCTATGTAATTAATTAAATTAATTATTTGATATGACAGGTGGTTTGTGTACCGAAGATCCTTTACATTCTACTGTCCTGGTGACAGACAAGGTGCGACGAACGTACAAATTCCTGTATGCACTTTCGTTGGCAATACCTATTGTATCTGTAAACTGGATATTGGAAAGTAAAAAAAGCAAGCAATTTTTAAACGTAGAGGACTTTATCCTGGAAGATCCTGCAGCTGAGGCAACATTTCGTTTTAGCCTGCGAGAAAGCCTTGAAAAGGCTAAGAAACAAAAATTACTTAACGGGTATAAGGTGGTATTGACGCCTAAAGTTTCACCACCACCAATTCCTGAGCTTAAAGGTTTGTCATGTCATAAATAATTTAGAATAGAAAACCTTTCAAAACTTGACTTTAAACTTTCCCTTGAATCCGTTGAATCGGTAGATCAAAATTATTTTTATTTTATAGACTTAATTCGTGCTTCTGGTGGGACAACATTGATTCGTTCTCCAGCTACATGGCAAGATAAAGTCATCGTTGTATCAAGAGAAGAGGATTTGAGCAATGCTCGAAGATTCGTGTCAAAGGCACCAAAAAATGTACCTCTCGTATCAGTAGAATGTATCCTGTCAGGTATTCTACAACAAGACCTCAATTTTGCAGAATATAGATTACGGTTAACTTAATAATAATTTAATTTAATGATAACCCTAAGGGATAGTTTAAGAGCATGACTGTAAATACACTAATGAGATTATGTACATTAACAGGACATGTGAATGTAACATTGAATGTGCCTTATGTATGAATGTGTTTATACTTTTATTATACTTTTAATGATGTAATAACTTTATTTCTATCAACATTGAAATTTAATAAAAGATAATCATAAATTTATTTTTTATATCGTAATATCATCACCTTTTACAGTCACACTTTAAAAGTTCTTTTTTGGCATGAAAGTGCAAAGGTAATTACAATACATTTTCTTTTTTCTCTATCAACTTAAAAAAAATTTTCTTGCAACCTACGAGTCTTATCGTAATTGCTTAGTTAAATTACACGAGAAAAGGTATTTGTGAAATCACACATAGATTATCTTACAGCGAGATCGTCTATCAATCAAGCCATTGAAGTATGCGAGTAATGACATATTCATAGAAATGTTAAAATATTAATGGTTGGCCTCCAATGGTGTGTCCGAAGGTTGCAGTGAAAATAATAAGGCGCAGACCTTCCTTGAAGGATGGAACTAAATCCGGTATCTGAAACAAAAACATTAAATAAGTAGTACTTAATTCAGCTTCTATTTACATTACACACATTCTGAACAGGGAATTCAAGTATCAGTTTAGGACTTTTTCATGAAGTACCATTCACATTCCTGACGCCAACGAAACAAAAGAATGTCATAATCCGAACCACTCTTGCATCAGAGAAAATAAAAATACCAGTATAATAATTTTAAAAGGTCCAGCAGCTATTCCATATTACATCTAAATCGTACTAGCATAATAATCATCGACCTTGAGAGAAGCAAAAAGAACAAAGCCGGCCTCGAGGCGACAAACGGATCCTCGAAACTGCGCAGTATAGCTACCGGCGGCCATTTTGTATGTCTTATCATCGTAAGAAAACAAAAACAAATCGTTGACAGGACCACGACAAAACGAGTAAAATTTAACTGACAAGATGAGAAAATTAAACGAGACGTCTTACCAATGATGGAATTAGGCTTTGGCCTTGGGCAGTTGTCGCTTGTTGTGCTCCGTGTTCATGAGTTTGGTCAGGAGCTTTCTAGAATGTCCGCACGGATCGAAATGATTCGTGTGAAACGTAGCCTCCCTCTTGCTCCGCTGTTTTCCGCCGTGACCAGTGAAGATGTGCTTGTCGTAGTCAAAGTTGAAGTGCTCGTATTTGTCGAAGTATTGCTCGGCCATACTCACTCTTAGATTTCCAAAATGGACGAAAAGATTTGCGAGGATGTCGCAAAGACTCGCTTCCGAATCGCTCGATAACGTGTTCAGTTCCCTGAACTGTGCTCGCGCGACTGCCGTTCGCGCTTATATACCGCCCGGGGAGCATGCGCACAACGAACTGTAAACAAGATAGCCAATCAGAACATGTGACTGCGATCCTTCCAGCAATCGAATCGCCGCTGTATCGAGAGATTTCGATACAGCGGCGATTCAGAATCAGAGCAGAGACGAGTTGTGAGATTACTCACAGGCTATATCTTCACCACTTGGTTTTTATTAAATACCGAACTAACCAGATATTGGAGACGCACCCAAAGCCGAATTTGTCCAATTCGGTGTTAAATAAATACCGACGATGGAAACTTAGGCCCAGTTCCACAACTCGAGTTAACCAGTTTAACTAGTTTACACATGGCTTGAACCTGCTGTCAATTGATTAAACTCCGGTTAACTTGAGTCGTGAAACCAGCTCAATTCATAAGACGTGTCCCTCTTGTGAATACTTTCAAGTCGCGTTGAGTAGACTTAATTATTCTGTGCGCTCGTACAAATTAATTTAAAAGTCGAAGTGGTATCGCGTATCGAGACCCGGATTATCACCAAGTGTGAAGCAACGCAAATGAGACAACGTAGCGTCCAATATTCGTAAAGGAAAATTATGGAAGTTGTTGAACTCGCCGAGGAAACACCCGCGAGGAATCAATTTACCGTTGATGATTTGGACATAGAAATTCTCCCTCTGATTTATGAAATTATCAGGAGGTGTGTTGTCTCTTGGTTGACACAGTGACTAAACAATTCGTATATATATTTGCAGCTCGCTACGTATCTGCTGTCTATTATTAGTCGAGTGTATTTTGAAATAGTAATTATAAGTTGCACGTAGGTGACAAATTTCTTTTCCATTGGATTGCTTAATTTGATTGTAGTCTTTCCTACTATGTGATCTAATCAGTCATAACGCTCAAAATGTTTGTACAAACTTGTTAATATTTGTTCTGCAATGGTTTTCTTGTATTTCATGATTCTTGGAGAGTTAACCTCTATTTCGATTTAATGTACACGATACTCACAGAATATATTTCTTCAGCGTCGAGAAGGATCCACACGATACATCGCAGAAAGCGAAAGAGTCTCAAGACACTAGCCATAAAATATTGGAACTGCAGAAGAAATTAGATTCTGCGAGAGCTCAGGTACTACTTGTGCCATTTATTGCGTTATATTGTACGAACTGTAGTCTAAATCCTTTGCAGATCAGAAGATTGCCCGGGATAGAATATAGCAAGGAAGAGCAACTACAAAAGTTGGAGACGCTTAGAAAGCAATTGAGATTGAAGAGAGAACTTTTGTTGAAATATCGTAATATGTGTACATTTGAGGTACCAAAAGTTTAAACGGTTTAATCTAGAAGACTGATATTCTTGAAGCTAGCGACATGGTACTGCGCTGGGTCTTACGAGCATTGCTTAACAATGAACAACTCATTGACAAACTGGCCAATTCTAAGCCCATTCGACACGCTGCTCGCATGGCGGTATATGTTATGCACAATTCTGATTTGCCATCCCTTCCGAGAACGCTTACTAAGCGTTTAATAGACTTCGCACGACGATTTTCCACGAATATGAAAGATGAGATTACAGAGTCGAAAAACAGCTCAAAAGGAAAGCCACCGAAATAATTTACACTATACAGCGCAATTTGCAATTGTGTTAGTTTCATTTAGGAAAATGTACTGATTGGGTGTGTATTATAAATGAATTATTTGTATAAATTTTTAGACTTATTACCATTTCTTAACGATTGCCAACTAGTTATAATTGAAAAGTTGGGCGGAGAATGTAAAGTTCCATGTAACGAGCTAATCAGTAAAGATGCTGATAATGAAGAATAATAATTTATATTGATATTCAACGAAAGAGAACATGCATTCAAGTACATCAATGTGCTCGATATGAATGCTTTCAAATACACTTTATTTTTATCAATTGAATGATTGAAGAAATTTTATAACTTCCAAGTAGACTACATTATTGCTGTACACAATTACAAAGAACTGATATCTTCAGTATGGAGTAATAAAATTAACTATATCGCGTGGACATCATTTCTGTAGAAGGGCAGTACTACTTTAACTGTTGACATCTCTTCGACACATAACAGAGAGATAAGAATTTAATATTTTCATATCTTAATACTGTCGTTATCCCTTTGCACACTTGTACAGCAAGTAAACATAACTATACTTTTCTTCGTGTTTTTCCTCTATTTCTGGAGTCTCATTGGAAAAATATAAATAATATATACATATATATTAAATAATTACAAATCCCCTAGATCGTGGATATGTGTATGAATACTCCATCGAAGCAAGTTTTTGGGGATAAGTAACCAATGTTGCAATCACGGTACTATTATACTTGTTACATATGAAACTTCAACACATTGGTATGAGAATGAATGTTACCGGTTTGTTTTTAAATCACAGATCTTTGTTATAGAGTACCTTATCCCTTTGGATATTTCAATTATAATTAGCACTGACAAATATTTACCCATGTGTATACGTAAATTGTCATCTAACGGGGGTAAGGTGTCCTACAAATCACATCAGGCCATCACGAAGTTATTCTTCGTGTCCTGGATGAGTTATAACTGGGCTTGTATAATGATATAAGTTTGTTGTGCAAGCTTTGGTTTCACATACAATAAAGTGATCGGTAATCAATGAAGGTTTCAATTTTTACTTACCACAATATTTGGCCTAATACCATCCTTTTCAAACGAAAAGAGATTTAACCCTTTCGTCACTTATAATGAAATATATCGCAATCGATACTGGTTTTTAACGTTATGAAGAGATATTTCGCGACCCAATACCGGCCATTTAAGGTGATATGAGACACCAAGAAATTTAATCGACGTCAGTAAAAAAGATTCTTTTGATATACCATCCGAAGCAGTTACCGACGAAAATCGTTCTTAACGCTCACTGATTTTGTGTCTCAACGGACAATTCGAATCTTCTGATATGAATGCAAAGCTTTTTAATAAAAATATAGGTGTCTTGCTCGTGAGGACCTTTTTCTTTTAAATATTAGCAGGAGGATTCTGTTCCGACAGAGGTTGAACTACGTTACTGTTGGTGGTACTCCTTCCTCCTCTACGTCCTCTACTCTTCTTATTGGCTGAATTTACTGCTACTCTCTGTGGCGTGTTTTCTCTCTTAGCTGCCTGTGCTTCGAATGTAGAATTTCCATCGGTTATGTCGGATATCTGATAAGAAGAACAATTTGTTAATTACAACAGCAGTTTAAGGTGGGTCCAGAAACTCAAAAACCCAGGAGTATCTTTTCTTTTTATTAAAAAGTTTTAATTCATTGTTTTGTTAAATTCACCTGTGAGAGTGGACCAGTGGACGAGCAATGCTGTCGACCTTGTTGAACCTTGTTAGGTTTATTCGCTCGTGAATTTTGCGAACCAATTGAGCTTGAATGTGGAATAAGTCGTAGGACATTACCGACTGCTTTCGTACGTCCTTCTCTAAACACCATTCTTTGCCCAGGCTTTATAAATTCTGGATGCTTGATAAATCTGAAGTGCACCAATGCTTTGTCACCTGTTCGCAGACAGTCTTGTGACATCGAAAGGATCGAAGCTGTTTGCCTGATGCTTCCGCAGTGAACTACAACATATTGATACGAGTTATTACATATTGACGTGATCATCACAACGAGATAACTTCCCATGTCGATTAAATTTCTCAATGGGTTTCACTTCATTTTAATTTAGACTCTAATATATTTACCCATAGCTTGATAGCGTGAGCTAATCGTAGTGGGATGATGCAGCACTAAAATTTCTCCTTCAAATTCCCAACAAGCTTGCGGATTCAACAATGGCGAAACCATGACCATGCCCTTCCGAATTTGCGATCTCTTGATCTTCTTTAATGCAAAACTTGCCGTTTGGCCGCCGCGAACTTCGCGGACGGGCATTCTTTTTCTGTGAATACTTTTCACGGATATCTGCGTAAAGTGGCCTAACGGATCTGGTCCTAAGAGTAAAGTGTCGTTGAGTTTAATGATACCCTTTAACGTGGTACCAGAAACGACCGTTCCTACACCCTAAAAAACGAATAATCAACGTTCACATGTTTTCATTTAATTCGTCATATTTTATGCGATAACGATAACGGAAAGCTATTTAACTAACCGGAACAGAATATGTATCGTCGATCTGAAACTCTGCCGGTTCGTCGTCATGGCTCGTGATCCGCGCAGTCAGTAAGTTTAGAAACATTTTCAAGAGATGCAAGTTCTCTCCATTGACATTCGATACTTGAAATATGGGGCAGAGTCTGTACAGAAAATGATACACATGCGGTTAGTCGTTAAATGCGGCAGATGGGATATTAAAAGTCATCTATTTAAGATTTTTTAAATATTACCTGGAAGCAAGACTTAATGTGAAATTAGGATTAAATAGATACCTTTCGGAGACGAAGTTTGTGGCACTAATGACCACATCATCTAATGTTTTTACCATGACCGGGACTTTTCTACAACCAGGTGACTTCAAAATTCTTACTAGCAGTCTTAAATTTTCTTGTAATACATTCGGAGGACACATGTCAATTTTGGTGACCACTACGAATACTGGTACCGACAATGCCAGTGCTAAGCCTAGATGTTCCTTTGTCATCCCAACAATGCCTGCATTTGCACCCACCATTAACATACCTGAAATTAATTTTGATTCCATAAATTGGTTGGCGAAGGAATAGCACAAACTATGTACTAAGAGTTTTGCATTTTTAAGGTTATACCAAAATCAGGGGCATGACCAGTCATTCCAAAAACAGTAGTTTTCAAGTAACGCTCGTGTCCAGCAAGGTCGATGAATGTAATTACTTTCGACGACTTTTCACATATTTTCACCCAATCCAAAGATCCATGTTCAGGCTTGTTAACAACGTTTCCTAAATACAGAATGAAGGATTATTAAGTTACAATTAAATTATACAAAATAAATTATAAAAGTGCATTTAAGAAGACGAATCGAGCCTTAATATTGTACAACATACCTAAACTATCAAATCCAAGAATGTCATTTCCCACCGAACTGGTACGTCCTGTTTCAGCCTCATGTTTATGGCGAAATAATTTTTGTCGAGCTAATCCACGACCGTTATCAAGTTCTCCATGAGTTAATACACCTAACAAAGTAGATTTCCCTGCATCTACGTTACCAACTACAGCCACTCTGTAATTCAAGGATGAGGAAACCTGAATTACTTCTAAGCCAAAAAATTATTAAATATTCATATAGCAGGGTTGATGAAAATAATTGACTTCTTATCCACCCTGTTACATAGTAATCCACATAAAGTATACCTGATTTCTAGAAAATCTTGTTGGTCTAATCGTCTTCTCACTAAGTACTGTCCAGTGAGCCCCTGATCCACTTTGCTCTGGCGTAAGAGCACACAGTCAGCTTCCAATGTAGTAGCGAGTGATTGAAGAGTAGCAACTGAAGCATCGTACTCATCTTCCTTCAAACCATCCTCGGATCCATCTTCAATGAAAAGTACTTCATAAACCCAACTTAAAATACTATAAGCATGTAAATATATTTTTATATTATTGCTTTCAATTACATTAACAATCTAATTGAATTATTAGTTTTTCAATAGTATACTAAAAAAAAAGATATTGTTCTCCACACTATCAGATACCTTCTCCAATACCAATATCAAAGATTGTCTCGCTCCCGCCATCTTGAATCCTTTCTTTTAATCGCTTCAGTAATAGTTCATACTGATCTTCCGTTGGACTAATAAGAGCTTCCTGTGACAATAATTATGTTAGATACTTCTCCCTTCATCATTAATTTAAATGAAAAATTAATTCTAGAACCTTCGATCTGATCGAAGAATAGTCTACAGGTGACGAACGCATTAGTTTATGCTCAGCCATCTGCATTATGACGAGTAGTCGTCCACTTCACATGGACAATATCACAAACGCCGATGCAAAATATCGTCTTTAGGAGGACCTCTTAAACCGCCTGGCTCCGACGTGTCGTTCCATTTACCAATTCACTGAGCACATACACATCACAATTGTTCTCCAATATTTGAACTTAAAACATCTGCGGTGCACTATTAAATTACCCACACGCATTCCTTTCGAAACTTTGAAATACTTTCAAATAAGAAATTGCTTCGCGGTAGAATACAGTTGCCAGTATTCTGCCTAGTTTAACATCGAGTATAATCAGATATCTGAAATAATAAAAATATACCTTTGCACACTTTCTGCCTTCCAATCTTTCCGAAGAATATCTATCGTCATAAGGCAAACTATGATCATAAAAAATAAAAAAACTGTTGCGGACAAGTTTCGGTGTCGCGATTGCGTGTCAAAATGAGCCAATATATCGACGATCTTCCGTAAGACGGACTTATTTGTAAACATATTGCAGTGATGCCAATGGCGCGCACATACTTACACGAGAAAGGCCAACGAGTACACAGATAAATCGCTTATTCTTAGGACAGCGTAGTTGACCCGAAAACAATACAAGCCTTGCGCGGATTTCCGAGCGAAATCTCTTGCGACTCTGCCTTGACGTTACGCCGTGCGATATTAAATCATCCTCGAAATCCTAACCAAATCCAACACATTCACAGAACATTCCGTGACACGTGCCCCCTAGAACACACTACTGACTGCACATGCAACCGATTCCGCAATTCCTGAAGTTCGGGGGGGAAACGAGAAAATCTAATGTCACGGAGCCACGCGGCGCCACATTGGTGCGCATCGTCCAATCAGAATATTCCTGTCATGTGACGTCACGTATAAAAATCGCTGTGATTTGTAACACATGTTGCACATCTATATAGTTATATAGTTGGTTAATTGCGCGGTCGTTTCGAAATAATCTCCATTCAGGGTTAGTAATTTCGCGGTTTTTCAAGATTTTTGACGTATACCATATAAATCAAGTAATTTGCCGTAGAAAAGTAGTAGAAAACCAGTAAATTACGTTTCCAATATGAATGGAATAATAAATTAATTTGGCACTTGTGTTGAAATTTGTTTACAATTTTTACGTTTTATATCGAAACCGCGACACCAACTTACTCATAAATTCATGGATTTCAGATTGTAAGAGATATTACCTACTATACTATTATAAATAATACCGAAAGAGGTAATAAAGAAACGTGCAAAGAGTACTGTCAATTATTTATTTCTGTCACCACAGGTGGCTGACATATGAGCCATCCAAGAAGGGAATGCATGATGCACGTCACACATTGCAGTATAAATATTTTCCTCGTGCAAGGAAAATACTTTTACATACATACATACCGACATGAATTATGCATTCGTCTGTGGGCAGTCCGAGGAAGATTTAGAAAATTACATCCAGACCCATAGAGGAGTAATTCCACAAAAAGAAAAGCTGTCGGGTTGACCGACATGGGAGACATTTGGAAAACTTTTCCTCCAATCGAAAGGATCGACGTTATGCGAAGAGGTTGGGCCAGAGATCGCTTCGAAAGTTTCGATGCCAAAACAATCAGCCAAAGTTAATTTCGTGTCGATAACGCCGATAGGTCTAGGTACGTCCTTAAGATCTCCTCTCAGGGCCAAAATCTGCATAAGATCCGATGACATAACCTCTACATTTTCCTCGTTTTCTTTATCCTCGTAGCTGTATCCCCGCATTAGACTTTTCACGTGTTCGGCAGTGGTGATGTTTTCTTGTAAACGCGATATCTGAGCATCTCTAGAACTCATCGCTTTCCGTTCCAAGCTCAAGGCGCTCCGGATCTCTTGGAAGGTCGGTATTCCTGTACAAATTAGATAGCCAGCTTCGTTGAATAATTCTTTCGAATATTCCGTGGCGTGTGTAAGGGTGGACATTTGTTCGACCAACCACACAGTTCCAGTGCGTGGTTCTACCGTCACCCATTGACGATTAGACGTGCCACTATTCTGACGAGCCAACAACCTTGACCAAGTTTGTCCATCGGACGCCAATCGATTTGCAGTCATAATTCTAATCGGTGATAATACCTGAAATAAAACCATGATTCAGGAAACGACTTTTTCAGTTCTACTTAAGTATCAAAAATTTCAAATTAATCGGGGACATGCTTCCAATTTTTCTTCGTATCGTTTCAGATTTACCTGATCCTTGGGAGTCAAATGATTCCATGGCATGCGATTGTTAGTTTCCAATGGTGTCCCAGCTACTACAAGTTCTCTGTCCTTCCCATACACCAGATAATATTCATCGTGCGACGACAAGGCACCTGGATACGACGTCGTGACAATGGTCTGTCCCATAACTCCTTCGGCATCTTTAAGAGAAGAAACGTGGTATCCGAAGGAGTACTTCTTTAACAGCCGTAACATCTTCGCATATCTGCAGAATGGTAAAAGAATTAGTGACGACAGTGTCACCATAAATGTGACGCGTGTAAATTGGAATACCTACTTTCGCACCAGAAATTTCTCAGCGGCAGAAAACAAGAAAGTCTCTTAGTAACTGCTAGAAATTTCGATCTGGGAACTAATAGATAATGAGAATCACAAAACTCACGGTGCTGCGGTGTTGTGTGCGATCGCAATAAGGGGTTGCAAGTTTTCTCTGGGAAGTGCTTTTAGGAAGATCATTCCATGGGACCCTGATAAACCGTCGGAGCTGTTGTAAGATTGAGCGAAGTCCGGCAAATCCGAAGCCATCGCTAACCAGAGGAAATCCTCGGAATCGATGTCCACGGAACGTCGACTACGACGAACGGCGAATCTCCAACCAGCTTCGATGCCATCCAGTTGTGCATAAAATAGACTCACCTACGTAAGAAATGACTAAAGTTTTTACCACATTACCTCGAGGGGCTATTCGTTCAGGAAATCCTGAATTTTAATGCTGCCACATCACGCCGCCTTAAACAATTTAGTGATATTTTATAATGCAAGATACTTTTATGGACTTTCAAGGAATTAGAGCATGGATCAGAAGGGTGCATCGTGTCGCCTTACCATGTGCCAATAAGGATCTTCCTCTGCTAGGAGGTTGGCGCGCTCCCGGGTGATCGCCGAATTCTCCCGTAAATAATGACGTATTTTCCGACATATGGAGGCTCGTTGTAAGCATCCAGCTCTTATGGTGTTGTGCCAGTGATGGTGGATCAATTGCCACGTCAAACTGCCTTCCAAGAGACCGGCGGAGTACGCTTGGACGACGTCGTCGTGATCGGCGGACGTCTCGATCTCTATGATCGACCACCTACAAACAAGTACCAGCGTAAGGTAATCAACACGGCGTAAACTTATTCCCCAACCTGATAGAATACAAAGCTCATTGTCGTATAAACATTTACCCAGTCTCGTAGATACCAGTCTTGTAATAGGCACGAGCTGCGCCCAGCGGTATCATGGCCAGATCGTTACCCTGACCCCAGAAGTCGATGCGATATCCAGTCTTGCGGTTCCATTTCACGGTCGCCGAGTAAGTTCCATCGTTTTCAACCCTGCAAAGGTTCAAGTTAAAGGTATAAAAAGGGTTAATGCGATGAAGACTAGAATACTTTAAATTGCAAGGTTCCTTTGCCATTCCTTTAGGACTACTCACTGTCCGAATTCACCGAGGATGATCGCGCCGATGCCCAGAAGGGCCACGGCGACGAGGATGTACGTGGAAATGCGGGTTTGCAGCCACGAGGCGCCCACCACCTTCAGCATGGCTCATCGGTTAGCTTGACACCTTGGAACGAGACGAGGAGACACGGTGTCCCGGTCTCCACCCATCGGTTACAGGCCTCCACGCTCTGCCTGTGTCTTTTTAAGCCTGCAGTTTCACCCTGCGGCTACTTTCCGGCTCTTCCAAGCTCTGAAAACCAGGCGACGTGGTCGCATGTACACACGGATAGAAATAAGAGCCTTAAGGTGAAGTGAAACCGATTTTCAAGGCATCCCCCAATCCGGAAGGGTCGCGAAGAAGTCCAGATCTCACGGCCTATTCCTCCACATTCGGATCGCCGGAAGCCATGGATATCAATAAATTCAAGGTATTTACGAGTATCCGTTTCTCAGGGCACCTCATTCGCTCTCACGAGAGATAATCTCTCAAGCCTCGTGTACGTCTATCCTATTATTTTTTCAGCGAAGGAGGGAGAAACATTTAAACAAAAGGACCTCGGCCTTTCGTCGGTACTCCTGGGTCCCTATACAGAGCCCAGCATGAAAAGAGATAAATTAAACAAAGAGGGTGATCCGTGGATTCCCCTATTTCTATCTCTTTGCTTTTCTGTCCGTACAAGATACCGTATCGCGAACACGAGCCGAGAGCTCGTGCAAATATAGGCCCTCGAGCGTACACGGACGTGTATGTAGACAAAAGAGCACTTGGCAAGACGTGACTTGGCGCCAGTCATTAGAGATAGCTCGGATCATCGCGAGGTGAGATCGTAGACGAGATTTCCTCGGTCTTTTGCCTCCTTAGAAATCGATAGTCCCTCGCAAACTGGAATCGCCTTTGCCAACAAGTATTATGGTATGAGATACAACGCCGTGTATTGTAATCGTCCCCACGTTGGATATGCGAAAATCTGAGATCCTGGATCGCTTTTTCTGGAACCAACCATTCACGTTATCTCTCCTTATACTACCTCATGACGCGTAGTTTATTCACAAATTATTCGCGCTCCAGTTTCGAGGAAATTGAACGACCGAGGTCGGCTCGTTTCTTGCCGATTGTCCTTAAACGAAAACTTGTTCCCGCGTGGGACACGACTTGTCCTCGCGACACGCGTTAACAATTACCATAGATACCCATCGTATTACATTTCCCGCTTTTCCGAAGCTCGTCATAAACAATTAGCCACGATAAGTTGTCCCGATTACACGCCACAGTGAATATCCTACTCGAGGACCGTTACTTCAATGTCGCGAGGTAGCTCCGAAAGTGGAGTGGAAAAATCTGAAGGAAAAAAAATTAATTACAGGCTCTACAAAACGGAACGTACTTTCATAGTGCCAAACATGGATCCGCAAGTTCTCGTTATTGGAGAAATAAATACTTTGTTAAATTGAAGTACCGCAATTTGGCATGTTTGGGATTGGTTAATATTTTTATATTTTATATTTTATTGTATTTACGAATTATTTTCTTTTTTTCTTCGATATATTTTTTCGCGTGTCTTGATACTGGTGTAACTCGATCTTCATTGGGCCGGCGACCGACACGTGCGCGCACGTGGACTCCGTTACACTTATTTATCCCATCCGCGAGATATCGACTCGCCTGGGCGAACGCGCGTCCACCGGAGTGTCTTGCCAAAGGCCAGGGTAAGGCCACGTACCCGATGTCTTTCCGCGACGTTTTACCGTTGCCAAAATAGCTGGTCAAGTTCAAAATCCTGCGAATCCTCGACGTCGGAGGTAGTGTTGAATTAAAATAGCCAGTAACACTATTTTCAACGCCCAAGTGGCAACAACTAAAGTTGACCAACATTACCTGCAGTTTTTAAACCACAATTAGGATTCAAGTCTGCGTTGGGTAATTCTTTTTTCAGAATTAAATAGACATTACCGCCACGTACTGTTTGCGAGGTCTGATACCCTCTATACTGGAGTTACATTTATTCATTATATATATAGTTCATAATAAATAAATATAAAAATAACGTTCAACCGGAAGCGCTTCAGCCGGTTCCTAGGCAGACATGTGCACGCGTGCAGGGGGGAATGCATAACTCATTCATGAGGAATGCAACGGATATTTCAGCCAACCGCGACCTGTCTCAAGAGGTGAACGATCGATCGTCGTTTCCAGGTGTTCGTTAATTCACCCGAGGATGTGCATGTCGATTCGAGGTAAAGCGCAGTCGAAAAGGCTACGGTCATGAGACCCAGAGGCAGGACGGCGGAACGGAACACGAGGCGAGATGGCTACGGTATGGCCTCGCTTTTTTAATGCCTTTTCCAGTTCTTCGTTACCTGCACGGGGTTTTTCCAAGCTCGCTCTCACGGCAGAGGACTCGACCTGCTCGCTCGGAGATTACATCGCTCCAGGCTGGTGGTCGCGACTTTCGGCGGTGTTGGACCAGTTGCTCCGACACTGTAGTCCACCGTTCTCTTCGGCTGCTCGAGGGCCACTGAGGGGCCGCCGGCGCGCCGGCCAATCGCGACCTCCGACGTTGCCGCGCCGCCGCACTGCCTCGACGACGCGCCGCAGCGCCGTCGCGTCGCTGTGACGTGCACCGACGCGCTGCCGCGCCGACGCGACTCCACTTTTTGTTTATCATGCTCGCCGGCAGAGTGCCCACATGGCGTGATTTATCAAAAATTGAGCGATCTCGAGGTGATACAAAAGTATATATATATATATATCAAAATGTGAAAATATTTATAAAACATTCACGCACGACGAAGAGGTGGATGGCCGCAGAAGGTGCATCCTATCATCCTTTTTGCTCCGTTTTCCTCCGTGCTCGCACACCGAGATGAGCGTCGCCGATGCTATCCTATGACACTGTACGGCGAATAACCGGCGCCTCTTCTTTCTCCCCGCATCCTCCTCGTTTATCGCTGTTTATTTGCTAATCTTCGCGTATTTCCTTGACACGTCGGAGGAGCTAATGACCGCTTGGCTTTTCGGTCGCGTTGCATGTTCACGCGCCGACAGCGAGTCGGCCATGTATCGTACAAGCTCAAACTATTTCCCTCACATTTTCCATACATTTAAAAAATGCTCTACATTTTATGAACATTTAGTCAATATTTGAAGTATCTGAAATATCTTTAAATTTTGGCATCGCCTCTTGGAATGATTTACAAGTCGGCCATGCACCGGACGTTGGCGAACCATTCGTGTCCCCTTGCTATCCATTTTCATTTTACCTCCGAATTTTCTTCTTCCTTTCAGCTCTTCGATTCTGGACGAGGCCACGAGGGGAAAATGAAAAAGTCTTGGCGGAAGTTATTACGGAAGGATTTCTTGCGCCCTCGGAGAGGAATGTCCTTAAGCGATCTCGCTCGACGCGATGCTCGCTATGAGAAACGAGGGACCATCGATTATCCTCAATTGAGAGTTATTAAAGACAACAGTGAGTCACAAGCTCGCGTGCCTTTGCGTCAGGGAATATCGCGGCGACTTTCTTCAGAGAAATATTTGCCCGTCTGGACAAATGATACCTCCTCAGTGGATTTATTTCCGTATCGAAGATCTGAAACGTTTCCACAAACGAGCCCCCCCAGACGACACGTTCCTGTTTAAACAATATTTAGCTCGTATGTACGGAATTTAGTCAAGACTCATGACTGGTTTTAGCACCGAGGTGCACTTGTCGACGTCGCCAAAGTCTCCTTACGGTAAATATCACCCTCGAAGGCCATTTATCAGCGGCACTAAAAGGAGACTTGTTAGCACTCGGAGAATCGGCATGTCACGGCCGCTGGACTAAAAAATAAGCCTGGCTTGAATACACCTCGACTTCGTAAATCATCCAGGGGAAAGTTGCGCCGATCGAGCGAGGAAGATAAGTCCCATCCGCTATGAGATAGAAATTTTGCAAGTCTTTCACCTGGTCGGACCTTTTTTTCTCTTACTCAGATAAGCCTCTCGAGAAACTTGAATTTTTTCACAGCGAACCTCCTTTCAGGTTGGCCTTTCCCAGGTCGGCAGGTGTTCTCTACTTGTTGCACCTGCAACCGAGGGGCATTCGCTAAGAAAATCATGGATGGTTTGCAGTTTGAAGAATCTCCCTCGATCCGATATGAAGACCCGGGGCATCGGAACGTGGGCACGTTCGCACAACGCGCGTAATAAATACCAGGCCACCGGCGTAATAAGTCGGCTGGAATTTCTTGATTGAGTCTTCGAAAGAGGCACGCGTCCCTAAGAATGCAATATCACCGAGGGTGCCCCCGGTATTCCGATATTACCTGTACGGTATGTGACTTTCCGAGACGCCCCCGCTCGCATTTCCGTCGACATCTTGCAAGAAGATCACCACAATAAAATTCCGCCATATCGATATTCCGCAGGGATTAAAATAATGAATATCATTAAAATTCTCTAATATTTGCCTCGATAAATCTGTTTGCTGCGGGATTGACAAGTAATCGAGTTTTCTCCTTCCTAGGCCTCATTGCGTCCAGTCCGATCGATTTGCGAATCTTGTGGAAGCTGTCTAAGTCTTGAAAAGTCCGCCAGGGTGTCGTCCAATCGCGTCCCTTTTCGCATGCGTATAATGTCCTTGTCGCTGTACGCATGCACGCGGCGCCGCGGCGCTAAAACCCCCTTAAGATAAATATCCTTCCGGCGTCGACGGCATCCTGGATGCGATGGACCAGTCGGTACGTATGGGGCCGAATTGACTTTGGCATTCTGAATTTCCTCAACGTCCCGTGGATATTTTTAATTTTACAAATCGTCGATCGAGTCCATCGGGAGCGACGATGAAGACGCTGGCGTTGCTCGTCCTCGTAGAAGTCGCTTTGTCGCTTCCTCGGTCCAGCTCGCCGATCGACGTCGACGATGTCGGCAAGGTGGACCGCAACCTGGTGCATTCGGTTCCCCTGGGTTCCTTTTCGACCTTTCATTGGAGGTAGGAAACGATTGAAGGATCACCGTTTCATCTTTAAACCTCCGCGCCTATACAATACTATCCAACTATTATGAAGATTATCGTTTTTTATTTTTCAACGGGTCTCACCTGACGTTAACAAAATTCCCTTCCAGCATCGACTGGATGAAGGAAGTGATGATCGCGGAGGTGCACTATGCCGGGGAGGAAAACTCATGGTTTGCCTTGGGCTTTTCGAATTATGGCGAACTATATCCGGCAGACTATTGCGTCCTTTGGCACGATTGGCATCGACAGGTCCAACTTCAGGTCGGAATTTTCATCACTTTGTCGATCTGGGAACGTGCCAGGTTTCTCATAACTTACATCAATCCTAACTGGTATGTAAAGTGTCTATTTTGTAGGATGCGTGGGCGGACGATCATGGGAAGCTGAACCTGGACCCCCAACAGGATTGCCATGATTTCGCCTGGAAACGACGGGGAAACATCACCAAGTTCACCTTCTCCAGGAAATTCGATACCTGCGACGAGCACGATTACGTTATGGAGGTACACCGATTATTCAAAATTAAGGTGCATGACAATGTCACATACATAAACGAAAAAGTGAAAATATTAACGGGTGCGCGGAATAGATTGTGATTACTTTCCTTATACGGTCGTGATTGTTTCGCTCAGTACGGCTTTTTTAAGGATATTTGTCACCACAGAGAGGAACCACCCACGTGGTCTGGCTAAGAGGCCGCGGGCCGCTTTCTTCCTTGGCCGGGTTGCAAGTCTTGGATGCAAAGACATCCGGCATGTCCAGAACCGAATTACTGAGGGTCTCCCATCCAAAGCCGATATTTCCTCGAGACACCTGGAAGCTGGAGCTGCTCGCAAATCGAGTCAAGGTACCCGACAAAGAGACGACCTACTGGTGCCACGTCCACAAGTTGCCATCCTCCCTGAAAGAAAAGTAAGGATAAATGCTTGACGAATCTCGGAGAAAAGTGTCACGAACGATTGACCCCCCGGATGGCACATTCACATCCCCTTAATTTATCCCCAGGCATCACGTACTCCAGTTTGGGCCTGCGGTGCAGAAGGGCAACGAGCATCTCGTTCATCATATGGAAATTTTCCATTGTGTCAGTCCGACTGAGTTGGAAATTCCTGCATACAGCGGACCGTGCGATAGTCCTGATAGGCCTGAGAAAACACAGGTCGGTTAGGCAAGAACGTTAACGTAAATTCGCCGATTAATTAATCCTCATCATTATCATCAGCGTCATCGTTTTTAAGTGTCCAGTAAAGCTGGATCAGTAGTGACGAAAATCAGTGAATTCCATTAAAAACGCGAAATTCAGACTGAACCTGCTTTACGGTCTATCCAGATAGAATGTTCACAACAATTGTACGATATTTCTCTCTCACAGGTATGTAAAAAGGTCCTGGCAGCATGGGCAATGGGAGCGGACGCATTCGTATACCCTGAAGAGGCGGGACTGCCGATCGGGGGTGGAAACTTCAATCGCTACGTGATGCTTGAAGTGCACTACAACAATCCGGAACTCTCGGGAGGCCACGTGGACTCATCAGGGATGCGATTCTTCCTCACGAAGAATTTGCGAAAGTACGACGCGGGCATAATCGAGCTGGGCCTCGAGTACACCGACAAAATGGCCATTCCACCGAAACAGGTGCGATGAGGGAAACGGGAGGAGGGCCGAGTAAATTCGGTGTTGATATTTATATAAGTATTCCGCCTAAATGAGATCTTTTTATAAGTACTCTGCCGAATCGATGGCGCGCTGGCTTTGTTCCCACGAGAGTATTCAAAGTGGCGTGGTCGCCAAAAGGGTATTTATGAATTTCATTTAATCGACGTGAAATATCTGCTCGATGTGTCCGGCCCCTTTCAGGAATCTTTTACGTTGACTGGACATTGCATTACCGAGTGCACGGGAGTCGGCCTGCCGCAGAGTGGCATCCGCGTTTTCGGCTCCCAACTGCACACGCACCTGACGGGAAGAAAAGTGATAACGCGGCACATCAGAGACGGGGAAGAATTGCCGGCCCTCAATTACGACAACCACTACTCGACGCACTTCCAGGAGATCAGGTTGTTGCCGAAGCCGGTGGTGATCCTGCCCGTAAGCCCATTTTCTCATTCCTTTCATTATTTCATCCATATGAAATAATCGTGAGATAAATGACCCTTATCTTCAGGGCGATTCCTTGATTACGACCTGCACATACCGGACACTGGAAAAGGAGAACATCACTTTGGGAGGATTCGCGATATCCGACGAGATGTGCGTCAACTACATACACTATTTCCCGAGCGCTCGGCTGGAAGTACGTGGACAATATCACCCTCTAAGGAAGATTAAGGCGATACGAAACTATCATTCCATACACGAAACGTCAAAATATATATATATAAAACTTTTCTCCAAACTGGATGCACCGAATCTAAAATGAGATTCCATAAGCATCACATTCTTCCTGAGAGCCTTCCTTATCATCGAAAACGTGCTGGACGTTTCGCTACTAATTTTTCTTTTTTCGTTCTTCAGGTTTGCAAGAGCGCGATAAGCGACGACGCCCTGAGGACGTACTTCCGTTACCTGCGCGATTGGGAAAATCAGAAGACGGGCAATCGGCACGATATATCCGCTAATTACAAGAGCATCGAGTGGACCAAAGTTCGAGTAATGGCTTTGCACGACTTGTACGAAGCCGCGCCATTGGGTAAACGCGCAATTTCTTCAACATTGCCTTAATACAGCTGCATAGGACTGCACGTGCGTTATTCATTTCTTCTCTTTCGTCCTTTAACAGGGATGCAGTGCAATGGATCTGACGGATCCAGATTGCCCGGTCTCTGGGACAATATCTCGGCGACGCCCGTCAGGTTGCCTCTGCCACCTCCTGCTCGTAGCTGCGCAAGGACGAGTCCTCTGGAACGTTGATAAGATACCTCAGTCGAATCTCGTGGGCATACGCAATAGGTTTAACAAGAAATCTATATCAGAACCTCCGCGATACATTTCGGAGTAGGGATCTCTCCAAGATGGTAGAGCCTTCCCGGGTACCTTGCGTAACATTACAATACAATAATAAGAGAGTACATTACAATATAAGAAGAAATGTTAAGGTGACGAGTAGGGGATAGAAGGCGAATTAGTCCTAAAATCTAGGGACACGTAGATTCCTTGCCGAGCGCGAACTCGTCAGCGTTAAGCTTCTTGTATTGCGTGTAGAATAAATACAAGCATCAGAGAGTATAAAAAGCATTCGAGTCTTTTGGCGGTACACCACCTCGCAGTACGCAAGCTTACATTACCGGCCCCCACTTTGGGCCGATATCTTTGTACCTTCATAGTTGTAAGGAGTAGCGCGCTGTTTGTAAGAATATAATTAATCCTGTAATAATAATTAATACGTCGCCTCTATAGCTCTTAGAGAGCCTAACGCGGCCGCCCTTTGCCGGTCGCGAGAACGGCGTTTAGCAGTAACAGTGGACGATCTCTTATTACATACGGTATGAATGTACAAAAAGGGCGTACCGTAAGTCTTTACATGGTATAAAAATTAATGGTATTCAATACACATCGTTATAGTACACGTGAGCAAGTTTGCTCACACGCTGGTACCCACATTTATAGGTAGAGGGTGTTCCAACAAGATAAAGAACCTCGGGTGTATCTCACCGGTTTTTTTATTTGCTCTAACGACCTCCTACGGACCTCGAAATGAAGAAAACCGGCGAGATAAACCTGGGATATTTTCCCTGAAAGAACTTGCGACGCATTCGTTTGGTGGTTTCGTTGACGCCACAAGAAGTGGTAACGAGAGTGGGAATAATTCAAGATGGCGACCACGGCACGCTTTCGTCTTTTCCCCGTTAAATTTCACACCTATAAGGCCTCGCGCCGAACGCGTTCGGAAGGCTTTTGCCGATTAATCGAGACCGCGTTTAATCTCATATCTTTTAGGGCATTTTTCCAGCGGTCTCCTGGCGAGAGTTTGAATTTTAATCCCCCCCGTAGAAAATATAAAAAATAATTCTTCTCAGCTCGCCCTAGCAAGAACTCGCGACTCTTCGAGGAACCTTTACTCCAGGATCGGAGAAATGCGACGAAATACTCCGCTTTTCGATACTAACTCTTAATCGGAAATTGAGTTATTTTCAGTTAAATACGATCGGAAAGCGCCCGTAAAATTGAGGAATGAGCAAGGGCCTTACTCTTAGGTAGAAACTTCGGAAAGAAAAATCACGTCGGCTACGTCCTAAGTTAATAAACAATCGAACAAAAAAAAAAAATACACGACTGCCTAAAGCATCAACGACCGACCGGCCTATGTACTCTATATGTATACATGTATATTATATTGCAAAGTATAAAATATGTAACGTGGTCCGTCGAGTACACTACTACGGGGTTCGATTATGCAGTACGTACACTTAAGAGTAATCGTCGCGAAATTTACCTTCCACAGTGAAATTGAATTATTATTCGTAAACGCTTGCAGAAAAACTAGGCGTCTACGAAATGTAACTGCCGGTCAGTTTTTGACGGATCGTGTACCCCAAAAATCGGCCTATTCATTACGGGACGACAATTCGACAATTAACCCAGATTGGTATATTTTACGGATTCGGTGATCACTATGCATTCACATTTTCTGCGAAAACGTGAGAAATCTAGTCGAATGCCGGCTAGGGAATTTCAGGGGATCAGGGGAGTCGTACTACTCCCGACAAGATACATTTACTCCGGTAAGACAAGGGACTTGGACTAGAGCGACTGATTGTTTAACTGCACGTGCATCTGCAAGAAACAATACAAGATCCCAGCCTGGGCCATCACGTCGACGGTTCCAGCAGCCAGGGGATCGCGACTCTTGGCGTCCGACCTGCTGTTCGTTCCGGGCCGGAGCAGCGTAGGTCCGAAAACCGTGGCCAGGTTGTGCAGGGACATTTTGTTCTGAGCCTCGTGTTTGTTTACGCGTATCAGGTGAGCCAACAGGAAATCAATGACGGCCCTGTTGACCGAAGGCAGTCCCTCGTAGACGCGACGAAGAGCCGAGCCCCTGGACAGCTCTCCCGTCTGGAACGCCTCCAGGAAAGCAGGATACAAAGCGTCGGTAAAAAGGGCTTCGGGCATCTCTCGGAGGTACAGCTTCAGGACTCCCGTCACGGAATGCACGTCAACCTGAAAAGCAGCGGCGAGATCGGTTTAGCTCGACTTCTTCCTAGGCTTTTCTCATAAGACCTTTAAGCCTACTTAATGAAAATTTCGGAGTGGGAAGTCAAATGCAAGGTTTAGATATACATGGCCGAAGGTGCAAACCTCTTTCAGAAGTTGTTCCGCCTCGTAGGAATTGCTTTCGAACGACTTGCGCAATTTGGCCAGATCCGAGGCAGATCCGGAAACGCGATACAATCCGACCTCGCCGACCCCTCGTCTCTCCACCTCCCGGACGCAGGCAGTGATTATGAAAGGTACGTCTCGTTTCTCTCGCCTGAAACGGTTTCATCATTATTGTATCGCTCCTTGTATCGGGTGCTGTGCCAAAGAATTCAAAAGTTCCAAAGAAGCCCAGATCCTATGTTAGCGATTGATGCTCTAAAAGTTGGCTAATTAACCAGGAGTGGGGCTAAAAGAGAGAGCTCACGTGTTAGCCAACGGTATCTCATATATAATAGAGAAATAGAGACACATATAGAAAGGCGAGTACTATGGGTAAGATAAAGAAAGTATACAATTCGCTATGTATCGCCGTAAGATTAAGAGGGATGGAGAGGTGATTACAGCGCCGCCATCCGTTGGCTAACGTACTATTTATCGAGCATCAAACGTCCGGGTCCTTCTGGGCTTCTATGGAGATTTCTGAATTCTTTGACCATGCAGACTTTCGGGCTCACTTGCAGACTTGCTGGATCCTTGCACCGAACAATCCCTGGGGCTTGGCCGAGGGAACTCGCCTGAGGGTCACCTCGCTGGGGACAAATCTTAGGGTGACCTCGAGAGTGGTCGGCCCCAGGTTCATGGACCTTTCCACCTGGTCGGATTGGAGCCAGGACCTACTCAACCGCTGGATACTTTTGCCTCTTAACACGGACCGAGGTCCACACTCCTCGTACAGGAGGATCCTCACGTTCTGACTTCCCTCCAGCTCCACGACGAACGTCTCGCCTTAAAGAGAAGAGAGCGAAATTTCGTACGATAAATATCAGCGTAATTCGGTAACAAGTGACGGTGACGGATAAGTTCTCCAAAATGCTCACCCCAGGTCGGTGCTTGGGCCCTGACCACGCGGCTCTTGGCTCTTTTGAAGTAGTGTCCGTAGCTGTCGACCTCCACCACGATGTAGAGATCTCCAGGTCGGTCCAAGCCTGGAGGCGTGAGGCCCAGCAGGGTCAGGTGCAGATCGCCGAGCAGAAGACTTTCGTCTCGACCTGACCTCAACAGGTAACTACCCATGTCGGTTTGCAGGTAAGTACGGCAAGCGGTGACCCACGCTTGTAGTTCGTACATAGACAGAGGCAGAGGACCTGGAGGCTGTCCACCCTGTTGAAGTCAATCGAACGAGTCAATCCATACTCTACTAACACTCATATAATACTGTTATATTATATGAAAATTTGCAACAAAAAAAAAAACATCAATGGATTATGCATCGCTGCATTAGTACACTACAGTACAGTACAGATTCGTTATTTGGGACCGCAAAGAAACGATCTTACACACCTGTTGTAGCGCCTCCACCGCTTCCACCCACTGCGAGCGCTCGAATTCGCTCGAAAGGAAGAAGGTGTAGGAGTTTTGAACGCGGTGTTGATTCCTGTGAGACACTCGCAACACCAGGTTGGGGGAGGCCAGGACCAGCTGAGCTTCCAGCTCGGCGAGCTTCTTCCGGTGTTTCTCCGAACCCCTGCCACCTAGTCGGATTCTTTTCTCGTCGTTGCGCTCCTCCCACAAGATTTGATCTCTGACGGTGCAAGCTTGGGATCTGTCGAAATAATGGAAATCTTTCATGGCTGGGCTGATTTGGATAATCTCGATTTAAAACCGTGATTTCAAAAAGGAAAATCAAGGATTTTTAATTTTTTAAAAGGTGACTTTTATACCTCAGGGCCACGACATTGGCTGGACTCGTTTCTCTAGGTTCCACGCTGTCCTCCGAGACCGCGGCCTCGGCCACGGGAACGTACCACTTCAACTCGAACGTGAATTTGTCCCTGCCCGAGGCTTTGTACTTGGCACAAGCAATGACATCGTTGAAGAGGAACAGGTGCCTCAGCTTCCTATGCCCATCGGACAGCTCGACCACAAAGGAATTCTTGACCAGCCTCCTCTGGGCTCGATCGTGGCTCTGCAATGTAAACCAGATTGTTTTATTTCTAAATACTCAGAAAAAGACGAGGAATAAAAATGTCCTGTTCGTTACCGGAAACATCGACTTGGTTTGAATGATATTGAACTCGTCCAGGAAATTCCTCGTCATGGCCAAAGCATCCGACAGAGGAGCATGATCTGCGTGGTTCAAAGGCGTGTGCTTCAGAAGATCCTGGAACCGATTCAAAGGAGATAGATAAAGCGCTCAGACGGTAGAAAAAAAAAAAAAATTGGAAATGGGACAGAAAACTCACGTGTAAAACCAAAGCATTCTTCTGAACACGAGCCACCGGTTTGTGAAGGAGATCTTCGAGAGAAAGTCCCGGGCCCTTGGGGAAACTTTTTAATCTGATGTCCCTCGTAATCTCTCCAAACTGCGTGGATTGGGTAGAGCATCTTCGCACGGTATCGGTGGCACGAGCGTAATTGTGAAGGAAGGCACCATACAGTCCGATATTGCTTGCCATAATCTAAAAGGAGCATACAAAATTGCAGGAAAATTTAAAAGTCAAATATCTAGATCTTGAAAATTGATTAGAGTCGCAAGCATTACTATCTCTGTGATATTATTTATAATTCACCGTAACGGGTGATTTGATTTACAGCGATTAATTAATTTAATTTCTCATGCAATCGACACTTCATTGACAGTTACCAACCTTGAACTGCTCCCCTATAGTTGTTTTATTATCCCACTTTTCGGTTTTCCTTCGCAAGCCATCTAAGAAGTTCTGATGCAAACCATGCAACTCGGGGATTTTGTAAAACATTGTTCCAAACTCTTCTTCTGAAATAACAGGCTGCGATGTCGTTAAGGTAGCTCGAATGGCTTTCATGTACTGTCATAAAAAATAAACAAATCTCGTTTAGTTTTACTCGATTATCCACATAGTTGAATGTTTACTTGAGTCTTGTATTCTGAGTACTGCTGTTACCTGCAACATTACGGTCAAGCACTCTACGTAAACAGCTTCACTGTCGACCACTGAATTGACGATGCACTTCACCATGGACGTCCTGTCATCCTCTCGATCTTTGTTCTTTTCCTGTCTACGAGGTGTAGTCGGTGTGGGGGATTCCAAGCTACCCTCGCTAAGACTCAATGGTTCTGCATCGCTGCTGCCTGTTTCGTTGTCGGTGCTAAGAGCTCGCAAGAGGATCGGTGGTGGTGGACCAGCACCTTCTTCGTCTTCGCTGTCCATTGCAGCTCTGTGTCTAAAAAAAAATGCAACGGTAAAATATATATCCATCTGCCATCGAGAAAGCCTAGTCAATTCGCGATATTTACTGGATGAAGTAATCGATGTTCACATAGTTGCTCTGATTTCCTGGAGAATCCGGAAGAGAAGGTGGTCTACGGATTGGAATTCGATTTCCAGTACTTCCCACAGGTGGGACGCGAGCATCGATGTAAACATACTCCCCGGTTTGGTCTAACGCTACCGAATCGTAATAAGGTTCCTCTTCAGAGGCTTCGGCGTCACCATCTTCTCCATCTTCGTGAACCGCCTTTTCAGAATCTACGTAACATCAATCAATTTAATGGTGGTCCGTAAAAATAGGTACACAAGAAATGTCAGTAAATTTAATGTTGAATGCGATAAGGATCGCATACATAAATGTATAAACGATATCGTTACCTTTCTCATCCTCTTCCTTGACCACATCTTCGTACTTGTCCCTCTTTGAATTACCAGTAACTTCGATCACCGTAACATAATTACTTGGCACATCGGGATCACTATTTCTTCTGAGCTCAAGATTTTTTTCAGGACTTTTAGGAATTTCGCTTTTCGGCCTTCTAGCAGAGCTCAAAGTGGAGCTCAATTCGGAGACGCATTTGTCCTGCAATTTACTGATATCCTCCCGTACAGGAAGGGGCGGTGCCAATGGGTCGGCACTATGGGAATGAACGGAGTTCTTCGAACCATATAGGATATCCTCAGAAGAGTTACAGTTCTGCTGTTCAGAAGACTCTGTTCCAGCAGGCTTTGATTCGGTAATCGAGGAATTGGAATTAACAGACAACTGTTTGAGCCTCTCCACATCTGCCAGCAGTCTCTCCAAATACTCCACATAAAACTCTTCCTTCTCCAGCTCCTCCCTCAGAGCCGTTACCTGTACAAAAAATGCCACCCCGTTAACGATTCCTTATCCGACACTGATATCTAGATCCAGATAACACCAAGATTATTAAATTCTCTCGTTAAAGGTCCGATCGGCATGACTCACTCCCTCCATTCTAACAAAATGGTAGTGTCAACACCTGTCCGAATACAAACTACACAAAACTCGCAGTACTCGATTTGCAAATAAAGACACCAAAGTTAAAGCCTTCTTTCTTGCTTGGCTTCACAAGTTTCTTACTCGTTCCTCCAGTCGTAGGACTCTAAAGTCAAAAAAAGCCAGGAAACTCTCGATGACACATCACGATCAGGAAATTTTCCTGCAATTCTCCGCCCATTGGTGCATAACCTCTGTACTCCAAAAGGCGTCGAGGGAAGCTCCTCTTCTGGAGGTAGCGCGGCACCTAACCTTTAAAGCGAGGGTTAAAAGTGTTAAAGGCAAAGGGAAAGCTCACTAGACTCACCTTCTGCTTGTGTTTGACCAGGTTGGCCCTGACATCCTCTTCCCAGGCTGCCGGCAGTGCGCTATCCGGGAATCGTTGCACCCAGACACGCTGAAAGTCTCCGAAAACGCTCATCCCTCCGCGACGTTCCTCGAGGGCGACGGCAAGGATCACCTCAGAGTTCCGTCCGCATCGCACCCCGCCTCTCGGGCACCGATTGCTGGCTCGTCGCGGCGCCGAGGACCGACGTCAGACGCATCCGTTGCCTCGCGAGCCTGCGGCTTCCTCGACGAACCTCCCCGAGAACAGCGGACGAAATTGCAGCACCTGGCCAAGGCAATCCCCTCGGAACCGAGCGTCACTCAGGCGCTGTCATCTTGTCGTCGACATCTCCTGCGTAGCCTGCGTAGTCACGATCCGATCGAGGGATTCTCCTATCATTTCGACGGCCCCCACCCGCCTATAACCTATTGCAGCTGACTCCTCGAACTCGCGACGTCGGTCCGCCCTATCGCGGGAGTGGCGTCACCTGCCAGCGTCTCCTAGAATTAACGAGTTTCCGTAACAAAAGGTAATCTCTGAGACGGATAAAACTGCGGACGCCATTCGGACTAAACGTCGATCGGTTTCGACGCGCCACCGTTAGATGGCGGGAACGCACGAAATTTAAAACAACTCCCGGGAGAATTTGAAAATTTAAGAGAATTCGCAGAATTTGTATTTAAATTACTTTATGAAAGTAATTAATAATTTTAATAGGTAGATAATGGGATATTTAAGACGAAGAGATGAAGCTCAAGACTCCTTAAAAAAAATGAAATTATGAAAGATATTTTACATACTGAGCCTGTTGAAAATTGCCTGAGAGAATGACTCCTTGCATGGCCATGAAAAATCCGTTTTATTGACCGTGCAACATGTAACATTGTGCCACTGCGTGGAGTCGGTAGTTATGGTTACGAGTTCACTATAGTCGTTAACTGGAATTAATAATAATTATCGATTAAAATTAAAATGGTTAACTGGAATTAGTAACTTAAAATTAGAACGCGCTTTAACGGCAGATTTATCATTTTGACCAAATCGAACGGTTACACACTTAAGGTGATGCCGCTTCCACATCCCCTTAATTAAAGACCTCTGCTAGTCGTTATGCAATGGCGTATATCTATTCTCGTACATTCGCGTATAAAATAACGACTCATGATCCACGACCCGTTGACAAATGTCTCCGGGTCATCCCCCACCAGTCTAAAGGAAATCGGACGGTCAAGAAACCTCGCAACGGGCTTGGAAAAAAGAATCAAAGTGACTTTATTGCTAATCCTTCCTGGAGCGTATAGTATAAACGGGATAATTAATTAGCACTTTAGTCATCGCTACATTTTTCCATACCTTGTTCTGAAGTGGAGAAACATCTATCGATAAAATAACACAATAAATATTCCCCTCGCGTATCCTAGAGTTAACAAAACGTCTTCCTCGTCTTCAGCTCGACCTATAAAATTCCTTTGTATAGCCTTTTGCCTCGACATATTGTGTCGATGCATAAGTAATGACCTTTTTTAACACGTGATATAACGTGTAAAAAAACGTCATTACTTATGCATCAACTCGATACGTTTACCTCATTGACATGTATAATATGGATACGAGAATGCTACTGACATTTTAAACAAAACCGTAACTAGTAACCACAAAGTGGGAAAACTTAATTTCCTTCGCGTACTTGCGTAAAGTCGCATTGCCATTATCCCCGACTTAAGGCGATGTGAAAGTGGCGTCAAACGGTTATCGAAAATCTCCCGAGAACAGCCCATCTGAAGAATACAAATTTTTAAAACTGTCTTAACAACCATTTATTACATGAACTCCTGGATACTAAAATTCTATACCTCTTTCTTCTAAATAATCTAAATCGTGGTATTCTCCATTTTATTATAATTAATTCAAATTTACAATAGGTGCATTTACTCTGCGTTTGACGAGTACACGCGGTAATCGTTTGCTTTCAATTAGGCGACAAGATAAGCACTTTCAAGAAAGAAAATTCCACCGTTAAAGGGTCGAAGAGGGCGACGCGTAACGTCAAAGCCACAAATTAAATCGCTTCACGGGGTTTATGGCTTTCCGTATCCACAGTATACATATCAGTGATATACCACTGTGCCGAACACTGTCTTCACGACGTTAAATGCAAAGACGACTCTCGGATCGACGGTGTCGTACGTATATCTCAAGCTCGATTTACAGACGTCCGTTTCGTATCCGTTCAGTATCCGCTCCGTATCCGTTCAGTATCCGTTCAGTATCCGTACCGTCCACGTAAAAGGGGCGAGAAAGTAACGCCAAAGAAATCTCATCTATGAAACTTATCTCCGAGCTGGAGGACCGATACGGAACGGAAGTGTAAATCGATTTTAAGAATTTTCTGATCTAACCGTCGGAGAGCGAGCCTACGAAGCGAAGAAACCAAATTCGAGATGATTTGACGCAGAGTAAAGCGAACACGAGGGTCCAGGCTCGGCGACGAGTCTCCTTCGAGGCACCCTAACTTCAATCCCGCGTCTTAAGGTGAAATGAAAGAGGCGTCGAAGAGATCAATAGTTCATCCTTTCTCCAAACTGGGTGTACCGAATCGTTTGAAATTCTACCAGGTAAACGTAGAAACCCTAAGGAAGGTTCCGACACCCATGAGATTTCATTTTTTTTTTAATTTGTTTATAAGTGATGTTAAAGGTTTCATATCAAAACTGTATTTTATGGGTGGAGGGACCTTCCTCAGGGCCTCCACGATCACGAGGTAAAGTTTCAGAGGATTGGGTATACACCATTTGGAGAAAAGTCTCATAGACGACTGCTAATTGAGACGCCCCTTTGAAGTCGCCTTCATCTCGATGTTTCCTCCGCGGACTCCATCCGAAGGCCCGTCGTCGAGCCTGGAGCTGTCCTCCGCGTCTCCCGTAATTTACACTGGACTCTCACTGCGGAAGAGCGAGTGTCGAAGAGACCCCGAAGAGACCTCGAAGAGGAGGCCCGGCGACCCTGGCTCGAGTTATTGCTGGACTGCTGGGCGAGCGCGGCGCGTGACGAGCCGTATCGTAAAATAGAGATTTGTCGAAAGTGAAGATGCGACGACTCGAATTTCTCTGGTTGAACCCTTAAGCCGAGGGGGTATTCGCGCGAGCTCGAGGTATGAGGGTGGACGAGCACGAGACCGAGTTGCCTATTCGTACAGTGACACCAACCGCGCATTATTCGTATCATCACTCGTACATTCGAGCCGCTATTACTCGTGGCGATATACTTGCCAACTCGGCACGGACTCGACCTCTCGTTGGCAGTTCCCGATTTCGAGTACCTCAACATATGCATATTGATAATAATTATTCGAGTTTACTCGAGCAGCCGACTCAGCCTCCCGTTGGCAACGCTTACAAATTCGAATAACTCGAGTAGGAGATAGACTCGACTCGAGTCGGCAGCGCTTTCGAATCCGCGGAAGTGGAGTCGCCAAGACATTCGACTCGTCGCATCGTCACCGGTAGAAAGTAGCAGGGGGCCGGTGAGTGTTTGGGCGAGAGGTCCGGCTCCTCAGGGCAGGGTGTAGCGAACGTAGGGGACCTCGACGTCGTTCCCGTCCTCGTCGTTGCAGCACAGCTCGAAGACGAGAGCGCGGACGTGGGGCTCCAGCTTCTTCTTGGAAACCTTCTTGACGACCTCCGACATGGGGAGGCCCATGCGCTCCTGGCACTTGGCCTTGGCCATGAAGAACGAGTAGAGCATGCAGACGCCCTGGGAGAGCATGGTCACCTCCAGGTTGTGCCGCTCCTTGAAATAGTCGAGGAACTCCTTCAGGGTGAGCTCGCCCTTCACCTCGAAGCGGTCCCAGAGGGTCCACTCGGTGTCGTAGTACTTGAGCCGGGGCGCGGCAATGGGCTCGGAGAACCCGAAGAAGGGCAACGCAAGGTTGACGAAGCCGTTCTTGAAGATGTCCAGTCGGCGAACACCGCGCGCCAGCTTCAGCAGCTCCAAACAGGCGAGGCCGGCGACGACGGACGTAGTGGTCGCGATCGCCGGGATGATCTTCCCGGCGATGAGCTTGCTCTTGTGCCGGTCGGCCGGGGGGATCCTATAGTTGGCGGCTCGCAGGTTCGACGCGGCCACCACGAAGTCAACGTGGTAGTTGGAGTCGTCATCCTTCTCGAACTCCTGGGGTCGGATCACCAGGCTGGTCAGGTCCTCGGGCCTCGGCAGCTCCTGCTGCAGCTGGCCCAGTCGCTCGTGGTCGAGGGCTCCGCTAGCTACGCTGTCCGGACCGGCGCCGTTGGCCACCTGCACCTGCGAGTCCGTCTCGGCGATCTTCACGCCCGACCTGGTGGAACGAACCGATACTAGTTATAATACGAGTATTCACCCGACACCTTAGTCGATTACAACTACTTTTATTCTACTTTCCTCAAGTTTCAAATTATTAGATGGACTCCTTTTGGAGAAAAGTTTATATAAATATGTTGACTTCTTGGTATATATGAGACACTTTGAAAATACCTTACGCTATAAGTGAGATACAAATACAAGGACCCCCATCCCGAGTATCAATTGTTACCAGAGTACCGACCTGGGCGTGAACTCAGGCACCCGGGTGGCGGCGGCGATCCGGGCGATTTCAACGCGATCACGGCTTCCAGGTAGTCCATAGACGCGAGCCTTAAGGTTAGCCGCGGCGACGATGTAGTCCAAATGCAGCGGCTCCTCCGGATCAAACACCAGCGGCACGGGGCATCGCTTGGGTCCCGACCAGAAGGGCTGTCCGCTGGAGGTGAGCTGATCCGGCGGGAAGTTGAATAGGAGCTGGCGGATCTGGTTGCTGTACTGCTCCTGCCAGTGTCGACGAGCCCATCCGACGCAGTCAGCAAAGCCCCTTGGTCGCTCGTCCACGAGGGCGGCTTTGACCGACTCCAGGACCTCCAGGGGCTGGACTCCCGGGAGCTTGAGGGTGCGCTCCAAGAACTGCGGATCCGCGAGGTACTGGGCTGCGTTTTCCGCAGCCTGCTTGAAGAGGCCTTCGAAGCAGTCGCGCGCCCACTGAAGAGTATGTTCGATCGCGTTCGGGAAGTTCTTCAGGGTGCATATCGGGATGCTCTTCTCGGGCGGGTCCTGCGACGAGCTGTACGACTCGGTCAGGAAGGGCACGACCACCTGGGTGTTGCCCTTCGTTCCGAGGGTCCCCGACTCCAGAAGTGGCTTCCGATAGTAGACGCAACGCCGGTCCATGTAGATGCGCGCGTCCACGTTGTCCAGGGCGTTGGCCACCCCGTCGAGGGCCTCAAAGAACTCGTCGTTGTAGACCCGCTCGGTCTCCGGGCATACTCGGTTCTCGTGGGCGATCACGTTCATCCCCGGATTCATCGCCCTCACCGCTCTGGCCGCTGTCGAGGACTTCGAGCGCTGCACGTCCGCCGGACGGAACAGGAACTGCCGGTTCAGGTTCGACTTCTCGATCAGGTCCATGTCGGTCACCGTCACGCTGCCTCCACCTGCTCCCACTCCCAGCATCGCCAGGTTCTTCAGTAACTCGCAGCCGATCGCCCCCGCTCCTACCACGAAGTAGCGCAGCTTGCCCAGCTCCTCTTGGAACTTCCGCCCGAAGACGGCCACCTGTGCGTCGTATCTATGGAATATAAACGATGCGAGTTAAATTAACGATTTGAGCACTTACTTGATGCATCTACTTTGAGACCGAGTATTTTTGACATTGGTATCCAAAGATCCGATGCAAATAGGAATCGATACTTTTTTTTCTAATACCAAGCGTGTATCGATACTTTCCTTCGATGTCAGTAATAAGTAAAAGTATCGATACTTAGGTGATGTCAATTAACCCCATCATACCTGGACGAGGTAGGCCGGCAGTCCTCCTCGGTGAGCTCGCTACGATCAGCTGGCAGGCACTCGATCGCATCGAAGTAGAGCCACTGATAAATCGGATGGAACTTGCCCGAACAAGCCTTCATAACTTCCTGGGCGACGATGCCACCAATGATGGCGTTCATGGGGCTGAGGTCGCCAGCTGCTGTCTTAGCAAACGTCTCGACGAGCCTAGCATCTACCTTCTCCCCAGTGCCAAACTCCTGCACCTTCGCAGTAATTCGCACCAGCTCCTTCGCATCTTCCTCGTTCCACGGCCGAGGTGGTCGGCCCTTTTCCTCAACGAAGGCGTGCAAACCCAAGAATGCTCGATGTAGCTGCGTCGGGTGCTCAAACTTGGCAAAGTCCGACACGACGAACTCTGGCGTCTTCAGGGCTTCCTTCAGTGGCAGGAAGCGCAGGGTCTTCGGCATCTTTGCCTGAGTAGCGATACCTCCACGTAAGTATTCAGAGCATCCAGAAGTATCCCCAATACTAAAGGTATACGGTCCAAGCACTCTGATCTTCTTAGGCTCGCAGTCGTTCAACTCGACCATTCCCTGGACCTCGGAGAAGGTGACATAATCTCCATCTTCCATTCCATGTCGCGTATCGTCCAGACAAGTAACAACCCCCTCGGAGTCTCTGGAGATGCTCGCGATCATGGCACTAACCGGAGGCTCTCCATTGGTATCGACCACCACAAAAGCCTCTCCAAAGTCACAGAACACCTGCGAAAAGAGACCATGCGTGTCGGCAATGACGAGTGCGATGCCATGAGCCCTGGTAATTTCAGAAACGCGCAGCTGCTCCTTCAGTGATGCATCCGTTAGAACGACCACCTTGAACCTCTCTAGGTAGTCTTCGGTAAGCTCTCCGTCATAGAAATTAGTCGGCACGTAGTTGTTCAATTCAGCAAGGCGCCTGCAGCAGGCGGCAGCTCGATTCTTGCCGACATCCGCCTGGGTCAAGTAGAACTGTGAACCCAGGTCGACCAGACGGCAGAGCTTGGTGTCGTGCAGGGTGACCGACTTGACACCACCCAGGATGATGTTCTTGGCGACCTCGACGCCCAGTCCTCCGAGGCCCGAAATAAGGACGTCTGACGTAGCCATGCGTCGCATGGCATCGTGGCCCAGGACATAGAGCTGCCTCGAGTACAGACCCTCGTCGATCTCGGCTCCTGAGGCGGAATCGGTCGCGGTGGGCGCACCGGACGCGGAGCCGTTCTTCGCCATGTCTGCGAATGCTTCGGCCTCGTCGGCTCCTCCCGTAGTCGCAGCAACGCGTCGCTTTTTGGCTGGGGGGTCAACGGAGCTCTCCACCACCTCAGCACTAGACATCGGACCTCACGGTGGCCGTATATTAGATCTCCGGATCGTCTGGCCCGGCGAGCTTAGCGAGCCAAGCCGCGCGCGGTCTACTCACGCGCCTCCGCCGCGGCGTCGACGCGTCCTCTAGGTCCTCCTCCGGGTCGCGCCCCAACTCGCCGAGATTACGCGCACTGAGCTCACCACTCTCCTCCGGACTGTCCATGCAAGCGCGAGCCCGCGCGCGTTCGGCTGCTCCGCCGTTGCCAGGCCGAGCCGCCTTCGACCTGCCTCTCGAACCTTCTCCGGATTGCTCCGGACGTTCCTCCGATGCCCAAGGCCGAGACCGATGCCGATCGAACCTTGCCCCCGCGATGCGGTTCCGTATCCTACAGGACCAAGAAAGATGAAACCCGATTACGCCAACGACGCGCTAATCGCACCAGTGACTCGTCCGGAATTGGTCGCACGAGAACGGAACGAGAGATACTGCTCGCCGAGACAGCATTGCTAGCCACCGCGAGTGCTGCCCCTGTGGACGCCACGCGAACTAGGTTCACCTTCTTGACGCGACAACTATGATCTGGTCGTGGAGCTTGTGCAAATGGGAAAGATATGGGGTGAAGGCTAGGCTACGCCGTGGAGTATGTTTACACCAGATATCTCACATCGATTTTATAACTGACAATTTCGTGTGTATGTGAAATTGACAATTTCGTGTGCATGTATGTATGTATAATACGTACCCACGTGCTTAGGTTTTTATACGATGTAGAAATTATTCTCGATGTCAGATATACGAATTTATTATTTAATATACGATTTTCTTCCAGAAATTTTTGCCTGAAGGTATTTTAATAGAACGTGTTAGATCTTCCTATTTGATATAATGACTAATGGAGCTATGGACGACACGTGTTCCGAATCTAACAAACCTGAGATCAAGAGAGTTTTGACAAGATTTAAATCAGACACAGGAGAAATCTTGTCGGGTGGGTTGTTGGATCTTCCACTGGACGTTACTGTAGATAAGTTACAACTCATTTGCAATGCCTTGCTCCAATCCGAGCATCCGATACCATTGGCATTCTATATCGATGATGTCCAAGTCGTTGGGACTTTGGAAGAAAATTTGGATGGAAATTTCAGCACGAGTGAAAATGTCGTTGAGATCGTTTACCAACCGCAAGCAGTCTTTAAAGTCAGGGCAGTTACCAGGTGCACCGCGTCTATGGAGGGTAAGAAGTTTCGATATTATTGTTTTATCTTAAATTTTTATAATGATTTTCATATTTTATAATCAATCATCTCGACAGGTCATCGAGAGGCTGTGGTGTCTGTTGCTTTCTCACCAAATGGCAAACATCTAGCAAGTGGCTCTGGAGATACGACGGTACGATTCTGGGACATTCATACGCAAACTCCTCATTATACTTGTACAGGACACAAACATTGGGTTTTATGCTTAGTTTGGTCTCCCTGTGGTACAAAACTCGCTTCTGCCTGTAAAAATGGGACCATCCTACTGTGGGATCCCGAAACGGGAAAACAAATAGGTAAAGTATTGCTTATAATTGTGAATGTACTTTTTCAACAAAAACAAATGACAAACCACTCAATTACGGGCTTGGTGACATGTATCACAATAATTTGTAATAAACAATGTGCAATTTATAACTTAGGCAAGCCAATGTTGGGACACAAGATGTGGATAACAGCTTTGTCCTGGGAACCATTTCACAGTAATCCAACCTGCCGATTTTTAGTCAGTGCATCCAAAGATTGTGACTTGAGAATATGGGACACTGTACTAGGGCAGACGTCGAGGGTTTTAGCTGGGCATACGAAAAGTGTCACTTGCGTTAGATGGGGTGGAACTGGCCTTATATATTCAGGCTCACAGGATCGGACGATCAAAGTCTGGCGTGCTTCAGATGTAATTTCAATTTCATTTATGCACAGAAAATGTAACAATAACCAATCAAACAGACTTGACAAAGCTGAATTTCTTTTTTTCTGGAAAGTGATTTTTTTGCTTGGTGAATATCAAACATACTACATATAATATAGTAAATTTATTTTTTAGGGGATTCTGTGTAGAACTTTAGAAGGTCATGCACATTGGGTTAACACATTAGCTTTGAATGTTGACTACGTTCTTAGGACTGGACCTTTCGAAATAAAGGCAGAAAATAGTAACGATGATCCAGTAGAGAGAGCCAAGTCACGCTACGAAGCAGTAGGAGATGAGAAACTCGTATCTGGGTCCGATGACTTTACTCTCTTTCTGTGGTATCCAGCAAAGGAAAAGAAACCAATCGGTATTATAGTATTACACAATTATCTTATGAATAATGAATTATAAATGCACTCATAATTCATAACAAATCTAATATTCCAGGGAGAATGACAGGACACCAACAGCTGATCAACGATGTTAAGTTTTCTCCAGACGGCAGACTGATTGCATCGGCTTCCTTCGACAAATCGATAAAACTTTGGGACTCGAAGACAGGAAAATATATCAGTTCCTTGAGAGGTCATGTTCAGGCCGTTTACTCGATTGCATGGAGTGCGGATTCTCGACTTCTCGTCAGTAGTAGTGCCGACTCGACTCTAAAAGGTAAAACCTGAACCACATAAATTATCCAATACTTTTAGTATCATGAAAATGATTTGATTATAGTTTGGAATATGAAGAATAAAGGTCTTGACCAAGATTTGCCGGGACATGCTGATGAGGTATACGCCGTTGACTGGTCTCCGGATGGTCTACGAGTAGCATCTGGTGGAAAGGATAAAGTATTAAAGCTGTGGCAAAATTAAATCGACGTGTTTTCTTAACCTTGATCATATTTTTAAGTTTCCCTTTCCCGTCTTACAAATAAATGTACGGTCACTTTAGTGCAGTTCTCCGGATTTCGAATCTGCGCGCCCAGAACGCGCACTTTCCGGTTATGGTCGCCATGTATCATACATTTTATTATTGTACATATTACCAACACACAGCCGTTAGTTCAATCAGATGGAGTAATGTTGAGTTGTATTAAAATATTCCCGATATGCTGTGAAGTATCATTTTGATAAGTCTTGCCCTTTGCACTGAGTCATTTTAATGATACTTTTCTTGGTTTGAAGTTATTCTTATAATTGCCAATTTATTTATCAAGACTTTGGAAGTTATAAAATGGGACTGTCCAAGCCTTCTCATGTCATCCAAGAAATTGTAGCGGCTTATCTGCAGCGACTTTACACCAGCCCGGTAAAAACCAAAGCCGCAACAAGGTAATTACACGTTTAATAGTTACATTCATTGACACAGTTTCGATGAACTAACTAAGGTATTCGATAACTCCGTTTTAACAAAACTATCTAATTTCAGCTGCGTTATCACTGCATTGGGGAATCTCACAGGTCAGAAACTGTCCAATGTAAAATTCATCAATCAAGACAGCCTTATGGCATTTGGCTTGTTTGGGTGAAGCATTTTGTAGATATAAAGTAAATATCATTTCTCGATATTCCAGTAGCTCTAATTTCCTATCTCCGTGATTTCTTGCAGATTACTCTTCGGTGGTACCGTACCGCATTATTTTTATAAATATGTTCGTTTAATTACAAAAAATCCATGGGGAATTTTGCTCATTGAGAGACTTTTGTACACACCGATCTTCCAAGGAGCAACGCTTTATTTACTCGCTTGGTTAGAGGTACGTCTTAATTTGCTAACGGAAAGATTCTAAAGCAATGCGAATTAATGCTCCAATTTTCTAGGGCAAGTCACATGAAGCTTCCATGAAACAGACACAATCATTATATGTGCCTGTACTTGCTGCTAATTTGAAATACCTGACGTTGTTGCAGTTTCTTAATATAAAATATGTTCCGCCAATGGTAAGATGAGTATTGCTATAAAATATATAAAGTAGCAAATATCGGTACATAATCAAAGACTTTGGATTACAGCTACATGTTTTGGTCCTAAATCTTATCAGCTACTTCTGGACAACTTTCTTAGCCCATCTGTGGATAAAGTCCATGAAAGACCGAAGCAGTAGCAAAGTAAGCAAGAAGACATAATCAGATTTATACCGTGAGATCGTCCAAAGTTGTTATCAGTTTGGGTGAAGGAATTCGAGTATAAATATTCGCAAAACATTTCTTTAATTATTTCCTGCCGAGATGATTTTTGTTTTCATTTTTAATCATTCCATGCACTACTGCAAAGTGCAAATTTCTTACCGATCACCTCGAACTCCTGGTTCAAGAATTGTTCCTTTTATTTTCGCAAGCTTACCAGAATGGCATTTCTGAAACGGGAAGAACAATGTATATCAAAAAGCATAAGTGAGGCCTTTGTACTCCAGGGGGTATTATTAGTTACAAGTTAATTTCTACATTGTTATATTCAATAAATCGTTTTAGCGGTTACTTTAGTCGTCTCTCATTGAAGCGAAGCACTGTCCTAGATAAGCATTTCGATTTAATCACACAACAACAATACATATTATGTTACAGATATATTTAGAATTTCCACTTTAACCACAGTAACATTTTACGTCTGGAAATGCGAGCTATGAGTATTTTACCGTTAACAGCCAAGGTGATGTGACAATGCGACGCTAAATCAATCATAGTGTATTGAGTATTAGCTATTTGTAATGTGATCTTGTCAGAAGAAACATTTAATTCGTAAATTGATTTGACACACACCTTGGTCTCATGCACGACATTCGAACGTGTCAGTTAATCGGTGTTGAAATACCAACTGACACCGATGGCCAATAACTCTTTGGACAGTACATTTCGAATATTTACTATTGCTACGCACAGTTTCTTAGTAACTTCCTCTAGTTGTTACAAACAACGTAGATTCCATGTGAAAGATTTAGTCAATTATGTCTTTTGTTATGCTGCCTGGCACCAGGGCCATAAACCAGTTGCAGTGACTAGTATCTCATCGAAGGAGTATTTTAGATTAACTTAAATAACTGTCGAGTACTACTTAGAATTTCGTTTACCGGTCGAAACGAAGGGACTGCTACCAGTGAAATGGTCGACAGAGAGCAAAACTTGATAAAACTAGTGCCCACCACTTAGGATGACCTCGAAGAATAAATTAGGGTTAGTTTTTCAATGTATATAAATAACTATGTACACGCGGAACGGGTTTAGGTAACATTGCACTAAAATATCGAATCACAATAATATGAAAAATTGGTCGATTCAATAGGGGAGATCCTGCACTATCTAATTATCGATTGAATCGTGTAAACTTGACTAGACTGTGTTTGTATAACAAACAATCACACCTATAAGTGATGACTCATACTTGACGCAGGGCTTCGCAAGTTCTTGTAATCCAGATTCGAAGAAATCAGTGAATCGGATAAATAATTTCCTCAAGATGGTACATCGAATCTTACAAGGATTTGCGACCCAACGATCAGACTACAATAGTAGTAGAGTGGACTAGAAAGAAAGAGTGATTACGTATAAAAGAAATAAATTAATTAAACAGTCACCAGGGTACGAGACAACCAAATCACTATTTGATGACTAGAATGACAAGGCTGCTGTCTACGAGCCTCTCTTTGGAATGATTATTGCTCTTGTTCGTCGAGGCTTGCATATTCAGTAAACACCGTTATTACAAAGATCAAGGACTCAACGGAAGACTATGGTCTCCGTTTCCACTTGAAGCCATTAACCGTTTCACTTGGAATGTGCAAAAGCTACGTGAAGAACTCACTTCGCATAACGTGAATGACCTAAATTGACCTAATCCTTGCACAAAGGATGACATAAAATAATGGTGATTCGCTAAGTAGCCTCCGAAAGGAATTCCTAAAGGTGACAGGACTCGTTTATCTCCATCACACAAATTAGTTCTTGCACAAAACTCTTCACTGACGACAAAAGTCGTAACCTTAACTCTGGACTGTCAAATAACTTGACTCATGCATTGAATTTAACACAATCCCTGCAATAGTCGCAGAAATAATACAATACCTCTTTGCACATAATACCACCATCCAGGTAAATCTTTCTTACAGCCATTGTCGAATATTCCCAATCGGGTAGACATTGGACTGTAGACACTGTGGTGAACTCAACGAGAATTTAGGTTCTAGACAAAAAAAAAAAGGAAAAATAAATACTTTAAGGATTCTCCAGGTTAATTCAACGAACATACGATGGGCTGCGACTCGGAGAATGACTCGAACGATGACTCGGGCTGGACCAGTCGGTGTGTCTGCTGCTTTCCGAACTGCTTGGCGATGATGGTGGAGATGGTGTGGGCCGATGATAAGGAATCGGTCGTTTTCTAGCACTGAAATTAACGCCGGTTGTTTACTCAGACAAACCAGGCATGCATCGTTAGTCACTCTACTTTACAACTATGAAAAAACCAATAACTTTTGCTTCATTTGTCAAGACTGTACATATTGAATATTTATGGAGCACGAATTGCAGATTATGTTATGTATTTACTGAGACAAAAATCTTAATTTTTCGGTCATTAAAGTAGAATGACTCCCTAATAGATCAGTTAAAACAAATTAGTAGCAACGGTTCATTCACTCGCACGAACTAGATTGGTGCATAATTAATGTTACACTACAAGACAGGTAAGAAATACCAAAGTGTAACATTAGTTACGTACTAACCCAAAATGCCGGAAAGACTTTATCGTCCAGTTTTCGGGTCCTCCGAGTTTTCCAGGGCGAGTATTAACTGACAATTTATTGACGATGTTATTTTATGTACTCACAGTGATCTGGATTTAGCTTCGAATAACTTTTTACGGGGAAAAGCGCTGTTACAGGAAGGTTAGGTTTACACGAAGGGCACGCTGATAAAGACACATCGGGAGCCAAAGCCACGTGCTGGGTCAGGTGTGTGGACATGCAGTGACTCTAAAAAGAGTTAGGAAAACGTAAAATCTGCATTCTATTCGACAATAAGATTTTCAAGAACTTACCTCTTTCAGGAACATACATGGAGGAGAAACAGTGTCTATCAATGGCAACGTAAACGTAAGAAACTAAAAAAACTAGGCACGAGCGATTCGTCATCTCTGTTTTATTCGGAACTTAAAATAAGACAAACGGATGATCACTACTGTTCTCATTGACATATAAGATAACCTGACAAGCTGATAAACGCATGCTGCATATTTTCTAGCATTTCGTTTGGAGGTTTCGATAGCCCCTTGAGACGCTCGTCAGGGTGTGTTTAATACAAGGTTAAGTTGCACTCAGAGGTGAAAAAAAAAAATAGAAAGACACCCAAGAGCTCTTTGAAGAATGCGAAACCTCCCCAGACACTTGCTTCGGATGAGCAACCGGACGCCAGTGTTTTAATTTACCAACTTAAATTAAACTGATAGTAAAGTAAATCCAATAAAAGATTAGTCTACGGCGCGGCATAGAATCGTTTGCGTTTTCCACGGCACAAATATATAGGATAGGACTGCATTCATCGACTGCTCCAAGTTGCTCTATTTTTCACAGTATGCACGTGTGCATATATGGTATACGCATGACATTCTCTTATGTACATCTTCTCCAGTCTGCCTCGGAGTGGCTTTCATTCCCTCACCCTCTCTCCATTATTCCGTCCACAAAGTCCGAATTTTGATTTCACATTTCCGTCTGTTTTTTTATTTCTACCATTACGTAGGAAAGTAGTACAAATATCTGTGCGTAGCCATAACACTATCTTCTATGTCTCTCCCTCGATCTGTTTCTGTAGAATGCATAAATAGAAATTATTAGGCTTTTCCTGACTGCTTCAATCGCCCCAAGTTAACACAGCTCTTCATATCAAGGAATTGTGCAATAATCCATTATCTTCCGTTGTTATAAAACAACTCTATAGTTACTTGATACAACGAAGGTGTGTTCTTGGGACCATCGAAAGGTACTTCAATCTGATTCGATCTTCATTCGATGTGATCCTTTCAATTAATAACACAAGGAGAGTCTTCTCTAAGCCATTCGTTTATAGGACGTAGAAAAAAGCAAAAAAAAAAAAAATTGATGATTTCTTCCATCGAAGCTGCTCTAATCGCTTTAAATAAGCCTTCGAGGTCCATTTTTCGATTTCCTGTTGATCCGATTCGCTACTTATTCCTGGCACTACGGAATTACATATATATATTTCACGAGCCATGCAAACATAAAACGTAAATCTACATACTTGTCTAATCAATTTGAGAAATCGTTTAGCTCGAGAATTCCGAGTATTTACAAACTATTCTTGAACTTTCAGGAGCCTCGAGATGATCTCCAAGGCTACGATCGTTCACTAGAGGTGATCATCGATACAGAAACGGAGATCGCTTCGACCAAGAACGATAAATGAAGAAGAAGAAGCCGAAATTCTACGACTGACTGATTGTGGAACAGCAATTTTAACTTGGTGCACTGTTTACGATCAACGGCAACGAGTTAACTACTACAACAGATCTAACAGGACGTCGGGGGACTTACCTGGTAATGCGACGTCGGTCGAGGAAACTGGGCGAGCCGTGGCGACGAGGTATAGAGGGTGATCTTGATCTGCTGGAGGCCGAACTGCTCGACGTCGACCTGGAGGAACGACTGGAAACGCTGCTTGAAGAGCGCGAAGAGCTGGAGTAACTTCTGTGGCTGCGTCTGACCGAGCTAGAATAAAGTGTCGATTAATTAAAATTACTCTTTTTTGGGGTAACGCCAATTTGAATACTTAAAAAGCATAAAACATAAATTTGATATTTCGCGTTTTGAAGGTTCATGAAAAATGCAAAGACATTCATGTCCGGTAGTGTACAAGCGATGGTTCTTGCAACGAGTAACGTACCTAGTCGAGGACCTAGAGCTACTTCTGCTGTGGCTCCTTTTAGTCTTATTCCTGGACGTCCTGGAGGCGGATCTGGACCGACTGCCCGACTTCTTCGAAAGCGACCTGCTTCTGGACCTCTTGGAGAGCGACCGGCTCCTGCTCCTAGACCTCGACTTCTTCGGCGAGCCCGAGGGAGACTTTTTGGAACGAGAGACCGACCTCGAGAAAGAATGCTTTGACCTCGACCTGGACCTCGACCTGGACCTTTTGCTTCTAGGCGGCGACTTGGGCGACGTCTTCGACCTAACCGGAGACTTCCTCGGAGAGGGGGAGGACTTCTTCTCCCTGGACCTCGATCTGGAATCCTTGTCTCTCGACCTTGATCTCGACGTGCGCCTCTTTAGGGAGCCAGACCTCTCCGTCCTCTTATCCGGCGATCGGGACCCGGAATACGACCTCGACCTCGACTTGGATCTCGAGTATGACTTCTTCCTGGGCGAGTGTTTTCCGAACCCGAGAGGAGACCTGGACGCCGACCTCGACGGGGACTTCTTCTTCGTGGTCGAATGCGAGGGGGACCTGGAGGTCGAGCGGGAGATGGACATGTTCTTCGGGGAAATGTCCTTGGATTTTTCCGAGGCTCTCGAAGACGACCTGGACCTGGACTCCCGTTTGAAGGCCTTCGGCTCGAGCGCGGAAAGCTTCTCCTTCAGCACGTTGGTCTCTTTTGGGGACTTCGACGCTGACTTCCGAGCGGGTCCCTGGGGAGACTTCGAGGCCGAGCTCGACCTTGCCTCTCGCTTGCCTCTCGCCCCGTCGTTTTTGCTATTCACCTCCAGGACGACTCCACTCGTAGGTTTCGCCTCGATCCCCAGTTTCGAGGCGAGCGGCGACAGGGAGTTCTTCTTGGCGACCGGGGAGTCGGCCTTGTTGTTCGTCTTCAAGATTGGCGGAGCCGGCAGAGGAGGAGGCGACTCACTGGGGGAGCGCAGCTTGATCATGGCCTCCTCCCTGGTCAAAGGCAAAGCCGGCGAGGGCGATCTGCTGGACACAGGAGATCGTATCCCGGGTAGACTCTCGACAGGCTTGACGAGACCCTCCTTGGCCGGAACCGAGATTCGATGCACCACCTTCGGCGGCTCGTGGGGAAGAGCAATGTCCAGGACGCTCTCTTCCTTCTTTCCCGTCTTTAGCTTCACCGGGCTGATCACCTTCTTCCCCAGGCTCTCCCTGGCCTTCGCGGCCAGACCACTCTGCAGCCTCTTCAGGGTGTTGATCTCTCGAAGACGCTCCTCGTCCTCCGGCTTGGGCTCCTCCTCGGGCACGTCGGCCTCCTCCTCGCTCGAGGAACGCAGGCTCACCCTGGGCGCGACCACTTGCTGCGTCTTCCCGTTCTTCGAGGCCGATCTCGACTTCCGCTTCTTCTCGCCGTCCTCGGTTCTCTTCCTCTGGTCCTTCCTCTTGTCCTCCAGGATGTCCCGGTACCGTTCCGGGTTCTTCCACACCGGAGAGTAGCTCAAGCTGGATCGTCTGGATCGACTCTTGGACCTCCTCTCCCTGGACCTGTCCCTCCGGTCCCTGTGCCTCCTGGGCGACCTGGACCTCCGCCTGGACGCCGACCTCCTTCTCCTCCCTGGCGAGGCCCTGCGTCGAGAACCGTACCGCTCGTACCTGGACCGACTCCTGCTCCTGGAGTTCGAGTACCTGGTTTGCCTCCGAGGCGTCCTCGACAGACGTCGATGTCTCCTGGGGGAGGGCGAGGCGCGTCGTTGCCTGGAGTACCTCCTCGGCGACCGCCTCTCGGGCTTCCCTCTAGGTGGAGTCGTCGTTCGCCGAGGCGTCGCCGATTTTTGCGCTATCGGCGACCTGGAGGCGTTATCGCTCTTCTCTGGCTGCGGCCTCCTCGGAGATGACTCCTTACGCTTTCCTATCGGGGAGTCTTTGCGCTTAGCGACCGGCGACTCGTGGTGCTTGCTCCGGTCGGTCCTCTTCGGCGACCGGTTCCTCGAGGCTCGCTGCTTCGGCGTGGTCGAGCGCGATCTCCTTTTCGTTCTCTCGTTATCCGGCTTCTCCTTCTTCGACTGACTCTGCGACTCCGCCTCCCTCTGTTCGCGCTCCTTTATGCGCTTCTCCAGCTGCTCCAACTCCTTCCGCAGGTATTCGGTGCGCTTCCTCGAGCTCGCCGCCTCCTCGCCCGCCGCGGCCCCGGTACTCTCCACAGCCTTCTCGTGTTTGCTCGACTTTTTCGGCCTCTCCGGCGAGCTGAAACAACGGGAGGACCTCGCTTGCCGATTATGCCATTGAAGTAATCCACCGCAAGTAATCATCCAGATTACGTACGATAGCGCAAATCATGAAGAGCGAGGGAAGAAAATTAATCCGATAACCCAAAAACGACGTAATATCTCAAATTACGTATCACAACGTAAAGTGTAATTAAAGATAAGAGTGAATTAATAGTAAGATGATAACGAGACGTAATCTCTCAAAGTACCTATCGGAGGAGCTGTCGGTCGACTGGTGCTTCCTTTTGGCAGGCGGCTTCTTCTTCTAAAAGGACAGAGAAAACCGGATTATACAGGAAGTGCCGAGGTTAATCGGTGAACACCGATCATGCATACGTATCATCATGTGAAATCAATTCGACTGATAATATGGCGCAATGCTCATAGAGAATAAGAGGGGTCTGCCCGTTCGTGTCAATGGACTCTGTCAAGAGACGGTCCTTCCGGTCGATTTCGCAGTACCTTCACCCGAGGCTGCCGTTCGATCGAAAAGGCTTTGACATAATTAATAATACTCTAGAACCATTACGTAATGTCATGGGAGGAATTTTGTCCATGAAATTCCCATTAATAAAAAAATAAAAAAAAAATCATTTCCACGTGATACCCGCTTAGAAAGTGATTTTTTTTCATCCGGTATATCGCGAAAGGGGCAACTTCCCTCTCATTTGGTCAGAGCTTCCGGTCGCTATAGTGTTTGGTGCTCGACACAAAACAAGTGAACGCACAACAGTACTCGCAACTCGTACTCGATAATGAATTACGAATTATTATTACATTGAGTAGCGGCATGTCGGGTACTCACTCAGGGAATGTATCCTGTCAAATGGCGCTGATAATTACAAACAATACTGAGATTTACACTTTGAAATAATGATCGTTAAACTTGAAATCAAGGTTAAAAATCGGTTTTACGGAAATAATCAAGCCATGAGGTCATGCTTTATCCCACAAAGTGGGGAGGGGAGGCGGCAACGAAAAAGTCTAGGATCCAAAAGTCGATCGTCAACTAATTTCGGATATAGAGATTAAAGCTAGATGGTCGCATGCTCCCGCTTCTCGTGCTAATGTTCAGTCGAGGTACATATATATATGGACATGTTAATATATATATACATATATATATGCGTGTGTGTGGGTCTACTTGTCAATAGAGTTCGCCCTAAAATCTCCATTCCCTACCTCGTGCTTGTCTTTAGTCTCGGCTTTGGCTTTCTTCTTCCGTTTCTTCTTCTTTTTCTTGGACTCGTTCTCGGAGGAGCTGAAAGCGAAATCGGCAGGGTCAGACATAGTCGATTGAGGATTAAAACCAGGTATATGAAGAGTTAAAAAAAAAAAAAAATGTTAACCGACGAAGTTCCCCCCGAAGAAGGGAAACGACGTTACCTCGAGGTACGATCCCCGTAAACGTGCCAAAAGGAGTCGTACCTGCTGTCGTCGGACTCTTCGCTGGAGGAGCCACTTTCCGAGGAGGTCACTTCGGCCTTCTTGTGCCTCTTCTCCTTCTTCTTCTTCTTCGACTTGTCCTTCTTCTTCGTGGACTTGGGCGACTCGGACCTAGGAAATTCGGCGATCGTTAGCGAGGTCGATTAGAGCGCGCGACTCTCGATAGCGGAGGATAACGATTCGCTCGTGTGTAAGAAAATCCCGCCAGCGGACGTAATCCGGAGATGGTCCCCCGGGAAGTGCGTGTCCTCCCGCCGAGAGAACAAATAAGCTGGAAAATATGTCCATACTCCGGTGCGCGTTTAGACGTAGAAAACGTAAAGATATCGGCACGACGTGCGTAATCGCGATTGCGATACGCGCACACGTGGAAGGTGGTCGGAAAAGTGCCTTTTCTCGTGTACTCTACTCTTGGGTAGGTGAACAATGTCGATAAGGTGCCAAGAAACGTCCTGGGAGATCCATGATAATCCTGCCGAAAAATTAGTCCACCTCGATACGAGACTTTCAATAGTGCGACCTGGAAATGGCACTCCAAGATCTTCGATATGAATTTCATATAAATATATCTTAATCACGATTACCGTGGATCTCCAGGCAGGCTTCGCATAGCTTCGATATATCCGAGAAATTGGCGGTGGGAACTGTGATACAAAAAAAATAAATAAATAAATAAATAAGATAGATCTTCAGGGCTGAGGAGTACCAAAACGCAGGGACGAAACGAGCGTAGCTATCGTTCAAATTAAATGGGCATCGATAGCGCATTGACTCCGATCGATCGGTAAACCGTTCCCCTTTAGAAACTTCAGCCCTTACGGCGGATTGAAGACGATAAAATAAAAAATAAAAAAAAGCGACCAATTTCAGTGAAAAGCCAATACGTGAAGACCAAGTTCTAAACAACAAGGGGGACAGTTTTCTCATTTTATACTAACGAGTCAATCGCAGTAAATCTTTCATTTGAAAGATATGGTTTCTCGTGGAATTTCCCTCTTCCCCGATCTCTGCACGAGGGATCTCAAAGTGATGAAAAATAAAGCAAAACCAGATCTTCCAAGGATATGTAACAAATACGTAACGAGTATATATCAAGTACGAGGAGTATTGATATAAATATGGGATTAGCATTACCTTGATAACCATCGTTAGGGACGGACTTGTCGGAAAAAAAATAGAGAGATGACATTAACAACAAGCTTCATCGGTAACAACAGAGAGATAGAAACGCATGACTACCGTTTGACAAATGGTGCAACGATTATTTCCTTTCTTTTTAAATCGGTGCTCCTTTCCCCGTCAAGTGTACAATTTCGAGGCCTAAACGGGAAGAACGAGGACACTCTCGGAAAGAGTCCCCTCCTCGTCATTTGAAACGTGCCATTTGACAAAAATCATTGAACCGCCTCCTAGAAGACGTCGGGACGGACCCGAGGCGGGAGGTTCGAGTTTCCTCGAGGAAGGATACGAATTGTAGAAAAAAGAAAAAAAAAAAAGAAGAAAGAACAGAATGTTAGGACGAGACAATTAGGTCCATTATCAAGTTTCAAAGCGAGATCTCTGACGTCACTTTCACATTACCTTAACGCTGCCTTCCACGTAAGAACCTCGGAGCTTCCCGGCCCGGGTCGAAAACGCGCCGACCGTCGCGGCAACCGCCCGGTCGATCGGCGATTCCGCGAGCGGCCTCCCCGTGGGAGACTAGCCAGGAGACGAGCACTTACCTACAGGGCCGGAGGCCGGGGCGGCCTCCCCGGTTCTCATAGAATCTCTTTCGGGCTCCCCGACGGAAGGGAGGACGTGTACGAGGAACGGTACCAGCGAGGGAACGAGAGAACGGGGGGAAGGCGCGTCCTCGCGGCCCGACGGGTCGCGAGGGAAGCCACTACGGGAGCTCGGTCCCGGGAACCGGACCGGTCGTCCCGTCCTCCAGGAGTCGGTGTTGCCAATGCTCCCGATTTGTCGGGAGATTTTCTCACTTATGATACCAGTAAACGAAAGGAGGAGGTTCTCGATCCGACTCGTCCCCATGAGTGTACATATATGTACATAAGCATGCAGTGCCATAATTAGACAAGTGTAACAGGTGCACTCAAAACAGAGCCCACTAAAAGGGAAATACTATCCCCTAGATGAAACTCTTGAAATCTCCGAATTTTGTTTCAAACCTCCCGATATTTCCTCGAACCTCCTCCCAAGAAAATCTCTCTCCTCTTGTCCCGACCCAGGGCAACGCCGCTCGGAGCGACAGGGAGCGGTCCGGATCCCGCCGACTTCGGGGCGGCCGGGCCGCGCTTTACCTCTCGCGCTTGTGCTTCTTGGCTTTCTTCTTCTTGGAACGGCTGCCCGACCGCTTCCTCTTGGTCTTCCTCTCAGCAGGGGCAGGCGGCACCTCGGGCGTCTCCGCCGCCGGGCTGGGCGTCCTTACGAGCTCGTAGACCTTCTTCGCGGCCGCCCTGGCCTCGGCCTCGCGGGCGTGCCTCTCCGGGTCTAAACTGCTGCCCTCCACGAAGTACTCCGAGATGCCGAAGGCCTCCCTCAGCTTGGCGTTCTTCTCCTGCTGCGCTTCGGCGATCTGATGGGTCTCGCGAACGCTGAAAAAATTACGGAACCATTGCTAACAAAATTCACCAAATTGGGGGACTTCAAGGTTGAGCGGAGGCGCTGAGAAATTTAAGGTGATATGAAAGGGACATTCTATTGTAGGATTATTTTCATTTTCCTGGGTCAACCGACGTGCCCCACCAGGCTCGCCTGAATCGATGCCCTAATGCTATATCTTGGATACTCAAGTGGTAAATTCTTTTTCTGCGTATACGTTTACACCCCTGCGCGTTGCCACCGGATCAATACGATCTATTCTCCCTCTTTCTCTCCCTGGGTCTACCCTCGAGGGGTATCGCCCTTCGTATCGGAAACTCCCCTTTCGACGCGGCACGCCGTGACGTTTCGTCACCGGGTCGAATAACCTCCTTATTTGATTTTTGTTCGGTTAGCCCGAGGATAAACATGCGGATCCACAAAGCGATATGTCCTGTCAGAAGGGCCGATGGATAGCAACTCTCGAGGAGCTCTCAAAGACGACCCAGAAGAGGTTCACCTGACAACCGATCGCACCCTGGTCCTGCGCGCGCCGGACAGGAGATGCAGCTGGATCCTCTTGCAGCAGCAGCAGTGCCTCTTCCCCGCGTTGTATCCTTTGACCCTTCTCTTGCGAGTGCGTTTCAGAACCTTCAGCCTGTCCAGGAAGAAGCTCCCCCGCCAGAGTCTCTCGAAGAAGGCCCTGCCATCGGCAGGTCCCCGCCCCCTGGCAGGCTTCCCGGTCTTCGCCGTTCCCCCTGGTCCAGGTTGCAGCATCTCCATTTTTCGATTCCCTCCTCCCTCCTCGAGGGTCGAGGATTACCGAGACGAAGGAAAAACCACAGGAGAAGTCGTCGTCAACGGAGTCGCCGGGCACGTAGGTCCCCCTCGGCTCCAGGTCTCGTCTGCATCCTGCATCCGATCTCGACGTCCTCCACCGTCATTAATCGTCCGTCGATCAGCGGGGCAGGAAGTCGACATCTCTCCTCGCGGCCCTCCTTAAACGTTCCCGCAGAGGAAATCCTCCCTAAGTGATTTCCGATCCGGCAGTCTGGGGGAATTAGAATCAATTAGCTCGGCTTCGGGAGTTCCCATGCAAATTATTCGCGGCGAGGTTTAATCCCCGCGCAGGGGGAGGATCCCCCCGTTGTCTTAATGGCCTCCCGGACCCCGTGGAGACTCTTTTGTCCGCCGTTTCTGCTTTAACACCGGCGGAACGACCAGAAGGGAAACCGTCTCTTCCGATTGCTCCTCTTCCTCCTCTCTTCTCCTCCCTGAAGAACGTCGTTTTCTTCCTCCCCGACTCCTCGTGTAAATTGTAAAAGCACCTTCCGAGTCGCTCCTCTTCCTCTTTCCATATAAAACATGTACCTTGGGTAAGTTGAAACTTGTTTTCCTCTTCGGGTCTCTTCAGCCTCCCTCCGTTACCTTATTCCACGTTAACGAGTTCACTCAAGTAAAATCGTCTTGTTATAAAATACCGTCCATCTCTTCCGATCAGCTCTCGGATTTATTGTCGATCATCATCCCGAGTCCTTTCGTCCTTTTATCCTCCTCTTCGATTACTATATCCCTCCTTAAGCCTAGTTTAAGTTGCGTTCCAGGGAAGACATTGGATCAGGCACGTTAACGCGAATCTCTCGCGTGGGATTCATCTCCATCGCTCGTTTCATTGTTAACAATTAAATTATTCACGGCTTCGCCGTTGGAGACCCACGGATTTCGATTACAAAATTCGGATCGAATCGGATATACAGATTTCAATCCTAAAACTCGGGTTAAATCCCGCTTATCGCTAATGGAAGAGCCTCGTTCTTAACATCATCTAAGTTTTCTTATTTTGTACGTTCAGCGAAATCCTGAGAATTTCGAGGAATAGGTCGTCGACTGCACCTTCGAGATACGTCGTCGAGGCGGCCAATCGATACGGGAAGTGTAGCTTAAGTATCAATACCTATCGACTAGTTAGATTAATATATCTGTTAAACACTAATGGAAGACTTGTGTGATTTTGAGAGAATTCTCGACCGGTTACATTTTACGTTTCCTGTTTTTTTTTTCTTTTTCCTTTTGTTTTACGGCCCCGCGGAGCGCGTCGCGTTAGGACGACGCGTGGCGTCGCGGTCGCGGTCCATTCTCATACTGATGCGAGGGATGCTGGATCCCGGCCTCGGTCCCTCTCTCTCGCTCTCCCGGGGTCCGTAGCTCGTCGTCCTTCTCGCATACCCTTCCTCTTCTGACTCCCTTTCCTACGCGAGGGCGCCGGCGCCGGGAAAAGTCGATATCTGGGAAACGCGAGAGGGGGGACCTCGATCCGGGGCCGGCCACCCCCGCCCAGGAACGGTTCTTTCGTTTTCCTTCCCTCTGAATCTTCACTTTTCGTCACTATTCGGTTCTTCTCTTTCCCTCCCTGATTTTCCATCAATCTCACTTGAACGTCTCATCTACGTAGTATTTGGACGAATCCTTCGCATTATAGTAACGGAGGCCAAACCACGTCTGGGATCTGACGATGATCCCACATCATACTGTTTATACATGTATCGATTGGAATCTCTTCGAGGACATTTTCTAACGGTGCAGATTTTTCAGGAAATGAGAGATAAGGGTTCTATTCGGAGATTGTGCACAAAACGTTTTCAAAGAACAAAGACAGCATGGGTTGGTAGTAAAGGTTTAGCGAGAGTGGGACTTGGCAATTTTTGGATTGACTTACTTGACTCGGCCAAATTCGTCGCGAGGAGTTGGCGGCTTGGCATCGGTGCCCAGTAACATGGATCGGTAGGACTCGACTTTCTTCTTAACCTCCTCTGGAGTGGATCTGAAAAAGAGTGAAGGTTTTGCGCATGAGAGTGAGCCCCATTTTCTGGGATTTATAAGGCAAGGGCTTTGACTTCATCTAACTTCGGTATTTAGGTACCCAACTCTTCTCCCTCGCTTAGAACTATGTCTTTATTGAAGCCAAAGACATGCAGCTCAAATCCTATTGATACTTTCAATCCTATTAGAAGTTGGGGATTTAAAGTATGTTTAGGAGGTTCTACTTAAAAAAACTGACTCTAAAGGAATAATGATGCCCTTGTAAAAATTATGACTACGTCGTACTGCACGAATAAAGTCATTTGACCAAATGTATAATTTAGAAACTAAATAATTATAGTGTAACGCAAGTGAACGTTAATTGAAAGGTCCACTTTCAGAAAAAATACCAACCCTTGTTCTTCCAGTATGTCTGCCAGTTCGGCGCACTTGACCTCGATTTTGCGTTTCCTAACATGGTCTAAAATTTCTTTGTTCGGTTGCTTGTTCAATTGATCCAACTTTCCCTCATCGCCCTTGTAGCTGACTTTGTCCTTATTCTTCCGCACAACAGCCCAGTTTCGCTGCACATGGCCATTTGTGCCGGAGCCTCGAGGGGTTTGAAGACCAATTCCATTATACATTTTCAATTAAATCTGAAAAGACAAATGGATCGTGTCAAGTGGATATCAAAGTCTACCAGAAATCCTGGCAAGGCTCACGATTATTGCGCAATGCACCTGGCACATGTACATAAGTTATTTAGAACCCGATACAATGCTAAGCAATATAAACACTTAATGGACTTAATGTCAACTACATCATGAGCCTTTACATTAGAATTTATTTGCATGGAGCGTAAGCAACGTTCCTTTAAGGTCAAATTACAAAAAGTAAGTATTTCAGGTGACCCATTCGTCTACATATTGAAACATTAAGAAGGACCAAAGCCCATGCATCGAAAAACCTAGCGAAAGGTTGTCGGGTACAATATTTCTGCTAATATCTGCGTACCAAATAAGGCGGTGCGCTTACTTCCGAATGAATCGGTTAACGACTGATAGAGTCGGAAATTTTCCCGAGAGAAATAATTTAGAATTCGACGTGGAATTTAGCAGGTGTGAGTTGTAAACTCAGAAGTAACGCGTAAAATTGACGTAGGTTACAGACAGAAGTGAAATCGTAAGTAACGCGCTTCGCTAGGGAGATACAAATAGGCTTTAGAGCTTAGGTTAGAATTGACCGCACGCAAATCAATTATCGATCGGCGGAATACTGCGCCACTTTTTGGAGGCACCAGTCGCTGCTTGTCGGGGACTTACCTCCGCGCGAGGCGTCGCGACGATCACCGCATCCGCTCTGCCATCCGCGTCCGGATTAAATCGCGTGATATATCGAAAGATCCCGCAGGAAATCGTAACGAGGAAATACTAACGAGCCGCAACGAATGCCGCGTTCAGCTGGCGTTGCCGTTTTCACGAGACCCTTCGCTCGCCACCGCCAGGTGGCTCCAAGCTTCAATTTGCGCGACTGATCGAAGTGTACGCGTGCGTACTAGAAGGCGGAAGAACGCGCGCTTTTTAAACGTGATAAGGGCGATTCAGACTATTCATGACTAGTGTTTTTAAATTTTCGAGAATTTAAATTTATTAATGCGATTTACTGGATCTGGACAGCAACTCGGTCAATATTTTTGCTTAGCTGTTTAATGAGAAGCAGCAGGTTTTATACAAACTTGGAGAAAAGCTCCATTGAACATTCGTTAACTTCTCGTATTCTCCAGTTTGCATACTTTTAAGTCGTCAGAACAATGTTTGTACTTTTCAAACGATTTCTCGTTTTCTAAATAATCTCTACTATTTATATTCACACATGCACAACGAAACCGATGTGCTGATTTATCTTCGAACAGCAACTGAGGGATGCCCTCCCAATCTCGTTGAATGCCACCACTGAGGAATACAAATAGGAAAATTATACTAAGATTACAAGTAGAATTAACGGAACAAATTTTGAATGGCAAGTAAATCATTTTACCTATTCTGTGAACACCATACGGTGGTTCCTGTATCTGCTTTCCACTCTACGTTACAAGGTGGAAACATTTCTTTTTGCTTTTCCAAATCCATCTTTATATTTTGTGCTTCCGATAGTTTCTCTTGTAGTTTATGAAATTCCATCGTTGGATTCCCGTCAGGTCCGTAGAATCGACCAATAAGTTTCCCTAATGAAATCCAATATTATTATCTAAATAAAATATCTGTTTAAGGGTTCATTCTACTGTACAGTATTATTGTCATTAGCACGGATACCTTTATAAATATAAGTCTTATCATAGAACTGTACCCAATCTTGTAAAGATTGCAACTGATTCGGTAACAGACTGCTAACGTCATCGGTGAATTCATCAGAATCAAAATTTCCAGTTATAAAAGCTAATGAACCGTCTTGTCCTATGGATTAATATACACACAGAATTATGTACGAACTTTGGTTAAAACACCAGTAAACTATTTTGATTAAAAATTTAACCTGTAAAGCCATGATAATTAGCACCAGGTTCATAATGTCTTGCTCCAGTTGAAACGTCATAGACTCGGCCCAGTATAGCCAAGTACAAGCCCTTATCTAGATTCGTATATTGCTTTAACTCTTCTTTAGTGAATAATCTGTCTGACCACAAAACACTTCCGCCGATCTGCCATAACATCTTGAAAAATAGATCAAATGGTGCTAGTCCTTTAAAACTATCTACGCTTTTTGAAATATAATAAAATACTGGCGTTTTAAATGTTATGGCTTCCTTTAGAGATTCAACACTATTATATCCCGATTTCCAGCAAAATAGTGACACGGTAAATATTATAAACAGTACATGAATGTTCTTAGAAAACATTGTAATCGAGCAGCTTTCTTGATGTTGCACGATGGATCTATGGATGTACAATTAAACAATTTCTATTTTACATTGGTAAACAGCTGTTAGCTATCTTTTAGTCTATTCTGCAACATTTTTTATTGCCAATACTGCTGGTATTTATATTAATACTGTTTACAACCGTACGTTAACTTGACGTAACCATTTCCAGTCAACTGCAACCAACCTTGCATTTTACTTTCACCGAATCCATGAAGCAAAGAGAATCAGAGAGAGTGGAAGCTGAAAGTATACGGGTAGCAGCGCCATTCATCGGTTTACTATGAAAGTTGAAGAGACCAAATTGAAGGCTGAGACTCGAAAGTATTTGCATAATTTCACAAGTGCGGTAAATTATTTGATAGAAAATGTTGGAAGAAACGTGCACCAAACGCTATTTAAACATCAGTTTTCGTCGTTGTTACCGATAGAACCGAAATAAAATGGCGTCGGTGTTTACACAATCTATAAAACCGAGGTAAGATAGAACGTGTAAACGCACCAAATTGGCACCTTTACCCAGATACGTAATAGAAATGCAGCGTGCCTCCACCGCTTGGTCGATCGACCCAGAGCTGCGATTCTTCCAGATGACCTCCGCGCATGCGTTGCGCGCCTCTCCCTGGCCAATAGCATCTTCTCGCAGGGGAACGTCCCGCGTGATTCCGCGGGTCAATTGGCGGAAACTCCGACGGCGTAGAATCTCGCGGATGGACATTTTTTCCGGTTCGTCGTTCGACGCAACCCCCGAAGGTAGGCTGCGCGGACTGCGCAGGTAGTTCCTGCAGTTTGGGCCGACGCGACGAGAGGTGTCGAGTCCGTCGAGGCGCGCCGTTGGAAGCTCGGGTTACATAACCTCAAATTGCGTCCGCAGTCCGCGCCGCTGCAGCGGCCTCCTCCCATTTTGTCGCGCGTCTGTGGTACGTATTTACACATCGCCGCCCATATTCGTGCCGACGCACACGTGGACGGGGCACCGGCCACCGAGGAATCGCACGTATCATTCGAGAACAAACGGTAACGTCGCCACTGTGACGGAAAACTACGGCGAGCGGCGAGGCTTCCTTCGCTCCGTTCGAGGGCTCGACGTCGGTCGGCGCGTGGCGTCCCTGACGCCGTTTGCTGCCTCCTTCCTGGTCCTGCGGCATCCAAGGGAGAGGCAAGCCGAGAGCCGACGGAGGACTCGCTATGCGATATCCGGGTGTCGAGGGGTCGACGTCGGGGCGGTAAGCATCTTCAAGGACGCCGAGCCGGTCACGCCGGCCGACCGGCGACGCCGAGATGGACGACGGACCGGAGTTCAAATTGGAGCGCGCCGAGTCGCTTGCCTCCGAAGTCGACTTCAGGGACGTTCCCGGACTCAGGATGACCCTCGGCAGCGACGACTTGAAACCGAAGCCTCTCTGTCGGGGTGACATGAAATTCTTCCCAGGGGCGAAGATCGAGGCCAAGGACTTCAGCGAGAAGTGGTTAGTATAACCGAGTCAAAATGCGTTTGTTTAGAAACACGGGCTCGGAGGTTTGCGCTTTACCCTGATTTGTTTGAGAAATAGAAGCCACAGGGGATCGGTCCTCGTTCAATAAGGAGCTAAACTATTGTTCATTATTTTCCTGCTGTACAATTTTTATATTTAGGCTTTTAAGATATTTTACACATTTAAATAGTCAAACATCGATCTGGGAAAAAAGAATTTTCGGAACTAAATGGTCTTTAACTCCTTGCACCGAAAACAATTCTCTTAGATCTTCTGCTGTTTAGCGTGGACAGTTGACGATATTTTATAGCTTGTAACCTGGTAACATCTCTGGTTACCGATGAACAGTTGTTTTCAGAGAAGGGAAAATTCTTGAGTTTGGGAACATTAAAATATAATGCATCTCTTTGTTCTGTCTGAGCATTAAGTCGACGCATGTTTGATATGGTCACTTGTTAAATGTCAATGCAAGAGGTTAATAGAATCGTTTTTTTTTTTCTGCATTGAATCGAGCAACATTTACGAATTAAACATTATTCTGATCAGGTATTCCGCTAGAGTTGTGGAAACGGACTGGGTTGAACGAGAAGTATTAATACACTTCGACAAGTGGAGCTCTAGGTTTGACGAATGGATTCCTATGGATAGTTCCAGATTACGAATTCTGCAAACTCAGTCAAGGTTAGAAATGTCTGCTTTTAAATTGCTAGGACCAGGAGAAAATTAATTCTTGTTCTCTTTAAAATTCATGAGAGATATTAACAATTTTTATATCTTCTTTCATATTTTAATAACAGTCGATGCAATGAAATTATCTGCAGGGAGTCAAAGGGGAGAGATTTTGCCGTTGGTGAGAAAATCCTGGCAACATGGGCCGATGGGAGAAAATATCCAGCCAAAGTGAATTCAGTTTTGGGTAATGGTGAGTGTTTCGAGAGCAATGGTATTCTTTTTATTAAACCAATTAGGTGGATTTAAATTCCACTTTGCTTAGTTCTTTTTCGATGGGTAATATGAAATGGAACAAGTTTGTATGGATCTGTATGTAGTTCAATTGGAAAGTCTTCCTCGGCTTACATTAAAATTGACATGGCTTGACCCTGTGATTTAAGCCGACTGTGGACCATACTGAATTTTCTGATTGAATCGTGTCAGGCGAGTGTTATGTCCAAATGGCACCCATGGATATTCTCATAAAAGTAATTAATGCTTCGCTAACAGTAACTACAGAAGTCCGCAGAGGTGGTTTCACTTATCGCTATTATGAATTATTGAAAATATAGATTTATTAGTATCATACACCATCGAAACCCTCAACCACCCTTTTCTTCCACTAGATTTCCTATTCCATAGCTTTTCTCTCAGTCATTGTCTCCGATTCGATTGAGAGATCGAGTAGTCTGTTTTTTAAATTATTATTAAACGATGCTTGATTTAATCTTGACATTTGAATTGTATCGGGGAAGGGGAACAGTTGTCCATCTCAAATAATATAAACGTACAGTTTTGCTTCGACTCAATTACTTAAGTTTATTAACCGTTTCATCGAAAGCTACATGTGCTCGAACAGTTGACTAGTGCTCGTATAAATTACATTTATTTAATTTGAAATTCATGCTCAATCGCGGTCCCGTCGGTCGAATTAATTTTGGCTTGAATGAGGACGGAAAAGTCGTTTCCAGTTGGTGCGATTTCGACTGACACACTCGGTCTAATAAAATCCCAGCACCGTCTCCATTTATGCGTACGGACGGAGGAGCGATCGACTGTCTCTCTCTGTTCCGCACGAGCCCCAGTCAGTTTCTCTCTCTCGCTCTGCCGTCCCCCTTCCGCGCCAGCTTTGAGTCCCCTACACCGCGGATCTGCCACTCGAAAACTCTTACTAATAGCACGCGTATTATTTTTTTTTTTTTTATCAGACAGGTACGACGTCTTGTTCGACGATGGATACGCTAAGATCATCAGGTCCTCGAAGATGACCAAACTCTCGGAAGCATCGGCAAAGGTACGACCAGACGGGCACTTTAAATCGACGACTGATCCCACGATAGGTTAGGTCAGACGTCGAAAATATCACTCGGACAGGAGTGCGGTTGAGATGGGTCTGTCGCAAGATTTGAGGTTAAATGGATTTCCGAGAGCTTTTCATGGCCTTTTTAATGGGAATTTGAATTTTTTCCCTCAAGAATTGACATTATTGTGAATTACTTGCATCGTACCGAGATGGGTTTATGTACGACAGTAGAGAAGGAATAGAGCTCTTTTCGTAATTTTAATCGATTATACCTCTGAGTAATTTCCATTTTCTTTGTTTTATGAGTAGCTCGAATTAATCGGTTAAGATTTTAATTATTCTATTTTTTATTGGGTTCCCAAAAGTTGGAAAGTCATGTTTTAGTTAAGTCATAATAGAGTGCAGAGTTTAATACATTATTACTTGTGTATCTTTAGCCAATCGTTAGTGAAGATTATATCGGAAGCAAGCAAGAACGAAGGGATAGGAAGAGAAAACATTCGGTGATGGAGCTGTTTCAAACTCATGTCAGGAGACGATCAAAGCCAGACGCTGATGGAGTGTCAAAGAAATATGAGCAACGAGTGCCTGGCGTCGATGGCCTAGATATTGACCTTGAAGATACTGTTCTTGGAACTAGATACGATTCTGGTCCGGAAGGAGTTCGAGCTTTTGAAAATATTAAAGCAAGAGCGAAGGTGTATCCAAAGAAGAGGAAGAAGGAGAATTCCAAAACTGAAACCGACAATGAGGAGGATGTTGGACCTGAATGGATCGATGGGGAACCTAAAGGGACTGAGTCCTATATTGTTGATGGGAACGATGGTGTGTTTTAGTGTTCTTCGAATTTGTGCCAATCTATAGTAAACCCATATGAGCATGGTACAATTAGATTAATTTGCAGGTCCTCGCCGTTCTATAATAGTACCTGATAAGAGATTACCTCCTGGTTGGCAGAAACATTTTACTCAGCGAAGGACTGGTACCTCGGCTGGAAAATGGGATGTGCTCTTTATTCAGTAAGTAACACATTTAAATTTTATTTCAAGTTAAATTTAAATCTATGCTTCATTTTTGCTTATTAAGTAATTGAAAACGATGGATTAGGATATATCCCTTAATAAAAAGTAAACATCTTTAACGAATGATAAAATTATATTATCTTTCTAAGTGGTATAATTCTATTTATACAGCAAATCAAGCGGCAAGAAGTTCAGGTCGAGAAACGACATTAGAGCCTTTATGGAACATCAAGGGAATTTCGACTTTGAACCCGAGAAATTTGATTTTTGTATTCATCGGAAGAAGGGAGGAAAAGGTACAAGACTTAGGCATGAAGTTACCGTGGATGCTCCAAAGAAAATCAAGACTTTGTTGCCAAAAACAAAGCTTGCATCTCCAGTTTCGGAAAATTCAATCCCAGGGACTCCGAGTCCAGCAATTGGTCGAACGGCGTCGGAGGGAAACGTTGATTCTGCTGGTATGTTTCATATTGATTCACGTTAATAATAGCATAGAATTAATTATCGTATACAAGTAATTTCCCTCTTATGAGAAATATAATATACTTTTCTGATAACCAGGGGTGTTCATCGGCGGACTTCGCGTAGAGATGGAAGACAGTTGTTACAAGTGTCCCAAGGAAGGGTGTACCAAGAACTTCCGCAAGGAGAACCTCCTTCAAATGCACATTAAACATTATCACCCGGAGTATTCCAAGTTCCTGGGGTCTACTCCTAACGTTGCCGATCTAGCGTATGCCAGAACCATCGGGGAATCTATCGGTGATATCGTTCCTAAGAAGCCCAGCAACTTCCTGGAGAAGATCAACCAGTTTGAAAAGAAAAAGGCGGCCCAGGAGAAACAGCATTCGCCGGCGCCAGCGGTAGACTTGGAAACTACTCGGATCGAAAAGCATGTCAGTGAACCGGAAGATGACTCCAAGACAAAGTTTTCATCTCCAGCCTCGAGTCGAAGCATCGACGAGGAGGAACCTGCTGGAAGGCTGCGGGAGAACAACTGTGCAATGTCCCCAGGGACGCTGTTCGACATGAGAACCAAGGAAGATAAACCTCCTGGTGGAATCAAGACTTTATTACCAGTTAGACCTGCGACCTTGGAGACTCCGAAGACGGATGGACCCAAGTTCTCCGAAGAGACGAACACCTATTCGGAGAAGGGCAAAGCCTTGAGGAAACGACAGTCCTCGGACCATTCCTCCGACGTTACAAAGAGTAAGAGGAGACAAGGTAAACGGATCGTGCTCGATTAATTCATTTTTACGTAGAATCGTTCCTTCGGAGGAATTTAAAATGATATTTACTTCAGGTGCAACAGACTCGGCGGAAGATCGCCCGGATGCTGATGCCCTTGCGGTAGATGTCGAGGTGCCAGCTGTTTCGTCTTACAGATTCAGTAGGAGGAAGTCCGATCCAAAGAGTGATGAAAACAGCCAGAGCAGTAAGTATCGGGCATGACGTCGGTAGTGAAATTGGGCACGTGCACGTGCATCTTTCTCGTTTAGATTGTTAACGTGTGCTCTCTACGTAGAATGCTCAGGAGGTTCCCCTTTCCTGGCTGCTTCTTCTTCGGTCTTCCTTTTACACTTGTCTATTATTCTCAGCCGTCACTTAGAACTCGTTGACTGCAATTTGCCGTGTAAAATCATGCAACGTTTATATTTTCTCACGGATTGCATTATTTTACACGATTTGCGGTCTACGATAAAGTCGTGACTATTATTATTCTTATCGTTGTCTTGTTATTTAGGTCAGCTAAACGATTCTCATCTTGAGAAAGGTGACGCCCCGAAAGGGGATTCTACCAAAAGAGATAGTAATAATGATGACGAAGGTACTTCTTTTACTGATTTTATTTTGCATGAACGTATCGCACGATTGCTTCGCTGAGTCGGCTAATGGAGTTTAACGGAATCACGCGTAGTACCATGTCTCTGTGATAGAAGTCTCTTTCGTTGATATGTACTTGGACGTTTATTTTTTCGATGTCATCGTCATGGAGGTTCGTTTGCGAATTTACGGTAAAATCATTTCCCCCTTTGCTATTACCAGAAAGCGACGGCGTCAGGATGATGATGATAAACGGCGAGATGGTGAAGGTCGAGCAACTGCGAAGGGAGGAGATTATTAATTGCACCTGCGGATTTATGGAAGAGGATGGTCTGATGATTCAGTGCGATCTCTGTTTATGCTGGCAACACGGACATTGCAATGCCATCGAAAGGGAGAAAGACGTTCCGGAGAAGTATGTCTGCTACATATGCCGACACCCTTATCGGCAGAGACATTCGAAAAAATATTTCCACGATCAGGACTGGATTAAAGAAGGGAAATTACCGAGGTACAGGTTCTCACGTGATTAACTAACGCGTGGAAAAATATGCCTCAGCCCGGTATACGTAAATAAAAATTGTTTACTTATTCCTTGGCACTTTTTCTCATTTTGTAGCTTGCCTAATCGAACCAAGAACGAAAGCCTTATCGGTCGAAGGGCTGCCATGTTGAAAAGATCTTACGACTTGGTGGCGGCCTTACTTCAGATCCGACAGATACTTCATGGTCTTCGACTGAAAATCAACGTGGCCCAGTAAGTTGCCTCGAGTTAAAAAATCTTTGCTAAAACCAAAGCGCAGTTATACGCGATAAACGTGAATAGTAATTCTTTACGGAATTTTTAATTCCTTGTTAGACTTTCTCGGCGGAATTCATTCTGCTTTTTTGTGTCTCGTTCAGCAGGAAATGTAATTTTTTACTTATTCACGGTTTATTTTTTTTTTTTCACTTTAAAAAAATGATATAGAAGGAAGGACCACCCGAAACTCTATCTTTGGGCTAAAAACTGGGAAAAGGAGGAAGTGCCGAAGCCGCAGACCGAGCCTGTGCCGGTGATGAAGACCGTTAAGGCTCCTTCGGATCCCGTCGACCCTCCTTCGGAGTCGTCGAACAGTAACGAAAGCAAAACGGTCCTTAAGAAGGTAGTTCAGCAAGACCCCGACGCGAACTCGATCGCCTCGGACTCCGAATTGATGAAAATCTTGGAAGAGGATAGCGCCCAGTCCGAGGAGACGAAGCCTAAGAAGGAAGATTGCTCCGTGGATGGCCAAATTTTATTAGGCGCGTTAACGAGAAGCGATCTTGCCGGCAAGAAGCTATTGCACGACGTTAAAATCGAGAGTAACGGTGAGGAATAGTCGACTGCTACGAATTCTTCGTTACTTTCACTCTTAATCTCAGATTCGACGAAGCCACGATAACGGATCGTTCCTTTCATGGAATCGTACGATTTTATTCTTTAGAATCAACCGAAGACCAACCTCTTACGAGTGACGCTCTCGGGGATGATCTTATGCCTACCGTGTCTACTAAATTGGAAGGCAACGGAGAGGGGAGTCCGAGTCTATCAGACGTTTGTGAACCTAAAAGTATCCTTCTGCCACCTATCGTACCCGAACCCGAGGCACCGATCGATCCCTCGGAATGTCGTTTAAGATTGCTCGAGCACATCGAACACTTCCAAAACCATATTGACTCGAGATTGACCACTATCGAGGCACAAATGGACGGTGAGTATTTGACCTCTTCCACTATACGGTATACGTGGTTTCATAAAAAGATAATCTCTTTGATTAATCTTTGTGTAAAGTGTGAGTTGATTCGATTGGACTCCTAAGATTTTTCTGAACGCTCTGGGGTGTGCTTTCGTAATTTGTCTCACTGATTTCATTGGCGTTTTATTAACAGCATTAGAGGCAATGGATCCGGATCACCTGTCGTTGAATTTGGACGTGCAACCAAGAACTAAGCAAACGGTTCAGATGTTGCTCAAGGATTTGAATACGGTTCGAAGGTTGGCTGCGCTATGTTGAACAATCCAAATGACATTTAACGGATTAGAAGTCGAGATATTTTTTTTTTTTAATGGAACATCTTCCCGGGACGCACCTGGGGTGTCATTGGCAGTTTTAAATAGAGATTTAAGCAAGGCTATTGCACTTAGTGCGTCGTTAACTTCGACTGGGTACATGCGGCAAAGCATGGTGTAAAATAGTGAAACTTAGCGTAAGGGTATGTAAAAAATGAAGGCATCGTTCATTAGCCTCCGACTGTCCGATGTAAAGTCGGAATGAATTTGTAGAGACAGAAATTTACCGTCTAATAGAGAAATAGCTGAGAAGCGGCACTCGCCAACGGAATCTATTTTTACGCCGAAGATGTAACGTATAATTAGATCTTCACCATACATCTTGTAATATGTAAGTATAACCCGTGAAATGTAATATAATAGCAGAATAGTAGAAGTTTAGGAAACCGCGCCATGTCAGTTTAAAATAAATGTAAGTTTTCTTTAAGGCGTGCGATTTAATTTATTCCTGCGAAGGGAACTAATGTTCGCAGAAAGGCAGGTGAGAAAACGTGTCCGTTGTTCAATTATTTTCAGGATAACGGAGATTCTTGGGCACTCGATTAGACAACCTTTTATTACAACAGTGACCGTTAGAATCAATTATCACGTTGCGGGAATCGTTAAGTCCGAATTAAAATAATTTCAATTAGTTAACTTCGATCCACATTCGAACCACTTACGCTAAGAATTCGCATTTTTATCGCAAGTACATGACAATAGCGAGCCTTTAATATGAAATGTAAAGAATCGAGTCGACGTTTTCTAGAACACGTATTCGCGATGTCCATTGTCAACCAAGCAATTCGAAATCCTCGTCGGAAGTGTCGTAATGTCGGTCTAGATGCTCAAAGCCCAACACTGGAAGTCAAGAATACAATGGCGTTAGAAGTTATCAGTTCCATATAATTTTAATTTTTTTTGCATCGATGAAATATTAATGTAATGTTGCTCTCGTAACTCACCGCTGACAGCAGCAGATTCTTGAGTGACGACGCTATCCCGCGAAGACCAATTGGCTGGTCTCTCGTTGCACATCTCGAACATTGGTTGCTCCTCCGGAGTAAGCAGTTTACTTTGCAAGCTTTTGCACAACGCTTTAAAATCCTTCTCCGTTGAGCAAAAGAAGCACTGAAGGTTCAAGAAATTATTAATGACAAACTTGACACACTTTTACATTTAATGTACTTCCAAAAGTTAACGTAAGGTTTTCTGATGTAAGATATAAAGTATAAATTTTAGATACTAACGAGAGCTACAGAAGGATCTATTCCCGTAATGGGAATACGACTGGCAGCCTTGCAGTGATACGTGTTGTCCAAATCTACCTGATTTTCATCTTTTTTCTCGTCAACAGTACCAGAACGTTGCGTAGTATGTGGATCCAAGAACACGACTTCATCTTCTGCGATGTTTTTTAAATTATTTCTCTCGATGGAATATCATAAATTTTACGTGGAAAAAATATTACATACCGACACAACCGATGAAGTACAAGGCATGATTTGGTTTCCCTCCTATGACGCCCAGCGATTGGGGAATTTGAAAAGAAGTCTGAAAACAGAAAGAGATTTAATCTTGCTTGTTTTTGACAAATTTGGTTTCAATTCATTTTACGGCGCGAAAATTATTAGAAGAGTTTATTGCACGAGGGTGATGTAGAGAAAAAAAAATAGTTACTTTAAGTCCGTTGATGTAAACAGTATTAATTTCACTTAAGCCAAGTCTGAGGGGCACGAGTAGCAAAAGAGGTTTCCATTCACTGGGAACTTTCAATGGTTCGTCTCCATCGAGTTCAGCTGTCATTCCACCTTCCACTCGACACTCTTTTACTGAAATTGTTTGTTCTTTGTTAAATGTCACTATCGTTATTTGATCATTGAATTCTCATGATACTTACAAACGTCATTAACTATTAACATATTATCAAGAGCGACGTGTATCGTGATGGAACTCCATTTGTCATAAACGACAAGTTTTCTGAAAGGATGTAAACAAGAAAAGGGTTCATACAGTATTTATAGTGTAATCATTATTGCCCGAATATTCTCAAAATTTGTAATAGAATTTAATTGGTATGCTAGACATTGATACATACTTCAATACCTGTGCAACCGTGTTGGGTCCAAACCACTGGCCAACTTCCTTCCCTACGGATGCGCCCATTAAAGCGATTTGATGAATTGAAAAGGGGGAACCCCTACGGTCCTCGAACTTGCTCAAAATCTTCAGGTACGTGCTATCACGAGTCTCGGGTGTCCACAGCCAATCTTTACCTTTTTTTTTTAATTTAAACTTACAGGATAAAATATTATTCTATTTAGGACTAGGCATACCTAAATGTAGCCTCAGCAATGCTTGAGCAAGCACCATCTGTCCGCAGCGTAGCATGCAACCCCAACCTTTATCGGATGTAAATGCTGAACCCAATCCACCGATTGGTACAAAGCCCTTGCGGTACGTAAACCACAACATCGTCCGCACATCCCTGCGAATCTGGTCGAGTTCTGAAATTTTACATCAGGCTCGCTTGTTCGCTTTCTTCTTGAGTACAACATTCTACCGACCCTTTATGGCGTCGTACTTCTTTCCAAGTATCCAAACAGGTTCTGTCGTTTGAGGTATGTCGTCTGGCTCTTCTAATCCAGTTTGCATAAACAAAGTGTCCATTTCAACAAACTTTTTGGTCTTGATATTTTCTTCAAAGTTATTATAGTAATATTCTGCGTATAAAAAGGTCTATTGTAAATTTTCAATATACGATGCTGTGTGGAAAATCATGATATCAAAGAAAAGCAGATAATGAATACGTACCTATTATCGTAAGAATCTTTTTCTCGTTTGTGTTATACAAAAGTGTTTGAAGAAGTTTTTGCCAGTGTATAGTGGAAAATCAACTGGAATCTCTCCTGAGTACATTCGTACCATTTCATTTTCCTGCACAATAGTAATCATTAAGAAAAGGACAAAAGGAATTTACCGCAATTTTCAAAGTAATGTTAAAAGTTAGGCTTGCTGAAATAGGTTAAAGACGTTAAGACACATTTCAAAAGTGAAAAGTGCTACCTATTGGAAAATTGCAGTAAATTAGTATCGAAATGTAAACATAAACGGCAGTTCACGTACAAATATGCAACGGCTACAAAAGTTCGGACTAGTTCCAACAACCTAAGAAAAAGGAAATGCACAGAATCGCCATCGAAATATTTTATCATTGATCTATATGAATAAAGGGACGGAATACGAAGTGAGATTTTAGACGACGGATCAGAAGTTCGAGACGTAAGGGGAAGGAATTCAGCCATCTTAGATTTCTACGAAAGATTGTGAAATTCTGTTGGATATTGCTTTTACGGGCATAAAAATTGCAAACGGCAATAACAGTTAACGTGTAACAATTAAAATTATCTTTATATCCGTTTCAAAACACACGAGAACGCTGGCAATAAATATAACTGTTGTCTATGCTTACTTTACGTCTTGAGTTTCATCTGCCAGTCTCCATCTATCTCTTCGTATTTCTATGCCAAAACTGATCAGCCACGCTTTTACAGCTAATATTTATTAACATTTTGTAAGGAAACGGAGTACAGGTGAATTCCGAAAATGTCTAAATAATTGTTACATCATGGCATTACGTCTCAATGATTTTAATCGAGGTTTCCTCTTTACGTCTCATTTCTTGCTCCGACCGACCGACGCGCTGGCCGCCGCCATCTTTAAATCAAGCCGCCATGTTGGATCGTTTCTTTGCCAGCGTTTCCGAAATTCCTGTCACTATTTTCAGGAGCATTTTCAGATATGCAGCGAGCTTGAAAGTCGATTGAAAAAAAAATAGTCGAAACTGCATGCCTTGACGATGCGCCCAATATTCCTTGTCTACAATTTTTAATTCGAAAATTCGCATGAATCCACATGAATCACTGCTAGCGGGACGGCGCGAGGCGGGTTTCTCGAAGTCGCTCTCGTTTCGCCGAGTCCAGCCGCTGTCGGGCGATTTTGCGTCACGTGGAATTTCGGCGATATTCGGAAAGTTCGGGCGATTTGAAAGGGTTCAGAAGGAACTCTGTCGGCGGAGCGTAGAGAACAGGTCTTAGCCTCGAAGGAGGCTAAAGAACCCGAAGGAACCTCCGATCGCTGCGAGGTGTCCCCGCGTGTTTAGTGTCTTCTTTTTTTTCCCCGCCACGAAACGCGGCGTCCGACGTGGATTGACGAGCTTCTTCGATGTGTTCTCGAGCAAATATGTTGTGCTGGTTATAAGAAGACCAGGAACGATGAGCTTCTCCAGCGATGAGGTTAACTTTCTGGTGTACCGATACCTCCAGGAGTCAGGTACGATTTTTAGTTCTAACCTCTACTCGACGTAGGTGCATACCGAAGTTTTTTGTTTACGACTTTTCTATTGTACTCATTTAATAGTATTCGAAATCAATTCATATTTACACCACTGCTTGTGTATTCATTTTGAGGTTGTGCCTTTTGATTGTACAAAATGACTACAATTTTTTGGTTACTAGGGTTTCAACACTCGGCATATACATTCGGCATAGAGTCCCATATATCGCAGAGCAACATAAACGGGGCATTGGTGCCACCAGCGGCGCTGTTATCTATCCTTCAAAAGGGTTTACAGTACATCGAGGCAGAGATTTCGATAGGCGAAGATGGCACCGAGCAGCGAATGGTGGAGTCTTTGTCGCTTATCGACGCGGTCATGCCAGATGTCGTGGCATCGCGGCAGAACCAGTTGAATCAACAGAAGCAGCAAGTGAAGACTGAAGTTCAAGATACTAATGGAGAGGAAGGTTGTTATTATAGCCATGCATTTGCAGTAATGTAAAGCTAATAATTATGTACAAATTAATCGCCTGGCACACCCTGGTTCGTAAAACTGTTGATTTTTATGAACCTCCTTTACCAACCAGGCATAGAAAAGGACCGCCTTAGTACTCGAATGTCTCGTCCTCTCAGAGTCTTCCACTGGAACGGTCTTGGCGTGGTAGATAAATATTTTTTACGCTAGAGTAAAATGTATTTCCCCCGATGCTATGGCATAGATCGAGATAGTGAAGTAAAATTCTGAACATACCTGATGAGGTGTCCGTTTACTGCGAGCAAACAAATCCAACTTCCATAAGAATCAAGTGCCTTTGCAATACCTTCTTTGAATTATTTGCAAATTAATGATCGTAGATGAAAATAGAGCAAATAAGAGTCCTGAGAGTTTAAATTTTCATTTTTATTAACATGGATCGATTCATGTTCAGTTGTCACATCAAATGTGGGAGTCGGAGCAAACGAGCGAACTGGTGATCGGTCGGAGATAGAGGTCGATGAGCAACAGCAAGGAGCCGGGACTGGAAGTGGTGTTAGTTCCGTTGAAATCCCAGCCAGCAAGGCAACGGTTCTTCGAGGCCACGAGTCCGAGGTCTTCATCTGTGCCTGGAATCCAACTACGGATCTACTCGCATCTGGTTCGGGTGACAGTACTGCGCGTATCTGGGATATGTCCGATAACTCTCTGGCACCAAATCAGCTCGTATTACGCCACTGTATCCAGAAAGGTGGGACGGAAGTACCCAGTAACAAGGATGTCACTTCCTTGGATTGGAACGTACGTGTATTTGTAATATCACATAAAACGTGTTAGGATACAAAACCCCTGTAACTTTATTTCGGTTTAGTGCGATGGAACGCTGTTAGCGACTGGTAGTTACGACGGATATGCGAGGATCTGGACCACCGACGGAAGGCTAGCCTCCACTCTGGGCCAGCACAAGGGACCGATATTTGCTCTCAAATGGAACAAACGTGGCAATTACATTTTAAGCGCAGGAGTCGACAAAACCACAATCATTTGGGACGCGGCCAGTGGACAATGCACCCAACAATTCAGCTTCCACTGCGCACCTGCACTGGACGTGGATTGGCAAACCAACACCTCTTTCGCTAGCTGTTCGACGGATCAGTGCATCCACGTGTGCAAGTTGAACGCCGACAAACCAATAAAGAGCTTCCAAGGGCACACGGTACGCAACGTATACCTTTGCTCTTGCATATTAATCCAAAAGTTTCGATTTTTCAGAACGAAGTGAACGCGATCAAGTGGGACCCCCAGGGCAATCTCCTGGCCAGTTGTTCGGATGACATGAGCTTGAAAATTTGGTCGATGAAGCAGGACACCTGGGTGCACGATCTGCAGGCTCACAGCAAAGAGATCTACACCATCAAGTGGTCGCCCACCGGGCCGGGGACCCTGAACCCCAACATGAACCTGACCCTGGCTAGCGCCTCCTTCGACTCCACCGTCAGACTTTGGGACGTCGAGAGAGGGGCTTGCATCCACACCCTGACCAAACATACGGAGCCGGTCTACAGTGTGGCCTTCAGCCCCGACGGGAAGTTCCTCGCGAGTGGGAGCTTCGACAAGTGCGTCCATATCTGGTCGACCCAGGTCGGTACTCGTGCAGATCTCTTCTCTCCGGTTTGAAAATTGCGAAAATTCCTGTCATTCCTATAATAACGTCGAGGAATCCTGACATTTTCAGAGCGGCCAGCTGGTGCACAGCTACAAGGGGACTGGCGGCATCTTCGAGGTCTGCTGGAACAGCCGGGGGGACAAGGTCGGCGCCTCCGCGTCGGACGGCAGCGTCTTCGTCCTGGACCTTCGCAAGTTGTGATCGCCGGCCGGTCGATCTTAGGCTACGTCCGATTGACTCGCGGTGCCGGTTTCGCGACTTATCCCGCTCGTTGGTTCTCGTTCCGCTTCCTGGCCCGTCTCCGGGGGTTTCGTTGCGCCGAGTCCTGGTCTCTCCTTGACCGGAGAGCCCGCCAAGCGGAGTCGCCCTCGACCACGTCGACGCGACCGGCGTCGTTTGCATTCTATCAACTCCACCGCGCGAATCGAGGCCCGGGACGGGGACGTTGTACATTGAATTAAACTCCTTGAAGCTGCGAACAAACTCCGGCTGGGCGCGTTTGCGTCGCCTTAGCGTCGCCTTTCTGGCGGCCTAGCCGGTCACGAGAAGTTCTATTCTCCTTCAGCGGATGAAAGCGCGTGTTGTTGTAATTTTAACGATAAATTTAGCATTATACACCCAAGTACGTCTACGGAGAATAAACTTTTTTTTGAGGAATCGCCTGTGCGATGGGTCTAGCGACACCTTCCGCGGTCGGCAGCTTCGAGGAAACGGGGAAATTGGACTCGAAGGACTCGGAGCGACGAAAGAAATTTTAAAGCGTCCCTATCTAATCTCGATGTCGCAAACTCGAAGACCTGGACCCGACCCGGATTCTCCCGTGTTACTTTTCTTAACCGGCGATTTCTTTACACATCCTCTGACACACCCTCCTTCCGGGAACACTCGGGTCCCCGCGTTGGCGACATTATTCCCGGTTGTACCTGGATATATTTGAGCTTGCCAAACAAGACACGTTATAAGAGAACGGTTCGCCCTTGCGAAGACTCAGTACCGTTGCTCCTCTTATACCGAAGAAGAGGGAACGCTCGAAAGTCTTCTCCGACGATGACCGGGATTCCTCGATAGCGTTGATAGGTCGTAATCGAGGAAAAGACTGCGGTTTACGGTTAATCATGGGAACTAGGTGGAAATTGTTAGCGGAACTCATTAGTTTGTTGGTGATGCGTTCCCTGTTAGGCGCCGCGGATGCAGGTCTTGCTACTCACTGTGGAGGTACTTTTTCCGGTTATCGGTACGCGATTAGCAGCCCGAATTATCCCGGGAACTATCCTGGAGATCTGGACTGCCGTTACGCCCTTAGGGGCAACGAGTCAGGTCGGTGCGAGCAAGAGTTCCATCTGCAATTCTTGGACTTCGAAGTGCGACCCTCCGAGGATTGCCTTAAGGATTACCTCAGGATCGGCGAGAAGGACGTTCTCTGCGGAAACGCGGCCGGAATTAGGAAGTTCAGGGCCAGGAATGACACCTTGGATGTCGCGTTTCATTCCGGAGAAGGGGGCGGAAGCAGGGGATTCAAGATTTTGGTTACCGCCCTGCCTTGCTTCTCCTCTTTCGTTGATTTGGGGAGAAATAGGTAAACGAATTTGGTTGCGACTTTGTCGAACACTTTTCATTTCACATTTTTTTTACATTTCACTCCAGATCACTCGCAGAACCTGACGCGACTCTAGGCACTTTGAAGAGGGAAAAAGGAACTGCGGTTAATCCGGAAGTAATTAGCCCCAAGAAGGATGAGAAAGAAGTTTCATCGAGAATTCAGCATTTCTATCTTGAGAAAAAGCTCGAGGATGAGCGGGGGGAAAGGAGAAATTTATATCCGGTGTACAGGCCGGAAGTCGGCTTTGCGGAAGAGGAGAGCATCGAGAAGGGGAGAGGAGACCAACCACCTGTGAGAGCGATTTCCGGAGAAACTCGGAAAGTGGATATTCCGCAGGGAGAAGTCACATCAATTATTCTCCCCGAGCCGGAAGACCACCTGCGACTTCCCGTTTACGAGCATCGGGAGTTTCGTGGCGAGAATACCAAAAAGTCGTCGCTAAGAGAGCAGGAGTTCCAAGCCGTGGACAGTAATTCAAGAAGTTCCCCGGGGGAGGTGCCACCTCGAGTGTCTTCCTTCTTGTTTCTGCCACCGACTCGAAATCGACAATCTTCCCAAAACGCCGATATTTTGGGAGGTAAAACGACCGGCGAGGTCGGGGGGACATCTTCTCCAGGGAAAATTCCCTTGTCTTTGACTCCGCCCTTGGTTGGTCCAGCTAAGGATTTCCAAGCGGGCGCGGATGTTCCTAATTTCTTGGAAAATCGACCCAGCGAGCTTTTCCACGGTCAGAGATTAATTGGAAATTTTTCCGACGGAGACGTCGTCCACTCGACGTCGACGGATCCCGGCAAAAGGCGACTCGGACAACCGGCGATCTCTTACGGGTCGCCGGGACAATTTTTTGACATTAATGCTAATGGCCGGTACGACCCGTTGTCGAATTTACATCCAAATTGCGATGGACACGCAAGCGGGACTTCGGTTAATTTCAATGAGAATTTACCGGGTAACTACGATCCGTTGGGACCGCCTGGAAATGTGAATCCTCAAATTCAACCTATGCCTCCGAGTTTCGATTTTGGAACGAACGGAGCCAATCCGCTCCCGAATTTCGGGGGGGGTTTCGCCTCCTACCCTAATGACATTTTCGATTACAGCTTCGGAGTCTTTCCTGGCAATTATAATTATCCTGGTGGCGGATTTAATTTCGGAATCGGGAATGGTAATCCGAATTTTTTTAACAATCCTGGACAGGGCCAATCAGACTGTTGCGGCGTTCCCTACACGTCGCAGAGGTTTCTGATAACGAGCCCTGGATTTCCATCCCTGTCCTACTCCTCCAGGTCTTATCAATGCCGTTATACTATCAGGCAATTTTCTCAAAACGTATGTCGACTTCGGTTGAACCTGAAATTCTTCAATTTCGGAGCCGAGGATCAGTTTTGCTCTCGAGGATACTTGGAAGTCGACGGTCGTAGGATATGTGGATGCAAATCGGGCCAACAGTTAACGATTAGTTTCCTCAATTCGATCACGAAAAGTATATCGATTAGGTATTCGGGTTATCCGCGGATTAAGTTTAGTGGATTTTTTATCGAAGTCGTTCAGGAGCATTGCAGTGGATTTTATGTAAGAAATAGGAAGAGTGTCGACGACGCGAGTAAGGAGAAAAAAATTGATAGAAATGGGAAGGACGTCGATGATCAGAAAAATCAGACGATCGTTCCGATCAATCTTATCATATCGGGTATCTCGATCAATTCGACCGAGAATGATTCATTTGGAAATGCGAATGGTAGTAAGGGAAAGTCGAAAAGGGATTTGGGATATTTTTATCCGAGGCCGAGCATTGGCTTTGTCGAAGGAGGTCCTTCGCTTTCGGGTGTCGCTGGTCAAACTTCGGATAGATCATTTTGGAACTCCTGCCAAGCTTTGGTTTTCTTTAATTGGGTTCTTGCGGCGAAGGAAGTGTATTTAAGAGGAGCTCAATGCACTTCTTCGGGAAATTCCGGCCCGATGATACCTGTAATTCCGATTTTTCCTGGATCCGGAGGATGGAATAATAATAATCCACCTGCCAATTGTCAGAATGTCAATGTTATACAGGGGGTGATCTCGTCGCCGAGATATCCGGGAAATTACCCCAATAACGTGGAAAAATGTTACAGGTAATTAATAATTTATAAGTTAATTTAATTCGTGATCTAGGGTTTTTAATTCATCTCTGAACACGCAGGTAGTAAAAACGGTATTGGTATAATCATTTTTCGGAACGTTCTATGTTAGAGTAACGATAATCGATATTTTTCAGATTTCATAAAGCACCTGGTCATTGCCAATTGGAAATCAGTATGTTGGATTTCGATCTCGAACCCAGTCCCGGATGCTTCAAGGATTACGTCTCGTTTAGCGGACAAAATCGACGATATTGTGGAACATCCTTGAAGGGGTCGCGAAGTGAGATATTTCAAGACACGTTATCAATATCATTTTACAGTGGTTACATAAATTTTTCATAATTTTTTTTTCAGCAATTTTCGACCTGTCGAGGGCAAGCATCGCTGACGTCTACTTCACGAGTGACTCTTTCGGAAGTGGAAGAGGTTTCCATGCAGGATTCGCCCAAAATCCTTGCCAATATTAATAAATAAGAGTTTAATTGTTACAAAGAAATACAAAATACCATTTGCACGTTAACTAAAATCTCACTTGAATTGCGAATGATTGAATAAACGAAAGAGCGAATGAATCTCATATACTGCGGCCTTAAAATATGTGTGCAACTTAATTATAATAATACGTCCTGGATAAGCTACGCGGATGTATAAACGAAAAAAGAATTGAATATTAATATTAAATTAACTCGCAACGTTCTTTTTGAAATAACACGTGTGTTTATTTTTACGTAAATACATTTAACGGACACAGCTCTCCTCTCGTCCTTGCTCTACCTAGACAACGATCGGATGTTAATTTCCATTTGTCCCCAGGTCTAAGTCGGACGAGAAGAGGATAGCAGCCAATACAGTCAATATAATTTTTTATAGAATGTTATCACCAACATTAGCCCGAACACACGTCAAGAGTCAAACGTTGTTCATTAGAAACAATAGGCGAAGTGAAACTGTTCTTCAGGCGCCATCTTGAATCGGGAAGACCAGAATTTTCTCCGGCGAAAGAAGGAATGCCAGAGAATCGAGATCGGACACAATTTCTCACTGCATTTGACGATATTTTCTCAACATTTAAGATCCCTGTAGAGAGCACTTTTTTGGCGGTATGTTAATTTTGTTTCTTTTCCTTTTCCTTACTTCTTCATTTCGTGAGGTCAGGTATCCCTAACATTGGATTTTATTTCCGACGACCTAGGAAGCGGATGTTCGTGAAGATCGCACTGGCTGGCCTTCGTCGGTTGCAGAAGTTGACCGTCCTCGACCTGTTTCCTTGACGAGCGTCATGAAGAGCCACCAGGAGTTGGAAGATGTCTTCTCTCGTGGGGGTGCAAAGGTAGCGAGAGGCGTCGTAGTCGTAGCTAGGCATGTATTTACCCCGTTAAAGATGTTCATCGATTTTGTACTATTTACTCAATTTCGTAGATACTTATGCATGTTGCGGGATTACCTTGAATTCTGTCTTTTCCAGGGATAACGCCTGTAGTATCTGGACCTCTTCCAAACGGGTCGGCTGCTAATGTCGATCGAATCCGGATTCACATCCGTATCTTCCCACATGGGAGGCTCTTCGATGAGAACCAGAGGAGACTCCCACGCACCCGGTCCTTGTAGAAGTCCCGTCAAGAAGCTTGTTAGCTGCGACAATTCCGCATCCTCGTAATCCTCCATGGATCTTGGGTGCTCATCTACAATTAAAAGAGCGGAGCCTTTAGCACGACGAGCCCTAAAAGTAAGTTCCTTTCAAAGAGAAAATCTTTTTCCTTCTCCATAAGCGTGCACATTAAATATACCTCCACTTCCGCTTGGAAGATCAAGTGCGATTTATCGTCGCCTCGCTATCGCTGTTCAAACGTTTCGCTAATTTACAGAGCAAAGCTCTAAGGACACCTGTTCACCGATAAATTGCGGGTGACCGCGAGTGCATGCGCAAAATGTACCATAATTGCGGTGCAAGCTTCGTTAAAAGGACTCCTAGGCGGGCGGAATTTTTTTGAAAGGATAAACTAGGTACTTTTTGCATGTATATTTGCGCTTTTTGGGTCTGCCTTCAACCCGTTAATAAATTCCTTGTAAATATTGCAGAGAGATCACTTTGGGTAGGCGCGATCTCGCGGTTATCCACGCAGAGGGCAACCAGTTGCGTCCAATTAGCAACGTCGAATGAAAACGGAGCCAACGGCGCGTTAAACGACGAAATCAGCACGCCCCGTTGCCTCTGTTCATACAGTTTTCCAGGTAAACATCGGACTAACTCGGCAACAACCCTTTACGCCTATTTCCTGTCGAGATCTAGTCGAGTCGAATTTATTCCAATTATAGCTATAGATTAATGTCAAGAGCAAGAGATTGTGATTACGGGGTGTCGTATCTCGGGGGTCTCGAGCTTATTGGATATCAAGTTTCCCTTTAGCAATTTATTATAGAACGTAATTGAGATCTACGTAAGCCGGCATTGTTCGGTTTCAAATATTTCCGAGTACCTTGATTTTCCAACCTTCTTTCTTCAACTTTCCCGAGCGCGACGGGTTTCCTCAAAATGGCGTCCGGTCGAGGCTTCGGTTCGAACTCTCTCCACCCGTGGTGAAAATTCGATCCGTCGGTTTCCTCGTGTGGCCTGATTATTCCTAGATTGTTCAGAGGTTTTATGTCATTTTGGGTATATGTTCCTCCGAGATTGTTGAACAATAGTGCCATATCTTCCATATGATTTCCTGTGCGGAAGTCTATGGATTCCGGTCTCGCCGCCGCCATCTTGACCAACGCCACGAGGAACGGGATAAAGGTTCGCATCTGAAACATCGAATTATATTTCTGTCATCTGGGTAAACCCCGCGTTAGTTAAGCAACTTAAATATGCCGTTGTCATTCAAGTGAAGTTAATTTGGGAAATTTCACCGAATGCTCCAAGATATATGGCTATGAGTACCTGTGTAGTGAATTTATTTCGCGGTGATATTATGTGCCCTAGGGTGCATTCATGAATACGAATTTGGTTACTTTTTATGGAAAAGAAATTCTGCCCGACCGAAAGCGTAGTGAATGAAACTCATCAATCTTGGGTCACAACATAAAACCACCTATAAAAGAGATTCGAGGAAAACCGGGAAATATCATTAACACCATACAGTACATTAAAGATTCCGCGTTTCCCCTCGGCTTTGTCGGGTCATCCCTTTTCCCCATTTATTAGGGCGTAATTCTCGGAGTTTTCCTCGAACCACCGGTTACACCTCTCATCCCTCCCCTCCGTAAATGGGATACTTGTTGCTTCGGTCGAGTTCCACCCACTCGATGTCTTTCCAATTTCGGCCCTCCTTAACGAGGGGACGCGAGGGTAGCCACCGGCAATTCCGGCAGACTTCCGGAAGTCCTTCCGGAAGTGGGTCGTGGACAATTTTTCTTGGGAGAAAAGTAGCCCAGGGGTCGGGTTCCTCCCGTAGGCGGATACTTGGCGGCCATCGATTGATTAACGGCAATTTACCCCATCCCTCTCCACCCTTGTTACTTCACTTTCTTCAGAAAGACCCCGTAATGAGCGAAACACCTTCGCACGGTTGCACTGGATTTTCCCCGTTTCGGCAAAACAAAAAAAATTCTCCCCTTTAATTATCTTTTGTTATTGCGTTTAAAATTCATACTTTAAGAACGGGATTAATCGATCGTTTGCTGCGGTACTCCCAATGGTAGCGAATAGGCGATAACTTTGGTTAAAGAACAAGAAAAAGAAGGGAAAATGCAATTATTAACTTAAAATGATATTTAACAAATTATAGTATATAATGAACTACACGAGTGAAAATTATAGAGTTAGGAAAAATTGGGGTGGATGTTTGTGGAGGTGGTTGGTGATCCCAGCTCTTACGTCGGTTCTCTCTTCTCGGTAATCCCGTATAGGTGCAGTTGCAGGTGCAGTACAGGTGGTCGCAGGACGGGGCGATCTCGGAGATGAGCAGACGAAATGACCCGAACGACCCGGACGACCCTCCCGGTCGCAGCGACTCCTGAGTTCTGGCGCGCCGAGCGCGTCTCCGCGCCTTATATAGAGGCGTCAAAGCGCGCCCCAAAAGAGAGAAAACCCGCCCCCGAAGAGAGAGAAAAAGCGCAGGGAAACGAGAGTGAAACGAGTCCTATGGACATAGGATGTGTGACTTGCTTGCGATCCCGATGTATCCGATAGGAACGTCCCCCGCGGTTTCGGGATGACGTTCCCGAAATTTTCGACCCTAGGCACCCCTGACAGAAAAAGTCGCCATGGAAACTCCTACTTTCGGTCGTCCGCGTTTTTTACTCCTATATCAAAAAGGATATTTGTAAACATTTATTTCCACTTTTCTCTCGTTACTGCCGAGTCGAGTTGCTGACTACGAAATGCTTTGGATAATGGTTTTTAGGACTCTAGGTGTCAATGGAGAATCGTGAATCGTCCCGGTCCCGGGGATGCTGCGAAAGTGGATTTACTACCCCTTTTGCCACCCACTACCGGTTCATATACCGACTCGTCGCGGTCGATATTCGACCTTACATGTTCCAGAGCCGGAACTTATGAAATCCCTAATAACTTTCCCAGCGATTGCTCGTCCTGGTGGGTTCCTTGCATTTCCCCAAAGTAGAAATCCCACTATCAGCTGTTTCGGTGCGATCTCTAGACTTGAAACATCAAACTCCTGTGGAGGGCCTAGGGGAAATTTATTAAATCGGCTAGTACAATTATAAACCACGCACCCGTGTGTTAATCTAACTAGTACACGTAACCCGTTTCATGAATTTATCTGAATTTTTTTTAAACAGAGAATGGTTCTCCCCCTCGCTTTGGAATTTTGTGAAAGGGGTGAAAAGGTGCATTATCGCTCCCTCGTTATCTATTTTTGTAAAACGATGAAGCCCTTTGTCGGTAGCCTCCCCAGCCAATGGACTCCCTCTTTAAGACTCATCAACCCCTAACGATGCCGCGGGCCTCCGTAACAATTTATCCCGTTTTCCAGAGGAAATCCGGTAAAATCGAACCCAGGTGGAACGAACCGCTTTAGCAAGAAATTTTGATTCCGTTCACCTGTCCACATTCCTGGGTACTATTTTCAACCCCGAGGACGGGGATGGAAATAGTCGTCCAGAACCCTGGAATCCGTGTTAGGCTCCTATCCGGAGTTTTTCGAACTGGTTGATATCACCGGTGACGCAGGTGAACTTTCCTGGTGAATATCCACCTGGGAATTTTCCGTTTCCAGAAACTGACCAGGGATGCGATACATCGACGTTCTTCGACGTCACGTGTCGAGGGTCGCACTCATATGACGAGGTGCATAAATCTCGCCAAGTGGAGAATCGTTCTCCATGGGATTGACGCGAGGCCGCGTCGAGTGCGCCGGTTATTAAAATCCTCGCAAATAAGAGCGGATGATTTTTCTCCGTCCTTAAAAATGGCCAGTCCACGGAGAGAAATTTTCAAATTCCATATCCGACCACGTAGAAGAGTAGACAATTTTTAGAAAGTGGTCATGACGCCACCGCGCAAGTACTCCCGCCTCGGCTGCAGGATTTTAATTTTTGATTTGTCAATTTATTAATTTCCTTCGCCTCAATGGGTGGTCCTTAAATTGCGTTTCCTCATTCTGGAACAATGTGTGTCCGTAATGGACAAGAATTGGGGGCGTGAGTTCCCATTTACTCTTGACAAGACCGATCGCGAGGTGTGGGCGTTCGGAACTCTGCTTTATTTCGGGATAAAAGGCTCCTTCGTTTTCTAAAGTGCGTCCCGAAATTGTTTTAGGCCTCCCGAATCTTCAAGATCTGGCGTGGAGAAAGGTATTCTCCCAAACTTTCAGGTACACTTTATTTTCCCACTTCTTTTTTTTTAAACTTCATTCTACACGGTTTGTTGTACACTTTTGAGGTTCCACGCGTTTACATTGGTGCTTTTTACATTTACGCTTTGTTTTCGACTTTTTTAACGTTAATTCCCAGTTTCTGCCTGATTCGAAGTTTCGGGGGCGTTTTTCTGATCGCCGGTTTTCACGGAGTCTTTGTCGGCTATTTTATAGCGACCCTCGTCCGCATATGAATACAATATTCCCACAATTTCATGTGCCTTCACGTACATGTCCTCCACCGTCTGTAAATTTTTATGATAATATTATACACGACGCGTCTAGATGCTGCCAGTAAATATTAAACATCGAATTAGCACTTTCGCACGCGTACTTTCCTAATTGTCCGGAAAATCTGCACTGAAAAGACAAGAAATTATCATTATAAAAGGGACGTACATGACATTCTCTCAATTCCTTGACAGAGTCCGTTTCGTAGCGAAGTCTATCATATTCTTCGGGCGAAAGAGTATATCCGTCGTCGATATCTTTCGTTTCTTGCGTTTTCTTCAAGTCCGCGACTTCCTGCGGACTCATCGGAATCTTGAAAGGAAAATGAATTAAATTTAATGTAATAAAGGTAAAGTAACTTAGAGATGGATTTATACAGCAATTGTTTGCACAATCGTTACCAATTGTGGCTCTCCGTTCACGTAGACCTTCCTCATGTAAATCTCCTCGTCCTTGTCTTCTTCCTCCCCTTCTTCGTCCTTTTCTTCGGGGTACAGTAAATTGTACAGAGACTTCGTTATCTTTGTCTTCTTCGGTTGACGCTGGGAAGCAAAAAGTTTCTCAAATTAAATTCTTCTAAATTATCTCCTAGAGCTTCGCATTAATAATTGCCACTTTTCTCACCTTTCGACGTCTTTCCTCTATTATGGCGTCGCAATAAAGGTACAGTTGGAAAAGCGGGTACTTTTTTATTTCCGGTGGAGCTTCTTGTACCGGTATCAATCGATTCAGGATCATCTTCTTGGTGCGCATCAGTTCGCATTTCTGAAAGCAAAAGTCAACTCTTTAACAGTGTTGCATCCACTCGCTCCGTAAAATGTTCAATATACGTTTTCAGTATATATTAAGGTAATTATTTTTCAAGATTGGAAGCGAGGAAAAATGAACGTCGATTTTATTATTTTGTTCCGTGCCATCGATACATCCTGAATACTTGTGTTGTCACGGAAAGCTCCTGCTTTAAGCTGCATTGTTAGACTATGCGTGCATCGCGGAAATAATCGTTTACCGACGAAATATTGGTACGACATTCGGTAATGAGATCCCAGTTGACGAAATACAGGTCGATTCAGAATTGCCGACTTCCCAAAAAAAAAAAAAAAAATCAGGAGAAGGTTTGACATGTTTCCTTATCCTCCGAGCGTGGGAACAATTTCCAGAGTAAACGCGAAACTCGAAAATTCCATTTTCTAAGCCGATGGGGTTCATCTCGAGGAGTTTCTACACGAGATCCTGTGTCCAGCATCCAATTAAATTCTTGTTTCCCTTCCTTCTAGGATTTGTCCAGTGGTTCGGGATTGAAATAACAAAAGGACTGTAATAAATTCCTGTATCAGAAGTTTCCGCCTTCTTACCTTCCTCTCTTCGACACGGATCTGCTGTTGTCTTTCATAATCCTGTCTGATCCTTGCCATAAGATGGAGCATGTATTTCCTGTCAGTTAGGCGAACTACGTTGCTTCCCATCAGCATTTCCAGCCTCGCTCTTACAGCCGGATAACTCGGACTATAATGGAAAAATAATAACCCGTAAAATGATCGCAGATTATACCACCCCGATCTTCGATTAAACATGGCGCGAGCAATTTTCGTTTGAATAAAATGACATTTAAAATCAAGCGGGACAAGATTTCTAGATTTTATTTATTAGACACTTTAAGTCTCTGAATGTACCACCTACTCGTAATATAAAACTGTGGTGGAAAGATGTCAATAAAAATCGAGATTCGGGGGTGTCCGATCGAACGAGTTCAATTTCAGAATTGGCGGCAAAATGAAAGCGCAGTCGGCTTTCTCCAGCTTTTTGGGATTTCCGGAAACCACTTACCGCAACCTTTTCCATAAGCTGCAATTTTTTAAAGGGATTTTTGTTATCCGCCATCGACATATCCTCGAATGGTACTTTTTTTTTTTCTCGCGGTTTCATTCGCCGAAGCCCACGGGATAAAAGAAACTGCGTCACTCGGTATTATTTCGAAGTTCTTCGGGTTTTGTCTTTAACGAGGGTTTTTAAATCAAGAAGGTGTTAACGAAACGTACCATGGATTTTTACCGCGAGTGTCGTTAACAGTCTGAGGAGGTTTGGATTTTCCGGACTTGCCTCGCGACTTCGTACGCGAGTTTCGTGCCGATCGTCCCATATCACTTTGTGTCTTTCGGTTCTCTACCTCGGCACCTTCGTGTCAGACCTTCTGCGAAGTACTGAAGGTAGACTCGAGCCACCTACGAGGTTCCCTCGCGAGATATTCGTGACTGGTGGATCGCTCGTGTAACTCCAGTCAGCTTTAAAGGGCCCGCCATGGGAAGGAGGCGGAACTCGACCATCGAGGATAGACTATAATTTCTACCGACAGATTGGGGGGATGATAATTTTTATTTAATACGAGAAACGCACTTGAGACACGGGAATTAAATTTCAGTGCCGACAAATGATTCCGTCGATACTTTCACAGGGGACGAACCACCGCTAACGAGGAATAAAACATATTCCTTTGAATAGGAAGTATCCCTTAGAAATTCGTTACCGGAAGGAACAAGGACGACTCGGAACATGTTCGAGGAACCGACGAAGTAGAACATGGCTCTCTATTTTTGTCAAACCGAAATCAATACGCGTTGCCAAATCGATGGATTCTTCGAACGCACCCTCACGCATGGCCTTAATTTAAGCTTCGCTCTGTAAAGAATAATTGCAACGAATGCTGCAATTGATTTCTACGAAATTTACGTTTACGTTTCTTTGTCTTAAGAATTACCATATGGTGGAATTCGCATTGTTGTAGTTTCCATTTAGGAGGATAATGTCCGAGGGATATGTTCGCCCAACACGAGACGACGGGAAGAGCAATCGATGATCGATCCGCCAACTTCTCAAGGAACTGGAGAAAGTGCGCCCGGCTCCGTTACTCTCGGAGAGCCGCGTATTCCGCTTTATTTATGACTTCTTTTTGTCCGAAGGAAGGACTGATCCTGCGGCAAACGAGCTTACGACGTCTAGAAAATGGAGTCCGGTCCCTAGGGAATCGGCTTATCACCCAGAAAAGAGCACTCTCGTCCTCTTAGTCCGCTTTACCTCTTCCGGCTAATTTTTCTTATACGTCGGAGACATGTAAAACTCTTCTGCTCGTCCTTTCCGTCCTTGCCCAAGCCCTTGCAGTCTTCGAACTCGATTCTCTTCTCTTTCTCCTGCCGAACGCCCCTCTTCGAAACCTGCTTTATCTTCATCTTGACCCCCTCAGCAATATCCTCCAACCAATCCTCGATATATCCTCCCCGAAGAGTTCGTCGGCCTCGCTCCGAATAGTTCCACGATTGCTCGCAATTCACTCCCGCGAGTCGTTTTGACAGAATCTCATTAGGAGACGCGTTTACGAGCACGCGAACAACGGGTGGAAGGGATAATAAAAAGAACGAGAGTGGTGGAGGGAATATTATTGAATGTACAATTAACACCCGATTATCACGTTTAGGGGGCCTTCGTGTCCTCTTCGGTTCTTCCCGGCCGCCATCTTGGAGAACGTCGAGGCGCGGAATGGGGGCGTCGAAGATGCACGATTTGCGAGTTAAACCGCGCGGGCCGAAAGTAAACGCCTAAATTATCCGACAGGCAGGTTGCAAACGAAGTCGGGCTGTCGGGTTACGAAAAGTAGGGAGGCCAGACGTCGTGACACCGACGCGTCGACACGCGATGTGCTTACAAACGTCCGTTTTGTGGAGCGATCGCGCCACCTCGAGGGGACCTCGCAATCGATACTTCCATCGACTCCCCATTGTGCCTCGGACATCACAACGGAACCAATTTCCAGGCCCGATTTTTAATGCATCACCGTTGCACCGTTAGGGAAAGAAAACGAACGATATTCCTGTCTTATCTGCATCTTATAATTCCTCGAGTTTTCGGACATCTTGTATAGTAGATTTTGCGGTATCGAACGCTGTAAATCATAAATCTGCAGGGGGAACTTACGCGTATTTTACTGGCTCGGTTTCCCACCATTTTAGGGGACGATTGTAGAGGTCTAAGGTGGAGGTGAACATCATTCCCGGATCTTTCCTCCGCTTTTTGTGTCTCTCAGGTTTTCTTCCTTTCCCTCGAGAATTCATCTCGCCTTCGTCCTCGTAGCCAGTCGAGGTTTGGAACTTTCCTCGCATTTTCGAAGCCTTTCTCTTAGTTTCACCGGAACAACTTGGACATTTTTACGAACCGAAGAAAACGACCGAGATACTTAAAATTTACCACGTGTCCCCCATCTTATTTAATTTTTCTCCAATCTGACAGATCCGAAAGATTCTAAGGGAAAAAAATTTGACATTCGCTTTAACTCGAATTAAATTCATTCGATTAGTCGAATCGGAGGTTCAATGTGTTCGCATTTTGCAAGTAGTTGTCTTCGATGCAGAATTGCACAAATGTTGAGATTTAATTATCGGTACGAAATTGAACAATGAGAATAATCTCTCTTTTTTTTTTTCATTATTTATTTACATATCCCGTCAATTTTCAGACGTCGAGGATCGTCGAGTCTCTTTCGTTGGCGAACGAGACAGGAAATCGATCGACCTCGTCGACCGTAGAGATGGTTGTCATTTATTGCTAAAACCTTGGAAAAGTGTTGAAGAACGTCTACCTTGACAGCGGAAATTGCTGACATTTTTCAAGGTCGTTTTCAATCTCCTTTTCCTTTATTTCCAGCGTGAAAATTCAAGAATTTAGACATTGGTCACTTTCATGTCCACGATTGACTCCTTCGACCTCTTCCTCGTCTTCTTTCTGTACGCTTCCCATGCTTCTCTATCTTCTGCTTTTTGCGGACCCCATTCGGGTGTTGGGTTGACGCCGATTTCGAATTTCTCCTTGAAAGTTCCCTAAAAGAATATCCAGAATGACGTTTTTTCGGTATTTCGAAAGTTTATCAAATAATAACTTGCACCTCTTTTCGAGAAGTCTCTCGAGTGGGTAATATTTTTGTGACAAGCTCTCGTTCGCTCACCTTCGTAATTATAAAATGGATTATGGCGTATCCGGGAATGCAGATGATGCTGACCATGCAAATGGTCCACCCAAAAGAGATCGCCCATTCTGGATATTCCACGCCATTGTACGTCAACCTCGTGTTGAAGATTATTGTCGTGACGAAGATGAACTGTTATAAACAATGACATTGATTATTCATGAGAGGTACTACTCCGAAATATAAGAGAAATTGAAGAAATCGAATTTTAGTGTATATTTTCACGGTATTGAAATAAATAAATTTATTGTATAAATTACCGAAAGAATAATCGGCGTGGTGTATTTCCAACAAAGGGGCCACCATGGATGCAGTTTCTCTCCGATCATGAACTCGATGTCTTGAACGAAATTTTCGCAACCTGATAATGAACGTAATAATTAATTAAATATTTATTGACAAGTTCACCGAATTTTACCATAAGTCCACCCAACGACGATGACTTCGACGAGGCAGATCGAAATTACGGAAACCGACGCTGCGTACCAGTCGAACATTTGTAGAATGTACATGCCGCCCTTAAAAATTAAAATTATTGTCAATGAGGAAATTCCTAGACCTCGAATTTGCATATTCGTTTGACTCACATTCGTGACGAAGAATAGTGATCCGAGGAACAAGACGAAGATGGAGACGAGAACCACCAGATGCTTCCTTTTCCTTAGCGCAGGATATTCGTCGGTGATGCTGGATATGATGGCTTCGATTTGGACGAACTAGAGAAGAGTCCATGAAAAAAAAAATTACGCCCACGCGAAATCCGTGGACAAAGGAGATATCACGAAAAATTACGGATTACTTACGCAACTGTCCATTCCCAGAAAGTAAAGCATGCTGAAAAAGAGCACCGACCAGAGTTGAGGAAAAGGAAGCATGCTGATGGCTTCCGGATACGTGACAAAAGCCAACCCGGGCCCTGAAAATAAAATTATCCGGTTGTAATGATCTATTTTATTGGAATAAGTTTCAGGCCAAAATGGCGGACGTACCACCGGTCGCCACGGTGGAGACCGGAAGTCCTGTCCGGAAGGACATGAAGCCGAGGACGGAGAAGACGACGAAGCCGGCGAAAATGCTGGTGCCGCAATTTAAAATCGGCACCAAAATGGAGTCTCTGTAAGTTAATTAAATAATTAAATGACTGGGCTTTAGATATTCGTAGAGGGCATTCAGGGGTGCCAGGACACGTTCTGGCTGAACTTACAATCGATTATTATTCCGGAAAGGATTATAACTGGCCATGTTGACGATGCCGCCCCATCCAGGGCCCAGGGAGAAGAAGATTTGAATGGCCGCGTCAGCCCAGACCTTCAACAAACAGGAGAGGAGACATTCGTGACGTTCCCTTGAAGGGCGACCCGAAATAGCTTTTAGAGGGGTGTTTAAGCTAGATCGGTGACCTTTAAATTGGTCAGCTGCGACCAGTTTGGCGTGATGTAGAAGAGGATGCCGTCCATCGCCCCGGGGAGGGTGACGCCTCGTACAAACAGAACGAGGAGCACGACGAATGGGAAGGTGGCCGTGAAGTAAACGACCTGAGAAAAAAAAAAAGATGTGAGTCAAACCTGGATTTTTGGTTCTATCCTTGCGGTGGTATATCTACCTTTCCGACGCTTTTGACGCCGTTGCAGATGCAGAGGAAGACCACGAGCCAGGATGCAATGTTGCACCAGAAGAGGGGCCACACTATGCCGCCCATCTCGTCGATCCCGTCCGAGATCTCCAGAATGTGATTGCTAAAATTCCTAGATTTTAGCAGTGTAGATTCGCGTCATCTCCGCAATCCTGGATGATCTTGAAATTTACTTACTGAAAAAATTCGTCAGCGGGCGTTTTGGTCCTTTCGATCAGCTCGATCTGATCCGAAGAGTTCCGCTGATTGAATATTTCGGCTCCTAGCTGTTCAACGGTAAGAGTTTTGCTTTGAAAAAATTATAACCGTGTATTAAATAATATTTGTAAGTAAGACGACCTTCAGACATCTATACGTGTTCCAGGAATTGTCGCAGTCTTCCCAGGGGACCTTTCCACTGATGGATTTCACCAAGAAGAGGAGAGGGTACGAGATGACGACGTTGTAGTACATGGTGCAGATGACGTTTACGATTACTATCGCGAAACCTGCCCCTGTGAAATCGGAAATAGGTAAATTTCATACAATTTTAGGATACGATGATATAATTTTTTTTCTCTACCTTTGAACAAGGGACTCATCCTGAACATGGTGATGCAGCCAGTTCCACCGAACTGGCCCATGGAGGACTCCATGAAGAAGAGGGGAATCCCACATAAGAAGAGCATCAGTAAATACGGAACAAGGAAGGCACCTGTAAGAATGTCATTCAAGGCTTACTTTCCATTATTTCATTAACGTCTTATCCACTTATCAGCCAAATGCGCGGCCAATTGTCTATCGTAGATTTGGGACTATGTCGGTGTTGACGCGTCAACTGGCCGGTATGAATATGTATGCCGCGATTAAGGGCCTCCAATTCCAATTGTGGAAGAGGAGACAATTTTCAAGGGCAATTTGCGAGGCACGCTTAGATGGAATCATTCAATCGCGGCCCTCGGGGTCAATTGTCACGACCCAATAGGAAGTTGTTCCAAAGCCTAAGTACAACAATCTCTTCCTGCCCTTCGCCGAATTTTCCCTGCTCCATTATTAACCTCGCGATTAAGGTGAGGACAGCATTTCAATTTTATATCATTGTACAGCTGAATATTTATGGAACAGGTGAACTAATCCTTTTTCTTGTACACGTGTAATCATTAAGTGCGATGCCAAGGAGCCCGGCGTTTTCGCATTCCACGAGCTCGTTTAACCTCATTTCCGCCGAGTGGTCAGATCTGGAGATCAGGACGTGGTTGGGATTTCCTCCCCAAGATTCTCGAGGAAGAGGGAAAACCTGCGGAATCTCTCAATTGTCTGAAATCCGAGTATGTCGCATCCGCGGCATAGTAAATCGTCACGTGGGCAGTAATTGGGACATGAGGCCAAGGCTAGACCTCTCGTTAACAGGATTTCCTTCAAGGAAAATCGAATGGAAATTGAGCAGCCGTCCATCATCACCGAAGATGAACTTCTCATCCATTGCCCTTCGCACTCCACGTGTCATCCTAGCCGCGTATACTCTTGGTGGTCAAAAAAAAAAAAAAAGAAAAGAAAAAAGAAGAAAATGAAGATATTCATACCCCTGGGTCTCATTTTATATATATTTATGTTAACACCTTTCACCTTAAGACTTTTTCCAATCGAGACAAAAGACCACCCTAGAAGTGGATCCTCGAAACGCGGTGCCCACTCACCTCCGCCATTTCTGTAACACAGGTACGGAAACCTCCATACGTTTCCGATGCCGATGGCGTATCCTGCGCAGGACAGGAGAAACTCCATTTTGTTCCCCCAGGCACCCCTGTCGGGGTTGGTGTGAATTTTTTTCCCGGTTTCCGCCCCATCTCGAGAGTCCACTTCGGAGGTCCGTCCAGTCGCGCTCATCTTCGACCACTTGTCAATAATTTTAGGGAAAACCGATACGGGGAACGATCAAATTCGCTTATCCATGGCCCTCCAGTCTCCGGTCCTCGACGAGGAGAGGGAATATCGGCTTCCTGGCGGAATAAAGGACGGTTCACAACTGCGGAACGAAACTCGCGCCTAGAGTGGTCCAGCGCGACGCGCCGTCCCCGTACGTCCACGTAATCAGTGCCTAACCACATAAATAGATCATGATTGCGCTCGAGGATAGGTACTTGCTCCTCGTAAACGTCATCGGGTCTCCTCGAGACCACTTTCACCGTTTTCCTTGGCTTTTTCGGGACCGTACGAATTTTTCCCCAATTTTTCCCGCCCCAATGTTTCAAGGGGTGGCTGGAAGTCCCAATGGTCGCGTCATTTTGGACATTTAATTTTGGACCGAATGACCGACTATATTATTCATTTACGAAGTTTTTGGAAATCTACCGCTGTCCGTGTTGAGCTGTACTTTCTCTACTTCGTAGTTTTATCGACCTGTAGACATTTTCTTCGCGTTGATCTCTCGCAGGTAACCGCGTCGATGGTCGGTAAAAAGGATTTTGGCTGGGGAGGACTTATCAAGAAGAGGGGTTTCAACGATAAGCATCTAGGTATCGACTGTGGATAACGTAGAAACATCCCTAGGGGTTGCAGGAAATTATTCCCGACCACGAGACTCCCAACAGTTGGAGGAATCGATAAAGAGATGGAGCTAGTGGGTTAAAAATTTTGCAACGGCCGCAGTGGATTGAATTTTTCAGAAGATCTATTTTTCCGAGCACAGTTCCATCACGTGCAGATAATTGCATGGTACTTCATTTTACTTGCAATTTAGTGAAACACTTTTTGCGAAGCGTTAGAGGGTCGTATTACGGGAAGAGATTATTTTAAGGGCGGTCAGGAAAGGGAGATTAAATCAGAGGAAGGTGACCTCGCGGTCTCAGAAATGAAATTTCACGTTTCTATGTAGACAGCGGAAGATCACGGATCCGGCGCATCCTCTAAATTTCCTGTAAAAGCCTGCTCTCGTATGAGCGAGCCATGCATAATGAAGATGGGAGGAGGTTGGAGTGTATTAATGTTGCATCCCTCCACGACTACCCTCGAACGTCGGTGATATTCCGTTTCAGGGCCCCTCCTAAACTTCTCTAACGCGGCCAACTTATCCACGAGGGGGCAACATTTAAAACGAACGCTGAGAATTTTAGGCAAACTAATTCCCGAGTCGTGACGTCTCCGGGCGTGAAAGATGGAAAATTTGGATCAGGGGAATCCCGGAACGGCCAAGCGATCCGTTCGGCGATTTCCCCTACGTATAATTATCCGCACGTCCCCTGGGGGTCCGCAATTGGGCAGACAAAATCTCGCGAGCGCCTCCACCCTCTCTCCCCCGCGAAATAGTCTCTCGACCGGCGGAATCTCGATTTATGCTAAAGAGATCCTCGGCGTAATCTCCCACTCCTGCGCGTCTTTGGACAAGACTCTTCTTCGACCCCGAGGACGCTTCGGGGTTGTGCAAACGCGGAGAGTGGATCCGAATTAACATTGGAAATGGACCCGAAGCTCCCAAAAAGTTTCGGATCCACTTTGCCAGCCGAATCGGAACCGTCTCCTCCGGGTCCCGAACACGGTGGGTATCGGTGTATTCGGATCTCCGTGGGCGTCGAGTCGGGATTTATTAAATATGCCGATTTAACGCCTTTTTTTTCCCTAGAACGTCCATCTAGGGGAAAAACGGTCTATGTATTAAATCACTTGGAGCAGTCCTCTGGAAAAAGAAGGACTAGAAGTTTTCCGACACTCGGCCGGGGCTGGGATTTCCCGAAATTACGAAATTGCCGTTCTTCGGACATGGCGGATTTGCCGGAGCATTCGAGAGGGCTCTTCTTCCCTTGAGATATATCCGCCGGATGCCCGCGCTCATATCGGATTGTTAACGCAAAATAAACCCCGGATCCTGGATGCCGGCACTCGTACGGATCTCGGCAACCGGTTAAATCCGACCCGGTCTGTGTTTTGAGTGGTGCAATCCGTATATATACGGCGCGGACGAGCGTACGGATGTCGGGGGATCATCCCGCGTAATCCTCCGTTAAAAAGCGACGAGAGGGACTTAAGTCGAAATGGCCATTAGCGATCGGCATGCGAAATAACTCCCTGGCGCGGATCCCGCCGAGGACACGTCCCGGAAAGGAGTTTTGCTCCTCGATCCTCCGATTCGCCCACCAGCTTGGAAATTACTCCCGACGAAACGAGTGACCGAATATCCGAGACAAACGCCAAGCGGAGAGGGATTCTTCCGGTTCGACGGGATTTCTACCCCATTTTTATTCACCCTGCAGAAAATCCCGAGATACGAAATTCCCCGGTTTTCGTAAATTTATTCCCGGAGATAGTTTCCCGTTTACACCGGTTTCCGATAACGTCCATCTATATACAGTTGGATGCACGATCCTAACCTGGAATTTCTCTCAAACCTCGTAAAAATGTTCTGAAAGTTCGTAAGAATTGTGCGGAGATTCCTGGTCATTTCACATTAATTCCACGTAATTTTTTATAATTATCGTGGAATTAAGGGAAAATGATACATGGCGTAGCGCTGAGATTTTCGGTGGCGCCATCTCGCGAGTTTCGCCGCGACCATTGAGGCGCCTGCCATCTGGCGGACGCGGGCGAAGCTTCGCGAGGAGGCCGGCGAGCGGGAGAGAGAGACGTCTCACAGACGCAGGACAAGCAACGTACGTGTCGCGCGGACGAACCACGGATCGTAATCACGTTATGCGGCCCCACAAATCACCGCGGCGGCACACCCCGAACGTCCCTTTCAATTAGCCACTTGACGACGTGACTATCACTCCCGGAAAAAGAAGCGTCGGCCTGTCCACTCGTCCGGCGAAGTACGATGCGACCGGAGCACCTTCAAATGTTTACCTATTACGACTTCGCAAAAATGCGAAATTTTTCATACTCATCTACTAGTGTGCGAAAAAAATCCGATCAACATTCGCATGCGAAATTAACTTTCCTATGAAACATTCAAATGTTCAATGACTTGCTTTCGCAAAAATGCAACATTTTTCATACGCATCTATTCCTATGAGAAAAAAATCCGCATGAACTCGTGAACCGGGACCCGTGCCTGTAAAGGTGTGAACTGGAATTCCCTGATCTTAATGCGAGTTTAATTATCTTAATTAAAATCGTTAATCGCTACGTTGAGTGGGGAAAAGCGATGCACATATTCGCGGCCACCGGAGTGGAAGGGAATAACTTTCTCGCAGGTTTTCGCGGTCTCTAAATTCGAGGCTAGAGGGACTTCCAGTTGAGCAAGGGCCACCCGTTATACCGACTCTATCGGCGAATCGGTTTTAACGGGCTCTAGAAGGCCGATCGGCGGGTGGATACACGTGTGAACTGCTCGGCTTGATCCTCAATAATTCATCGGACATGCGACACGCGCCGAGCTCGGCACTCGTGCCTCGTAGCCATCGTAGATCGCCCCTGCGAGATCGTAGATCGATCGGACTTTCCAGGTAAATTCTACGATCGAGGGCGACGCCGAACTTCTGGGGGGTGGAAGTGGATAAAATTCACCAGTCGGTTTAACGACGAATCAAGCGAAACCGAGGCGAATCCACGTAAACGCTTATATATGCTCGATTAATATTTTATCATATTTTTGACCCATCATCTAAGACACGCGTGAAAAATAATTAGCCTAGCCTTTATCGCGTCAGCGATTCGTTGATGTCGGGATCGGGGAGTTCCTAGTTTTCATCTTTATCCCCAAACGAGAACACGAACCTCGCGAGCGCGGCGGCCATTATTATAATCGCGAGATGTATACTCCTGGGCAGCAGTCTCCGGTAACACGGCAGTAATTACCGGCTAGGCGTAATTAGTGGAGCATAATTAAAATCGCGACAAAAGATGAACGATATCGTCTGTCGCTTGTTAGTAGACGGTTTTGTCGGGTGCGTGTATATTCTTCGCTCAAGGAGTGTTCTGGCCTGTTAGTGGGTGCTCTTCATTGGGGGTCTTATGGGGTCCCACCTCCTAAACTTTCAGACTTCCGAATCCTACCTTTCCGGAATTCCGAGGAACTTGGCTCGAAAAGAAACGGAATGGAGAGTTAGCGACGGCCCGCCATTTGTAAACGCTGCGATCAGAATTGTTTATATATCGCCGGGAGGCCGTTACCGCCACCCCCTCGGACTTTCCATGTTTTTTTTTTTTCCACAAATTTTCCTTCGCCTCGTTTATCGATCCGTTATTTCCATCGATTTTTTTTTTATCCGAGTTCCGCGAGGACGACATCGCAGCCCCGACACCTGCTCTCAGGGTGCGGATCGGGGTTTACATCCCCACGACCCATTTGCCGGCCAATCGACATCTCCCCGAGGAATCTTAACGTATTCCCCCCCGGATGTCCATCCCTTGGAGGAATAACGGCCCTCGTCAGCAAATCGTCGCGGCTAAAAGGGTGGTCCCGCGACTCCACCGGGTGGGGGTGGTTGCGGATATCTCCTCGACCACCCCGAGTTCCGGCTTAAGGGTGGAGCACCCTCATTGGAGGAGTTCCCATTCGAGGCGACATCCTCGATCTCCGCTCTCTCGGCGAATCGGAGGTTGGCCTTTTTTCACCCGCCACCCGCCACCCCCTGAATGGCAACCCCCTCGCGGATTTCCGGAACGGCGCGCGGACCACGCCTGTCCCGTGTTCGCCGGGTTCGGGGATGGATTGTCTCCGATCCGATCGGCGAACGAGTCGCTCTTCCAGGGGTGGAAACCGCCCCCGTCGACGGCGGGACCGCCGCGGAAACGGCCGCGCCCGGAATTGGCTCTCCGCGATTTTTATCGCGGCCCTCCTTTGTCTTTTTATACCCCCGCCGTTATCCGGCCCGATTCCGACTCCGTTTTCCCCCTTACTCGCTAACCCACCCTTATTTCTCGATCTCCTCCCGGGCGGGCGCGATTCGGCCGCAAAGTCGGGGATTTGTTGGGGGTAACTTTCCCGATTGAGTTTTTTTATACCGATGGGGTGTGAGATGGGCCAGCCTCGGAGGGGAGGGTTCCTTCGGAAACGGTCCCTCCCGTTTCGGG